ATACACCCTCATTTCCATAGCAGATGGAGTTAAATGAGGATCTGTTTCTCCATCAGCCATACAGTGACCAATCAAAACATAAAATTACTGACCACTTCATGGAAGAGAACTAGTAATACTGACCCCAGGCATCTATTTAGTCACTTTTTCTTGAGGATGGAAACCACCAAGTTCTCTAAAACAATGACAAAACAGGCCCCAAGGAATGTGGTGTTATCATCAAAAACTAGAAACAAGGCTACCTGCACACACATGTGTTTAACCCTTACCCAATTCTGTGTACATGACAGCTTTTAACCAATGAAGTTCATCACTACTATGTGCAGAATGATATGTGCGAAGATGAAATCTGCAAAACCTCGCTCTGGACTGATACCATAGAACTGGTTCTTGTTCTGTGGGTTCACCTGAAGCCTAAGACACACTGCAAAAGAAAGAAATAAAAATCTATATATTCAACACACAGAATGTCTGCAAGAAACATATGACAGTTTGATTGGTACAACTTATGGGAAGATACTGCTTGTGAGAAGACCTAACTAGGAATATTCTTGCACACACTTGGCTGATTGGGTCTTCATAGTGTATTAATTGCTCATTCTGTCACAGGATGTCATTTGTAACCTACATTTGTTTCCTTCTTGTTTATGTACATTCTATGTCTTCTGTTCTACATAAAGAAGTCTCAGAAAGCTGAACGTGTAACAATACATCAGAATATGAAAATACCCAGCAATATAATACAGACCTACCCTTGGTTATGCAAACTTTACATAAAATACCCCAGTAATAAATGTTACTTTCACATGGAATTTTACTATTGATGTTAACCACATTACTTAAACGGTGGAGTATATGTGAATACATACCACAGTTGTTATGAATTAAGGTCTTTGGTACATGCAAATGTTAAATTATTTTTAGTACCTGCAGAGTACCATCAAAGTACATACCATAACAAACATACATTCTTCTGGTAATTTCTGGAATTGAAACCTTGCTATCTGTACATTCACAGAACATACACTAAGAAAAGAATATTCCACTAAAGCAAACTAGTTCACACATGTTATATTTTAGCGTCCTGTTGCACTGATTTAAGTCCATGATTTATTTCAATCGTCTTCCAGTGCATACACTCATCTATCTCCTCCTCTCACTCGCACTACATGTTTCGGCACAAAAGTGCCATCTTCAGGTGCTTATTCGATTTACGCTATTTACGGATTCATTGCATGCAATGAACTGTGTTTAGCGTAAATCGAATAAGCACCTGAAGATGGCACTTTTGTGCCGAAACATGTAGTGCGAGTGAGAGGAGGAGATAGATGAGTGTATGCACTGGAAGACGGTTGAAATAAATCATAGTTCACACATATTATTAATTATTATTACACCTCAGCATTGCATAAAATATAGCAGGTTATACAGGCATAGCCATTATTACGCTACACTCAAAATATGTCAGTAACGTAATGCATCAAATTACGTATTATGCACATGAAATACACAACTTTTTTCTCAGAATTATTGGGTTTTTGGCCTTTGTCCATCATCCGGTATTCTAGAAAATAGAACACACAATGTTTCAGAAACTGGATCTATTTCCATCCTCAGGTGAGAGGGGGAGATACCTACACTGTTGGGTCGCTTAGAAAGAAGTAATCTCAATCACTGGACCTTAAGATTGAGGTTAAATTTCTTAGAGGATGAAGCTGGGCTAGGCAAGAGTCTATTCTGTTGATTACTGAGAACTTATGAACATGAATCGCTTTTTGCTTATTAAAGATTTTCCTATATGAACTTCTGACAGCGGTGAAGATAAGCTGTTGGTCAGAATTCACATGTGACTTGACTACTTTATAGAATACTGGATGATGGACAAACTCTGAAAACCCAGTAATTCTGAGTATTGTATACCATTCTCAGAACACTTAAGAATCTACAAATTTATCTTATTATCCATACATACAGTTCTCCTTATACACATATAATTTCTTTCTTCCGCTTATATACATACCATTCCATACATTCATGTGTACAGGCAAGCTTGTCGGAGAGTCAAAAGTTGCACATGTACTTGTGCATTATATGGTTTGACCCTGGGACAAAACTATACATAAAATTTAGAGCCTGGCACATTACTAAAGTCTGTCAATCATTTTTTTCAGTATAAATTCATCAGAATACTATTTAGATTTACGCACATATCCAACATACTTAACGCAACTGGCCTTAAAACACAATAAAATATTCACCAACCTGCAAGAACAAAACAGCTGACAGATGAAATAAATCCACTTAAGAAAGAATTAAATGGAAATGTTCCGACGAGACAGCAATAGACAAATTGAATGACGCCTGTTAAAAATACGTACAATAAATATGCATCAATTATTTTCAATTTTTTTGGAGTGTTATTAACGTACTCATCATAAAATTTACGTAATACTGCTGTCAAATTCGTCATTCTTTCTCGTTAACCTTCACAACTTAGAACCTAATAAACACTACCGCCTTCTTTCCTTCCACGCCCTCGTGGCAAACGCACTGCCAACATTGCCAACATCAACCTCTAATGATGTCACCNTCGTGAGGATAATTGAGGAGCTATTTCAAGGAAATAGCGGCACTGGTCTAGAAAACCGAGATTAACGGCCATGGGGATCTTTTTTTTTTANTTTTTTTTTTTTTGGGGAAAAAAAAAAAACTAGGATACAAAAGTGGCCTAGGCAATGCCCATCCGGCCTTCTGTAGCACATTCTAAAAACTTCTCTTTCTGTAGTAGCGGTGGGCCCGCGGTTAATTCACATCTTAGCATAAATTTGAGAATGTTGTGAGTGGTCCGTGCCATTTCCTCTTGTTCTTTCCTTACGTATCCGTTTTAAATATATATGGGAATGTTGTTTATGAAGTAGCAGACGCCTTGCAGAAATCTCTTTTCTTCTAGCCAGGTTTGAATGGCAGAAAGCGATATCTGACGGCAGCGTGCATAAAACTACTAGAACCAAGCATAAACTAATCATTCAAATTATTCACAAAAGATGTCGCGGTTTTGCTGATCTGAACCGCTGGACCCATTTCTTTTATTGCTAGTGGGGTTGGGCGAAGTCCCTTTTACTGTGGCCACCTCTGGCCTGTCGTACCAGGCCTAGATGACAGGTGAGGGTGATTGTGGAGCAATTGGTGGAATGAAGATTGACAGGGGAAACCTTAAGTACTCGGAGAAAATCTGCCCCAGCGCCACTTTGTCAACCACAAATTCCACTTGCCCAGACCCGGGTTCGAACCCGGGCCGCCGCGGTGGGGAGCCAGCGACTAACCACCTGAGCTACGGCGCGGCCCCACTGGACCCATTACATCTCTGGATATTCAGTTATTCATTACTTGATATATTTCGTCTAATGCGGTCTAATGGACGGCAGTTTCATCCGTGGATACAGTGCACATACATAATGAAGTTGTTCTGGGAAATCAGCTTCAAAGACAGTTGCGTTGAACTCTTTCCTCATAATAAATAAGCATTAAATTAATTTTTAATATTTAATACATTCCACAAGGGAGTGCATTGTCTTTATGTTGAGGATCTGTAACAGAGTAAATAATGATTCTCTAAAGATTCGTAACATTGATCGACAGATTCTACCAATATGTTGAACACTGGCCATTGTCTGAAGTATATTTAATGTAACTGACACTTTGCGGATTGTTATGCTCTGCTTGAAACTAGTGACTGATGAATTGATGATAATGAATTGATATGAGTTGTATAAATGCCATATTATGAATGGGAAGGCATTCTTATGGATCTCAACTCTTGATGCCACATGTTGGGTTCCAACTGCAGTGTTTACTTAGAGGGGGGCTTCTAAGAGAATGGACGGAGCTGTGTTGTGCTCAGGTTGCAGTAAATCCTCCCTGTGCCGCTGACTGCTGCCTCTCCCGTAGATGCTGAAGTCCCCTCTTTCTATCTTTCCCCTTGCACCCTCACCCTTGTTGTTGTGAGGTGGTTTATTAAAGAGGTAAGAGGTCTGGTACTGGGCACCAGTAGGCTGAGATTAGGGTGCTTACAATTACAGGTAAGGGTTGGTTGTAGAGGACTGGCTTTGCTCAAGATTCAGTAGGCTGGAGATCTTATCCCAGGTATAAACAGGCCTTGCCCTGGCAGGTAGGATGAACACTGTAGCACAACAATTCTTAGCACCTGATAACTGGTTTATTATAGAGCACAAATTACAGTCATTGTCACACTGATATACAAATCACTGCCGATCCTCCTTAATAATGCTGAACGCTTCGCTGCAGGTTCCAAGTTGAAACTGTGGTCAAAAGTTAAATAATGATCGCTTACTAGTTTAATATGCAAAAGAGTGTTTCCTAAATTTGCTTCTCCCTATCAGTTGTATGTGTTTAGCAACACTGGACCTTGAATTTCAAACAGCGTTTTTGGCTGTGCTCTGATCTGTGATAGTTGTAGTGTCCCTCTGACTTATTATGGTCAAGAATTGTCAAAGAGTCTCATTTCTAAAGGTGACACCAAATACCTTGAATATGCCAGTTTTGGGGAAGTGGGCAAATGATGCATCCTGTGCAGTAACAGCAAGAATGGGCCTACAGCACCTTCTCAGGACAAGAATGTGACCATCGCCCTTTTGTCATAATATAGATTGCCTCAGTAATTACTTATTACTACATTTTATGCATTATAATGACTTAATTATAATGAGCGGTTACAGTATGTAACATTATAGGGTTAGAGGAACCTTCCACTGTTGAGTTTCAGCTGCGAAATGGAGTGAATGACACAGTGCTTTTGAGGTTTTGAATAATATGGCAGTAAAGACTTTTTGGTGACACAGTAACCAAGGTCAATTATTTATTCAGGATAAGTCATTAAATTACAGGAAGTGTGTTTGAAGCAAGATCTTGGAACCCAGAGATTCATATGGTGCTGTGGGTTTGGTAGGTAATGACAGTATTTGCCTCTGTTTTGATTTTGGCTAAGACGAGGCACACAAGTTCTGACAATAAAGTTCGTGAACCTGCCACCGTGTGCTTGCCAAGGCAACAGTGAACAGAAACGTTAGTATGGTTTGATGATGTTGGCATATCAGAGTTTCACAGCTGTGTTGTTGTTGTTGTTGACCTATGGCATGTTTCAGTTGTATAAGACCAGCATCAGGCAGTTATACACAGGAATACATATAGTCATTAAAATAGCGATATGGATCCTTATTGGTGCAACGCATCATGTCATATACTAAGATAAAACTTTTGCCTCAAGTTTGCTGTGATGTGTGTATTAGGTCAGTCAGCCAGCAGAGTGATGTGAAAAGTCATCAGCGCATACATACTGAAGAGCGGCCATTTTGCTGGGATGTGTGTAATAAGTCATTCAGCCAGCAGAGTGATGTGATGAGGCATCAATTCATACATACCGGGGAATGGCCATTTTGCTTTGATGTGTGTAATAAGTCATCTGAAAAAGCACCAGGTCATACATATTGTGAAGCATACATTTAGCTGAAATGTGGATAATATGTAATTTAGTCATTGTCCTACTGAGAGTAAACACATGACATTATATTCTCTTACAGGTATGTTTACTTAAACTGTGGAAGCTAGTGGTTAGTAGAGCATAGCCTTAGTTCCAGAATATTTTGTTTTATGGCCACAAAAAGTAGTCAAACTACCACAGCTTCATGGCATGAACTCTTTTCTCTCTCTCTGGTCCTTACAAAAATTCACTTAATGTATATTGAACAGCAGTGTAATTTCCAATTTATTCTGCCCCTTGAATTATTTTCTTTTCTTCACTAACTGCAAAGATTCTGAAGGCATACCAGTACTCATGTCTGACAGAACACATCCAAAGTATGTCATGGATTAACATCCACTCATACACTGCAGCACACATGGGTATATGATAGAAAATTTCAAATAAATTTTTAAAGAGATATTGTCCTACATTTACCTAGGTGCAATACCTAGAAACTACCTTTCGATACTGTCACTTCAGTTTCATGTCTGCTAGAAGGGAGACGCTTAAAGGCCATTAGTCCATACATCACAAAAGAGCTTCTTGTTTCTTCTGAGATGTAACTTATTCTAAAATATTGGTAAAAATATGAACTCTGCATATGTGCCATTTCAAAGTGATGTATCTGTAATGACATGCTATGAGAGAGTCATCTGATTAAATCCCAGACTGGTTACCCTAAAATATATCATTTCCTCAGTGCCACCAGATGAATGAAAGAAAAATCTTCCTTGATTGCTCAATTCCCTTATCATAATCTTCCTAATATAAATCAATGTGACAACTGTCTCTACTTCAGTGGGATGGAATATATGAATGCTGATACAAACACCAAAATAGTTTCACAATATTGAGAACTGGTGATGATCTACAGTACTGAGTTCCAGTCTGTTACAAATAAAATTTTAAGTAACTACATAATTCAGCTTTGTTTTACATATTAATCAACAATGTCAAACTGACTGCAAGATAAGAGGAGAGTTATTACTTGCAATTTTGCATGGGTTAAAGAGAAAGTAGACGTGAAACGCACTTTAAACATACTCTACTCATACAAACCTACACATATACAGCTATTGTAAAGTTTATACAAAGAGAGAAGTCTTTGTGATTCTTTATCATTATGATTATTGTAGTGAGCAACACTTTCCACGATTAAAATTACTGCACAAATTCAAGCATACTATAAAACTTTCCACTCACCTAACTAGTTTCTCCTATCATCCTCAATGCTGCATAATCGAAATGGCGTTTCATATGAGAGTTTAATAACACATACAGCCCAATGACCCACATTAGCATCAAACTTCATCAAATAATATTTGACATGAAATGCACACACACTGAAAGAGAACAGAGCACACAAAAGTCTCATCAATTTTTGTACGTGACACTGGCTGCATCACTGATTTTTGAGCATAAAAAAGTAGAAACACAATAATGGATTCTGCAACTTCACCACAAATGACTCATTAAGTATTTCAGAATTATCTGCACATCGTTTATTGCAGACACTGGCTAAACTTAATTTCTTCGTTGGTTTATGCAACACATAATACTCGTAAAGCCATTACGTAATGTATTAAAGCAGATATACCGTGCTGAATCCCTGGGAAAGTGGAAGAATTTCATTTCTTTGCTAATGGATGACACGCACCCATGGGCAGAGCATGCTTTCGTTCTTCCCATTTATCCTGCAAGAAACGATACAATTATAACACAATTACAGTACACTTAAGAGTATCTACGGATTCTACAGGCCTTCTTCAAGCTACACCGAAAGATGCTTAACGTACATAAACATCGTAGCAACACCTTTTGACTTCATACACCTTTCTTAATTAATTCGGCGTAGTAATAATACCATTCATATACTTCATACGTAAACGTCGATTTCTATTTCACAACATCAAATCAAAAATCCATACTTACCAATTAACCGAAACATATTCCATTACATGATTCTACGCGATTCCACTTACCTTCCAACCGACGCTGAACGACGCTGAATGCCTGTGATGCCTGTGATTGGTTCACGCATATATGATTCGATACGTAGCGATAGGTGTACTGTTCTTGGTTCCGGGGGTTCCGGACCGTCCATACGGTTCAAACCGTCCAAACTACCTAGTTCCGATGCAATGAGTAAAGATGGCAGTAATTCAGCATGTTTCCACGTCTCAGATTCTACCGCCCTGCTGTCAAAATGGTAAAAATTGTTGGAACCGTTGGAACACAACATGGCGCTATGGTATAGCACTAAATTTCTTTGTTTTGTACAAATTGTTGTCTTTAGTGACATTGTAAGTACAAATTTCCTTTTTGAGACAGAAATTTTGTTATTTATTCTAAATAGTTATATGTAGTCATCATAAAGTATTTCTGTGAGCAAGGCTTTGCTCTAATGATGTTATTTGTCAACAGACACATGCATATTATTGTGAATGGGATCTCTGTGATGTGGATCAGTATTGCTGCGGTGATAATCAGTGCTGTAGCAATGTCTACAGTCAATGGTACTTCTGGTGAGCATGTATTTGTTTAAGGTTATGTGTCTGTTTTTATAAACTTGCAGAATTGAAAGTTACATGGATATTTGACCCATTTCATTGAATGTTTATGTATAATATTGGACCGCCGAAATGATCTATAAATAAAAGACTATTAACTACACTTGTAACGTTCCAGAAAATTAAAACTACATGCAGTTGCAAATATGTAGCAAGTACATTCCTGCCATACTAGAAGTCCCAAAATTTTGACCTATACTGTATCATATAGAACCCATTGTTTGAAGTGCTGCAAATCACAGTTGACAAACAAAATACAGATGAATGGTTGGCCTCTACAAACATGAAGTTCCTGTGTAGGAGCACTACACAGTGAAGGCATAATGGTCATTGAAGCAAAGTATCTCATATTCTTGATCTTGGAACTAAATGGAGAAGGCCATAATATACTCTGTGGCCATGTCATCCCTCTTGAACAAGTCTTAACATATTCATCCTCTAGGCTTGAGTGAAGCAGTTTACACAAATCTCTACCATGGCTACAGCACAGAAGCAGAACTTTCTTACATTTCATACTGCAAAACATAGGTTTTAGATGCTCAGTTTCATAATGAAATTCAGATCTTTGGTCGAGAAAAGATGTATAATTGTGGATCATGATTTTACCTTAGTATCTGCAGGAGAGAAGATGAATGGTTACAGTTAAAACTAGAGATGTTTTCAGCACTCAAACTAACAATCTGATTATACATGGAAGCCAGTTTCCCATGCAAAATAGTTTCCAGCTGTTCCCTGATTGTCCTGATCTGTTTCCATGGAACATGGATATCTAAATATACATCACTGATAGAGTGTTGGTATATACCCAGTGGTACCACCTGTTATATTTGCCATGTAAGAAACTTCAATGAATTTTCCTTATGTAAGAGCCACATTACTCCTACCAGATACATCTTCACACATATTTAGATTCAGTAAGAATAAGGAATTACTAAAACTGCTAAGATTAAGGATGCAGGCCTAATTTGTTATATTATCATGTTAAACTCATGTTTAGATTTTCAGCAGAGACAACAGATTTATTACTTCTCACTAGAGATTAGCATTTAACAGATTATATGAGAATGTGTGCTAATGAACTAAAGACAATAATTGCTGCTGAAAGAACCTGTGGATTATTAGATCAATTAATAAATGAATTGTGACAGGCCTCCTGATGTATGCCTGTGTCCATTGGGCTGCCATTACTAATGAATTTTGCCTTCATTTATATTATTGTTGGATGTAAATTGTTTTCTTTTAAAAATACTCCCAATTTACATAACTTTCAGGGCTGGTATCATATTTTTGATCATCATGCTGTCATCATGTGGTGGCTTCTTCCGTTACTGTTACACTGGATACCGACCTCAAATCATAGTACATCAAATAACAAACTATGTCCCATTCCCAACAGACAGATCTTGTTCAGAAGAAAGACAAGGACTTGTTGTAAGTAGGGTTTCCTCTGTCTGTTTTTCTGTAATACTGAGGTTTAGATCTTTCACGTGCAATATATTCAGTCCTGTGTGCGACTATTTTCACATTCATTGTCAAATATAAGGAACATATACATGACAGTAGAAGTAACAACAGTAACTCTGGATACTCAAACAGCATATTGAGTACTGGAGATGCATATGGAACGATAGCAGATACCATTGAAATTATTCTTTCTTGTTACCAGGATGTCGATTGTTACTGTTGTTATGTTGTCTAGTTTATGTGGTATGCTTTGCTGCATGGTCTATACTACTTTCCTCTGAAGAGAATTTATCTTCTTTCTTATTACCAGGATGTCAGTTGTTACTGTTGTTGTGTTGTCTAATTTATGTGGTACTCTTTGCTATGTGGTCTATACTGCTACTCTGAAGAGAAGTAGTAATAAGAATGAAGATAAATTTGTGCTCAAGAAACAGTTATCACAAAGGAATCTAGCCAATAATAGAAGAATCTGACTTAAAGATGCATGGTCTACTACAGCAACAGACACTAAGCTGAATGCAGCACACAACACTTGTATGTTAATTTTAAAAATTAGTAAAATTAATTTTTAACCTTTAGTTCATATATAACTTGTAATTAAATCAACATCAAGCAGTTAGAATATAAATGTACTTAGACGGTAGTCATTTTAAGCCTATGTATGTAAATATGAATACATGCTTTACATTTCAGTAATGAAAATACGTAAATCACAGCACCTGCAGATGACCCTATAAGGGTCGAAACATGTAGTGGAACATAAGTTAATAAATTATAGTTGCATTGACGGTGGAATTTGTATTATTCGTTATGTAGAATTTCACTTTTCTCAATGAATATTCTGACTGAAAATCTATAAAGTAAGCGTTGACATTAGTAATTCAGAGAATGGTATTTGGGACATATGAAACCCCTGACCTTTATTTTTATTTTGTGCTTGAAAAATCCTTGTCAATATAGTTTGACAGTTTTTCATTTTTGAAATCTGCTAAGGACTTGAACTGTTGAGACAAGGTGGAGGACTTACTTTCACTCATCTCATGTGCCTGATAAATCCAGATCAGAAGAGCAGTCATATTAAACATGGAAAGGATTAACACAAGTGTGTAAATTACTTCATGATTATTGGTAAAAATCTGATTATTATTACTTATCTGCATCTGAGAAAATATGGCAGTACGTCAGCATTTTATACAAGTTCCATAAAGTTTCACGTTTTTCTCACATCTGTGATTGAATGCCATCCATTCATTGAAAGAAGCCCAAGCAGATCATTCAGTAACTTTTCTAATCTTAACATCAGAAAAACCATGATGAGGGTGACTGCACATTGTGGAACTTCCAGAATAATCAGTGTTTTCTGTGGAGTATGGCTTGTGGGGGGGGGGGGCTAAAATTAAGATGAATACAGAATTAGTATTCTGTGCAATTGTCAACTTTTGAGCTTAATTCAACTCTTCCCCAAATGCCTCTTCTGATATTTTAATTGCACTGGGATGTACCTTGTATACCTACACTGAATGAAAGTTTCAGAAATCGTTTATAAAACAATATGAATAAAAACAAGATTATCTGGGGATAAAACTTCAGGTGCCTATTTTCTTTTTAGTACTTACATTCATATCAATTGACCTAATCCTTCCGGCCGCACTAGGCCACGGGATTTACTCAGCCTCTAACAGAAATGAGTACCAGGAATTAATTAAATAATTTTCCTGGTGAGTAAAGCGCAGCCGGGGCATAAGGCTGACAACCTAACTGCCATCTTTGAGCTGATTGTCTAGATAATGTGGGAGCCTCAGCGTCTCACAACCCTATGGCCCTTCACAGCCTGGTACAGGGATAGCTTTACTTACATTTGTATAACACAATAGACCACTGTAGGTTGCGGTGCAAGGGCCAAGAAGGCATACCCCTCATACATTCATACATACATCTGTATAAAGAGTGGCAAAGTAAGTAAAAGTAAAGTTGTTCCTGTGCTTAACTAATTAAGCACTGTGCCATGAAGGCATATGAGGGAGTGGATGTAGTCGTATAGATCTACGTTTTCTTGACATCAGCGCTAGATGGAGGTGAGTGGTCAGCTTCATGCCCTGGCTGTTTACCTCCGGGGAAAGAGCCCCTGGTACCCATTTGATAGGTTGAGTGAACTCTAGAGCTAGTCTGGACAATGTGGAGAAAATTCTTGACCCTACTGGGACTCAAACTCCAACACCTCGGTCATCCAGCCAATAGGTAGTCGGTACTCATTGGATAAGAGGTTGGGTGGACCCTAGAGCTGGTCTGGACGATGTGGAGAAGAGAAAATTATTGACCCTACCCGGCCTCGAACTCTGACCCCTCGGTTGTCCAACCTGTGGCCAGTTGCTATATTGACTATGCTATCCTGGCTCCTAAGTATAAAGTAATCATTTTTATGAATTCTTAGTGAAGCTGTATTTGTTTTTCTGTATTAAATACTACTGCAGAAAATATGAGAATTTTTGTTCATACTAATTAATTTTTTATACATTTTCATGGAATAATTATGGTTGTGTTTGATTTATAACTTTTTGTTCTTAATAACCACTGAAGCAGTTAAACAAATGTCTGGATCACATGGGGGAGGGGAAATGTCTGTCAAATGCACAGCATCACATTTTAATAACCTTATAAAATGAACAATGATTGCATTCATATTTGTCGTAAATACAAGTTTATTCTGAGTAAATTCAAAATAAAAATAATACCCACAGTTTACAGCTTTCAGTGGGAATGTTGGAAAGTATGAATATGGACTTAAGGTACCCCTGGTAAGCTGCTTTGGTAACTTTAGGGATAGTTATACCAGTTTGAGAAATGTTGCTGTAGAAGGGTGTGAGGGTGCACATAACCAAAATGAGATGTTTGATGTCATATGAGTGGTAGGTTAATGCAATGTAGGATCTTCCCTAGGAATATTCAGACAAGGAAGGATTACTATAAATATATGAGAAGTGGTGATGGTACCATAGAAGTAATTGCTATTATGAAATTTATAAAAATTTATTAAATATTTTCTTGACAAACCTGTCTTAATATCTGGCAGTTAAGTTGAACCTTGTCAGTTAGTTTTATATCATTGTAAATTAGATACAGGTCAGTATGATGCCTTAACTGAGCGGTCCCTCAACAACTGCACATTTTATGCATCAGCTGTTTTTAATATGTGTATCCAAACCAAAAATTTGTGGCTTCTGCAGCAACAGAATCACGGAAGGACATAGTGGCATCTGACATCCATTTCCTTGCTTCCAGACTACTAGTACTATGTGTCATTTTGTGACCTTTTATATTAATTTGTATGTAAAAGTTGTCCCTGTGCTTAACTAATTGAGCGCTATTCCTTGAAGGTGTATGGGTTACAGCGGTACATATTGTGACCAAATTGTCGTGTGTTGGTTGTTTGTAACGCGACACTATACTAAAACTGGAATAATACAGAGATTAATTTGTATGTAGTCCTTTTAAATATTGTGACGTGGATGGCGTAGTGGGAGGTGGGGGTCGCGTGAACTCTTGTGATCTCGCTGTGGCCCGTTGCTGGGCTGTCGCTGTCGTCGTGTGTGACGTCGCCCTTGCCATCGCTGGTCACTGGGCTTTCGCTGGGCGGTCACCCTCACCCTTGGCAGTGCTCTCGCCATCGTCATTGTGTGTGATGTTGCCCTCGCTGCTGGCTGTGCTCTCGCCATCGCTGGTCACTGGGCTGTTGAGATCGTTGTTTGCTGAGTATCACCCTTGACGTTGGGTGTGCTGTGGCCATCGCCATTTGCTGTGATCTTCTCACGTACCCATCTTCTGATCCACTCGAAGCAGCCGCCGATGGACCAGTCTTGGGAGTGTTTCGTGCCGTCTCCCATGTTTTCTGGGTAACTCTCGTCATAAACGTCATTGTCGACGTCCAAATCGTTTTTGACGCACAAGCATGTGTGGACCCAATCAAAGCAGCCACTGCTTGTTGAGTCTCGGGACAGTTTTGTGCTCTCTCGTAGTTCGTCATGAAGGCAGCCGCTGTAACCTTTCGTTTTGGCGGGAAAACAAGCATGAATGCTCTCCACCCCACGCTCCATATCCGAACCAGAAAGACATATGTTTACAGACATTTTCGTAGTTCCTTCACGTTATTTCGTAGTTACAGTCTTCTCTTGCGATTGGTTGAAATGCAAATTAATGCTGGTAATGGATTTTAATGATGAAGGTACTCCCAGCGGGAGGTGTGGGTCGCGTGAACTCTGTGATCCCACAAGTGACGTCACATACCTCCACTCCGTTCATCAGTGTGCAATGCTCGGTAGACACCCCTTTCCCCGCGGTGATGTGGCAGTAATTTGTAACAGTGAGTTACAAATTAGCCAGGGGGTCAGTCAGTCAGGCAGTCAGTCAGTGTGTGAGCAGGAGTGACACAGTGCAGATGGAACAGTCGCCGAGTTCAGTTGTAGCGGAAAGAATACTGGAACGTGTGATTAGAAGTGATAGCGTGAGAAGCAGATGCTTGGCTCACAAGAGAAGTAATTGGGAGTGTGTAATACAGTGACACTGGTATAGCTCCCGTATCGTACTGTGAATACGTGTAGACTACTGAGGACAGAGTGGACAGATTATTGTGTAGGGTTGTAAATTGTGTAGACCCATAACAGTGTCATAATTAATTGTAGCCAAGACTTGTAGGTTGTTAAATAAACCAATTAACAATCTGAACGGCGTCTTCAGCAGCAAAACACGTTACAATATATTCCAACATAATTATCTGTAGGAACAGACAACTTGGGCTTCAGTGTCTTAATTCTCGGTTTCCCATGAGGCCTTGGTCTTGCCAAATACAGTGGTTTTCAGGAATTGTAATGCACCACTGGGTGGTGAGAAAATTTTTATATACTGAAAGAATGAGGTTTTTATAACTGGAACCATGGTAACAGTGTAAGTTTCACTAAGGGATGTGGATATTTTACAAATCACCATGTCAGGTCTGGCTACTGAGCTCACCAGCCTCCCAGTGTAATAGATATCATTGGAGGTTTTGCTGTGATTGGGGAAGAATGGAATGTGATGCTGAATATTTACTATAGAGTTGATAGTACTGGATCTTCTCTACATGCATCCTCATTGGCTGGTGCTACAATTATTATTAGGGCATAGCTGTTGTATCACCGGATCTGTGATATCTTCTGTATTTGCAGTCATGTTAAACCATTCAGAACTTGGGAGCAATATGGTTGAAGGTTGTGTGAGAGGTGGTAATTGTATGAGGCATTAAATGTACCAGTTGGACTGTAGTAGAACAGTAACTCATAGGCACAACCAGAGGATGATACATTTAACAGATTTTCATTACTCATGAGTCAGACCATGCAAATGAAATGAACTGAGAACTGTAAAATTATGTGAAACAATCCAACCTTAATTTTCATTGGTACCTTCATGATTTGGAGAGTGCGTTTATCTGCTTGTTTGACGTGATCCAGATGTGAACTCAGAGAAGTCCAGATTTTTATAAACAAACCTTGTCAAAGGCAAGACTCTAGAATATTAGGCCCTTAGTAACAACTGCATAATTTGCTTCAACCATTTCTGTAATGTACCATTCTGTTCGCAATTTTTCTGCAGTTTTTCCATATACTATTTTTCAATAAAGATCTCCAGTTTTCACATTTGTTATGGGGCTGGGGGTTACTGTAGTCTTTCATATTTTTTCTGGACTGTTTTCACAAAAGCAGAACAACTTAGTATGTTTCATCAGTTACACAGATCTGTTATACAAAACCAGAACTAATTGGATATCATTTTTATACATTAACAAAGGCCTGTTTTTAATTTGCATTAATGAAGGCTGTAGTAAAATGATAATTTGGTGTTTTTTGCAGGCACATGAAGATGTGGAGGCACCCATGAATCATCCTGAGTCACCACCTCCACCTTATTCTGCCTCAGTCAGTCCTGGGAAGGAGATAAAATGAAGCAGTGCAAATCACTTGTAACATTTTGCACAGTTCTTAAGAAATAAATGTACATTTCTCTCACTCATTCAGTAACTTCATGAAGAAACTTGCCAAATTTCATTCATCCATCGTGTAGAGGCACTTTAAGTCTTTCGTGTCTAGTTTAGTGTGTGTGTGTGTGTGTGTATATATATATATATAATTAAATTTAGTACACTGTATATAGTTTAAAGTAACCTACATACCTACAGGCGCGCGCGCACACACACGCACAACACACGTTAGACATTAAAGAAACTCTAGTATAGGCCTATGATGTTTAAGGAAAAACTTGGAAAAATGAAATATCATTGTTGATTGGAGTGTTCTTTCAATGTTATTCATATATTTATATAGACAGAATAAAAATATGAACAGTTCTTGTGTTTGTTATTTGAATCATTAATAACATAAACAATATTACAATTGCAGTTGTTTAATATGCCACTCAGTTTCCGTCCATGAAATATCTCCTTTAAGCAAGTGTCTACTGCCATAACAGGCTGAAACAAAATACAGATATTGGTTAGGAGTCACATAAATGTGATAAATTGACATGAAACATATCTTTATGCTCTGCACAACTAAGTATAATAATGTATAAGACCTGTATAACCCAGTGGAACCTAACAGCTTGATGTGTGGGCACACCAAAAGGCCAAACAGTTACTTAATGGAAATTATGTCCACTCTGAAGTAATCTTATCCCTATAATAATTTAAATAGGGTTTTCAGCCATTTGAAGGACAGGTTGTATTAAACTCTCATTTTAAATACATCTGTGGAGGGATCCAGCCTTATTTTTCACATAGTGGGGGGTGGAGTCCAGCTGGGTCCATTCAGGTCATGATCAAACAAGGGAGAACAGTCTGTCTAAGCTAAAAAAATATTCATCATATGCTTCAATATCACAAATATCCAGTGAGAAAATACAAATGTGCAATTTCTAACACACAATTTTTTTTATTCTACTGCTTTCCTAAGATTTAAAGAGGCCCTACATTTAGAAAAGGCGAAGTTTTGGATTTAGTGGAAGAATATGCAGACAAACCATATTTCCGAAAAAAACATTGCTGCATACCTCGCACAATATTTTGTGTAACAGGGTAAAATCAGTATTTCAAAATTGTAAGACTGGCAGAAGTGACCTAATTTAATGGAATTTCTTGTAATAGTACCTTTATTTTCAGGTACGGGCATTCAAAATTTGAGCTTTCTCTTGCAATCACACTATTTAAATGATCACACTTATGGGACCAATGTCTAAAATTACAGATGCATTTAGCAATTTTAGATTACTTGCAATAAAAATTAAAAACATTATGAGTATGGCTTTAAAATTCTTCAGTGAATCTTTTTGGAGAAAAAGAAACAAGTACAAATGATGAAAACTTATTTACTGACCAGTCAACACATACAGGAAATCCCAGGATGTGAAGTTGATATTTCACCCATGTTTTGGGAGGTCATTACATAAGTTGAAAATAAAGGGTAATTATTTTTCCTGTTCTCAATATCAGTTGAGTTCTAGACATCTTAAATTGTTAACAGAAATAAACAGAAAAAGTTTACTGTTTTAAAATTTTTACTGAAGTAACAACTTAATACAATAAACTCCCTGTTATCTGGCATGTATGGGGAATTCAGAATGCCAGTTTCATCATGAAAAATGATTGAAAACCCAACTTTTATGCAATTTGCACCCTCTTCCAGTTTTCTAATATTACCAAATTCTGAGTTAAAACATGTTTTCACTTTAGGTTTTGTATGGGAGTCTCCTAGGTGACATGCATGTTAATGAGTTATATATTGCAGAAACACTGTGACCACACATTCAAACTAGCCTATATGTAATCACACACTAGAACTTACTGGCACTTACAATTTTGTACAAAAGTGAAACAAATTACACACAAGAAAGTCAGTATCTGCTGATCTGCTGCCAATTTTACAATGTAAACACTAATTCTTATTCAAAGCCTACAGCTACCTACTGGTTGTGGTAGAAGCAAAACGATGCTTGGTCCACGTTTCAGTGAGTTGACAGTCATGAACTACTATTGAAGCTGAATCAAAAGCAAACCCATCAAGCAGCTAATCAACCATTTACCTACAAGATGCAGTAATGTTTCTCTTATATCCCACAAACAAGTACTGCACTAATAAGCGGTATTATAATCTCAAACATATCCTACGTACGTACTTAACCTAACATTATTTATATCGTCATTACAAAATATGACACCTGAATTAATATAACTTACTTCATAATTGTTAGGGATGGCATTCCTGCATCTGCTCCTTTCTTATAGCCTGAAACACAGCATGAAGAGATTAAGTATTCCGTGATGATTAGTATTACACACCATTTTCCATTTCATGCAAAATGTAGGCAGTAAGTCTGGCCATACAAACCTAAATATAGAATTGTTGGGATGAAGCCCCAGCGGAATAGGCATTTGGAAACATTAACAACTAAGGAGAGCCTCTTCTTCGTGCCTTCGCTCATTTTCACCATTGTTATGAAATGGGAAAAAGTTTGAAAATCAATTGTGCTCCTCACTTCTTTCGGTCTTCTCCACCCATTCAAAATCCTGCTACAGGGTCAGTAACATTACAAATACATCTTCCCTCTGGAACCTAACACGCTGAAGTGAAGATATAAATTTCCCGATACAGGAGAACCGTAGATGATAACGTACCGATACAACTGTGGGGTGTTATTATATGATGAGACAACCACTTGTTGAACTGTTCTATAATATTTATTACAGTTGCACAGTATACACAGACGAAATTGAGTTTGAAGAATTGAAGAATAATAATAATAGTGAACTCTGTAACACCTTGAACGCTGTATTGAAAAGCAACTCTGAACTGAAACTGCAAACTACAGTCAAAGTCACATTGCGACTGACGGTCAGTCAGTCTGACTGTCCGTCTTGATGAGCTTGATGTCGAGCTCCGGCTGGGGCTCATGACCCCCCCCCGCGCGGAATGATTTGTCAGCTGTAAGGCTAGGAACACACACAGCGACATCGGTTGCACGACGTCCGTACGGTTCATGTCGCATCAAGTAGTAGAATATATACGTCACGACATGCGACATCTACCGTACGACAGTCGGAGAGCAAAGAAATGTATTTGATAGCTCTAGTGTGAAAAGGAGGTAGTATGGCAAAAAATCGTACGGTATTTTTCCGTACGACCGATGTCTCTGTGTGTGTCTTCCTACCCTTAAAGCGAGCAGGAAAACGTACGTGGCGTCCGCAGACTCTAGGTCGTGCTACGGGCGATGGTGGCACGGTATGCAGAGCTGCGACCGGGGTTGCGTCGGACAGATCAACTACAGATCAGATATTTTGCATTCGTCAGATATTGGAGAAAAAATGGGAGTACGATGAGACGGTACATCAGCTATTCATAGACTTCGAGAAAACCTATGATTCAGTTAGAGGGAAATATTGTACAATAGACTGATAGAGTTTGGGATACCATGAAACTATTTAGGATGATTAAAATGGGTTTAAAGGAAATGTACACGTATAGTAGAGTCAGTGTAGGTAAACATTCGTCTGATAAATTTCCTATCCAGAATGGTCTAAAACAAGGAGATGCTTTATCACCAATGCTCTTTAACTTTGCTTTAGAATATACCATTAAGAAAGTCCAGGAAAACCAGGTGGGACTGAAATTAAATGAGACACATCAGCTGTTGGTCTATGCCGATGATGTGAATCTGCTAGGTGATAATATAGATACCATAAAGAAAAACACACAAACTTTATTTGATGCTCGTAAGGAGGTTGATCTAGATGTAAAGAGAAAGAAAACTAAGTACATGTTGCTTTCTCGTCACCAAAATGCAGGGCAAAATCATGACATAAATATAGGTAACAGAGGTTTGGAAAATATGGCACAGTTTACATATTTGGGAACGACGATAATAAATCGAAACCTGATTCAGGAGGAAATTAAGAAAAGATTGAACTCGGGTAATGCTTGCTACCATTCAGTCCAGAATCATTTGGCTTCTCATCTGCTGCCTATAAACATAAAAATTAGAAAACATAGAACGATAATTTTTCCTCTGGTTATGTATGGGTGTGAAACTTGGTCCCTGACATTAAGGGAGGAACATAAACTGAGGGTGTTTGAGAACAGGGTGTTTAGGAGAATATTTGAAGCAGAGAGAGATGAAGTGACGGGAGGTTGGAGAAAACTACATAATGAGGTGTTTCATAACTTGTATTCGTCGCCAAGCATAATTAGAATAATTAAGTCAAGAAGGATGACATGGGCAGGGAATGTAGCACGAATGGGGAGAAGAGGAATCCCTATAGGATACCGGTGGGAAAGCCAGAAGGAAAGTGACCACTAGGAACACCAAGACGCAGGTGGGTAGACAATATTAATATAGACCTTAGAGAGATAGTATGGGATCGTATGGACTGGATCGATCTGGCTCAGGATAGGGACCAATGGAGGGCTCTTGTGTACATGGTACTGAACCTTCGGTTTCCATAAAATGCTGGGACGTACTTGAGTAGCTGCAGAATTGGCGGCTGCTCCAGAAGGGCTCAGCTCCATTGGTAAGTAAGTAAGTAAGTAAGTGAGTTAGTGTGCAACCTCTTTATTATATCCGTCACAACACAACTAATATCAAGATCAGAACATTTTCGGCCTTGCTACACATTTCGGCTATTGATAGCCATCATCGGGCAAACACATGATTTACACACACATATACCCACCACTGAACCGCAGCACCAATAAGATTGGATACAATACTATTAAAATATATAAAAACACTTGAGACAAAAAATACAAAAATCAAGTTATATAAAACAGAAGTATAACATAAAATAAAAATAAAATTCTTTTGGTGTTTTTACATCAACGTGTCAGTCGTTGGTTTGTGATTTGTTTTTTGTTTCGTCCCCACGGACAAGTTGGAATATTCATACTTATGCATATATAATTGTGTATGAGGCTCGTAATGTAGATGTAGTAAAGTATATTATAATATAGTCAGTGCCTCATCTCACAAAGCATTGTCCGTACTGTAGGGAATGTAAAGAACGGCATTCTTGTTTACATTCCCTACAGTACGGACAATAGTTGAAACCCTCGCAAACAACCACTGAGATGACTGAGATTATGCCCCCACATCAACAGGGTGGCTGTCGAAATTGCCACATTCTGCTATATTTGTACCGCGAAAACGGACACAAACTGCTTCACTTCTGGCTCTGCCAGTTTTCTCCAGTCTCGATTGCATTTCCGTTTAATCCGACTTCTACTCCAGAAGTAACAAGAAGTACTCTTTCACCGGGGATATGGTTGCTTAACTTCTTAATATGAAAATATAGGAGAGCCACAATTTTAGACGAACAAGAAGAAAATTAAGAATTTAAAATTTACGTGAAAGGTGCATTTATTCGTCGGCTTCATTCATTAAGCATCAAGCCATGAAGGTGCATGGAGGTATATTCCCATAATTCTTAACCAGGCCATTGAGTAATCAAAGAGATACAGGAATTAAGGATTCGAAATGCGTAAAAAGGGCTACCGCGATCCATGCAGTCGTTTGTAACAGCCGTGGCTACCGTACATATGGGTACGAATACAGGACACGTTTCGTAACATATCTGGGTGTTCTCCCCAAACTAAGAAAGTGAAGATATGAAATGACTTAATTGTTTATATCAGGCAAAACCAAAATGTGGCCGGTCACGGTAGCCGAGCGGTCTAAGGCATGTACTGTCTTCGCTCGCTTGGAAACCGGGATCGTGGGTTCGAATCCCACTCAGGGCATGGATGTTTAGATTGTGTGTGTGCCTTTTTCTGTGTTTGTGTACAGGTAGAGGCCTTGCGAAAAGCTGATCACCCGCCCAAGGAGTCCTACCGAATGTGTAAGATCAAGAAAATCCGAAGTGAACGGAGAAGTTCATGGAGGTAGGCCTAGGCCCACTGGGACTGTAGTGCCAAGGGGGAAAAAAAATGTTTATCGAAAGGGTGAATGGGAGAAATAAACCATAAGATATTTCCCTGTAACCACCGCATCTTCTTCTTCTCCTTTCATCCTCCTTTACTTGACCATTCTAATTATAAGTGGAGAAGAGTACAAGTTATGAAGCTCCCCATTATGCAGTTTTCTCCAACCTCCTGTCACTTCATATCTTTTCGGTCCGAATATTATACTTAGCACCCTGTTCTATGTTCATCCCTTAATTAAAAAGAAAATAATTTTTTCTTTTAAATTCGCTTAGTGGGGGGTGGAATCCAACTGGGTCCATTCGGCACGGCGGCCACTGATTGGTCTATTGTAGCCTGCCCCGGGTGATTATGATGATGGAGAATTTAGGTGGAATGAAGATTGGCAGAGGAAACTGAAGTACTCGGAGAAAACCCGCTCCAGCGCCACCTTGTCCACCACAAATCCCACTTGACCAGACCCTGGGTCGAATCCGGGCCGTCGCGGTGGGAAGCCAGCGACTAACCGCTTGAGCTATGGCTCGGCCTTCCTCCCTTAAAGTCAGAGACCAAGTTTCCCCACTCATACAGAACCACAGGCAAAATTTTTGCTTCATTTATTCTAATTTTTGTTTCTAGACAGCAGACGAGATGACAAAATTTTTTAAACTGAATGGTAGCAAGAATTACCCTAGTTCAATCTCTTCTTAATTTCCTCACGAACCTCATGAAGCAGGCTCTTATTTGTTAGAGTCGTTCCCAAATATCTGAACTGTGTCACATTTTGAAAACATGTGTTACCTACGAGTATTTTCATCATGTCATGATTTTGCCGTGCATATTGGTAACGAGATAGTAACATATACTTAGTTTTTTTTTGTGTTTACTTCTAGACCAACCTTCCTACTAGGATCAATTAAAGTTTGTGTGTGTGTGTGTGTCTCTGTGTGATCAATATTATCACCCAGTAGATTCACATCATCAGCATAGACCAACAGCTGACGTGGAGTCGCTGCGAATATATTGAGTAAGCAGTCGCGGACAGCCGGCATGGGGTGGTCCTCCATCTAGGGGGTTGGGCGTGAGGCTAACAACTCCTCACCGTAAAAAATAACCTTGTTACGAAAATTTGCAAGATGCCTCGGACCTGGATGATGGTCTCCACCCATTACAAAAATTAATAGTGCGTTTGAATTCGTGATTTATTGACAGTATTATTAATTCCAGAATCTATTTTAACCTAAGTCGTCGATTCACTAAATATAAATAAGTTCACTACGGCCATTTTGAGGGGAAAGCTATTTAGTCCCTGATCATGATATCTGGTTCCCCGTGGGTTCTCGCGTTTTGACCAGGTGGACCAGGGGAGTCTAATAACCATGGGTAGCAAGTCCGTCACGGAATATAAACCCATACTAGCTGGACGAGCTGGACGTTGTACTTAGTCTTAGTCTCTGGGATTGGATCAGACTAATGCAATTCGATAGGTTGCTCAGAGGGCACTGTGATTGGTTCCGTTTGGTTCCAGACTACATTTGAATGCTCATGTGACGACTGCGCACATTTCTACTCTCCTATCTCACTTCTCACTTGCAATCTCCCCCCCCCCAGTTGTGTTAAGGTCGATTACCGTAATTACCGTGGATACGTGGATGACCGTGAATGACTGTATAGATCTGTAGAGTGCTGTAGTTCGTGTAGATGAAGTTTAAAGGGAGAAGGTGACTTCTTATTCTCGATAATGTTATGCTTTTAAGATTTGATCCGTAAATCTGTGCATTATGGCTTCTGCTTCGAGTACTAGTGCTAGAAGTCTGTTTGTAGATTCAAAATTACGGCTTGCCGATCGAGTACAAGTGAATGTCAATAACATTGCGTCAGTAGCAAGGCAAATACAGCGTGGTGCTAGGTCAAATGAGGTGGGTCTACAGTAATTTACAAATTTAATTCTGGAAATAACACTGAACGTGTTATATCTCATCTGAACGTTTTAGGGTGTCCTGTCGTTTCAGTAGGCAAGTTCTGGGATACAGTCTGTTTAGCATTATAGAATAAAATTATTATTTTTTTTTTTAATTCGCCTAGGGGGGGGGGGGGAGTTCATCTGTGTCCACTAGGCATGGCTGCCACTGATTGGCCTATTGTAGCCTACCCCGGTTATTATGATTATGGAGAATTTGGTGGAATGAAGATTGGCAGGGGAAACCGAAGTACTTGGAGAAAACCCGCCTCAAAGCCAATTTGTCCACCACAAATCCCATTTAACTAGACCCGGGATCGAAGCCGGGCCGCTGCGGTGTGAAGCCATCGACTAACCACTTGAGTTATGGCGCGGCCATTAGCATTATAGAATATTTATAGCCCCATTTAAGGGCTGACTTTCTGTAGCTACATACTGTCAAATGTAGAAAAAATTGAAAAATGTGGCCTAATAAGTCGTAAGGTTAGATTCATTGGTGCTGGAAGCACCCTTGCAAATATAGTTATAAAAGACATTAAGAAACAGTAATATAGTATACTTTTAGAAAAGTCAGTAAAATCAAATCAACATTGGACATTATTCTAACAATGGAGACAGAGGTAAAATTGTAATGTGTTCCCTCATATCAAAACACTCGATAGATTATGATGAAATAAGAAGTAAAATCTTGAAAGTCTCATCATTAGTCAGTACTCCATTGAATTACATTGGTGATCACTGAATACATACAAGTATTTTTGAAGATTATCTTAAAATCTTAGTAGTGAAACCATTGTATAAAGAAGGCCTTTAAAAAAACATGCATGTGGTAGCTGAACTTGCTTTACACTACAATCAGACGGAAAGAGAGAGACTGTCAGTTGCATTACTGTGGAATGTTTCTGTTATGGTTTATCTTGTATGGCTATCACTGCACATGCAAATGACTGTAATACACACCAATTCTCTTTGTGCTTCTGTTCTTGTAGCATCATTCAGAAGTTTGTTCCATGTTCTCATTTATAGTACTGAATGGAGATGGTGAAATATATATTTGTAGATACAGATGTGTGGATTCATATACATTTTTAGGTTTACTGGTTTTCTGAATGTTTTTATGAGTGGTATTTATAGGATGTTTTGATCAGAGGAGGACCGGAATTAATAATTATAAATCATTTACTGATGAAAATGAAACTTGGCAAGTATATGCTTTGGTAAACATGAAGATGATTAGGTTACAGAAAATGCTGAATGTGGTTTCCCTCCACCTGGAGGCAAAGGGTGATATGACATTCCATGTTTTCGAATGTTGCCAGCTTGGCAGGAGGGAATACAGCAATTGCAGAAATGATGTAAACTGAACAGGTAGGTCAGCATTACAAAGTATGCAGTGTTGTCATGTATCGTTTCTATTGGTAAATTATTGTGTAATTTATAATTGTTAATTCAGGGTCACCTCCAAGTGAATAAGCATGTGTAAGTATGTCCAGTTTGGAAAGATTTGGTACAAAACTTCTTGACTGAAAAGCACATATACTGATGAACATATATAGATGTGACATGGATGATGGCTTCTATTTAAATTTACCACAGTTAGCTGCATAGTATTTATCATTTGCTTGTATAATTTTGTTGCAGGTGTTGATGCATGCAGCAAGGAACTTTGCTTTGCAAGAACATGCTATTGAAAATACAGAGTCTGTAAGTCTTCTGCATATTATACAATTTTATAGGTGTTGTTTGTATATTGTCATGTCATCCAATGACTATAGACAGGATTTGGATTGGTGATCAGATTTATTGAACTCCTTAAAGATCATAACTACAAGTAATTGTAACATTTACACTAATTCACACACACTACAGTTTGCTACAGCACACATTAAATCTTCTCAGTCTTCTGTCTCTTCATTGGTTTTCCGGTAATGGCTTCCAACACATAGTGTCCTCAGCTTGTGTGTTCAAGTCAATACTGGCCAGTGACTGTCTTACAACTATTCACAGTCAAAGTCACATTGCGACTGACAGTTAGTCAGTCGATCTTGGTGTCAGGCTCAATCTGGGGCTCATGACCATATAGATATCTGTTACTGTTTGGCAGTTTAGGTCATGTTATTGTGGGGCACCCTCTAACAAGAGGATGGGTCTGTCTTTTGTCTCAATTGTCATAATGTAAAGGATATTTACATTTTACATGTTAAACATGATAACAAATGTATTAAATATATTCAGGGCCTCTGTCAGTACAGGCTCAGTACAGCAGATTATGTCCTGTTTCTAGTAGCTTCTGCTACAACGGCAGTCTAGTCACTTGAACGGTCATATGTTTGACCGCCGCCAAGTTTAAGCCTCTTATACTTTCTATGTCGGGCTTCGCCTTGTCCAATATTGCAAATATTTTTGTTATCATGATTTTGTATGACTTCTGCTTGTTGTCTGCATAATTTTGTTATATAATCATACACGTATGGAATTTTGAAAGCCATGTGTAAATCGCGAACCAATGTGTACCTTGGAAAATTGCCAATGGTGCGGAGAACCTTGTTTTGTAGGTGCTGCAGTTTCATTAGATGGGTATATGCCGCGAATTCCCAGGTGGGACTAGCATAAGTCATTACGGATCTAATGAGAGCTTTGTGGAGGGTCAGCGTGATGTCATTGCAGATGTGGATGTTACATGTTCCTCTGTTGTGTGAAGGTGCAGCCATGTGGACATGACCTGGAAACCACTGAAATGTGTTTACAGAGCTATTGCCTCACAGTGGCCATCTCTGCTGGCTTCATGATTCAAGCTCTCAGCAGACATGTGACAATATATAATGTGATCATGTTGGAGCTTCCTGCCAATAGCTAATCACTCAGGTGGTAGAGTCCAATGCTTTGCCTATCAGGTTGGGCCATGGAGATTTTGACTGCAAACAGAATCAACAAGCTAGTTTCCTTTGGTGTAATTATTTTGAGCATCCATCATCGAACCATGGCTTATGCTTCTTCAGTTCATAATAACCTAAACTCTGAAATTTTGGTATTCTAATATTTTCCTAAGGTTTATTAACATTCACCTCAGTGCCTGAGTTTTTCAAAGCTGTGAACCTGTTTGAGATTTCAACATGATATTACTCCTTACCCTCTACATTGTTTAATTTCTTGAGATCGAACCTGTCCATATGAAGTCTGTGTGTCGTTTGCTTACTCGCTGCCAGTCTTTCCCTAACCTTTGCCACCACCAGATAGTGGTTAGTATCACAATCTGCTGCCCTGAATGATCGGACATCAAGTATACTTGAATGCCCTCTCCTATCTATCAAAATATGGTCAATTTGATTGTGTATTCCCATCAGGAGATGTCCAAGTACACTTATGAATATTACGATGTGGGAACATTGTACTTGTGACAATTATTTGCAGTTCCAGAGGAGTGTGAAATTGCAGGTAATGATTTGAACCAAATTGGAGAATCCCATGTTCATGGATGTGTATGCTTGCATGTGCATTTGTTATATTGATTCTTTTTTTTGAGGAAATCAAAATATTGACTGCCTCTGTGGTCTAGTGGTCAAAAGTTCCTGGCTACAGATCCAGAGGTCCCGGGTTCGATTCCCGGCGATAGCAGATTTTCTGAGAAGTAGTGGGTCTGGAATGGGGTCCACTCAGCCTTGCGAGGATAACTGAAGAGCTACATGAGTGGTAAAACAGCGGCTCTGGTCTAGAAAACCGAGATTAACGGCCATGGGGATCCATTGCACAGACCATGTAACACTCTCTATCAGCTGAAGTTGGCACTAACTTGGCTGACAAGCAGCGGTCGCTCGGTCGATATAGTTCGTTTGTGGACTAAAGACACTGAGTCTNAGATTAACGGCCATGGGGATCCATTGCACAGACCATGTAACACTCTATCTGTTGAAGTTGGCACTAACTTGGCTGACAAGCAGTGGTCGCTCGGTCGATATAGTTCGTTTGTGGACTAAAGACACAGAGTCCGTTTTTTGTTTTGTTTGTAAATCAAAATATTGCAGAGATGCAATCTTGACATGACCTGTATCCTCTAAATGCATTCTATGCATCTGAAAGTGTTTCAGCTGTGGTAGTAGTTAATGAGGGCTCTTTTCCATAGGGACAAGTGTCTGAAGTGTGAAGTTAACCATTTCAATCTAGTGCTGAGATTAAGAATCTTTGGGGCCTTGCTTTTGCTTTCCATACATATTCATGGCATTTTGCTTAAGCTTGGGGATGACTTTTACCTTTTATCAACAGACCTACCGTTATAGTGAGTTATTCTAATCAACTATTGTTTTCCACTACAGAACCTAAAGAAACTGCAGCTAATATCAGCTCATCTGGGATTTCAACAAGAATCACTATTGAAGAGTGCAGTGTTGATGGAAGAAGTAAAAGAACAAGTTCGTGCCATGCAGCGTTAACATTTTATATGACATACTTTGTAATTGCATAATTAGCTTGAGTCTGTAGGCTGTGTTGAATGCTAATGGAGAAGGATGTTGATAGGTAATAACAGATGGTGAATATGCAATGAATTGTTTACATAGTTAGTATACAGAATCAGTGAAATGCGAAAGTAGCATAAGAATTTATAAAGGCTTGTAACTGTACAACTACCTACTGCAGTGGTCTGGTGATTAATATACGAGTTTAGTATTCATAGGGTTATGAGACTGATCTTAATTGATCGTTATCTGTCAGTATAATTACAGTCATTCACCTGAAGAAAGGGTATTTGAGCACACTTCCATAAAGTATGTTAAATGTACCTGAGATTGTGGACAGTAAAAAGTAAAGTAATGTAAAGCAAAGCTATCCCTGTACCAGGCCATGAAGGCCCATAGGGTTGTGAGATGTAGAGGGTCCCACATTATCTAGACAATCGGCTCAAAGATGGCGGTAAGGTTGTCGGCCTTACGCGACGGCTGCGCTTTACTCACCAGGAAAATTATTTAATTAATTCCTGATACTTATTTCTGTTAGAGTTTGAGTAAACCCCAGGGCCTAGTGCGGTTGGAAGGATTAGGTCAACTAAAAAAATCCAATGACCTCATCATAATTTTGGTGTTTGTTGTGTGCACTACCACTTGTGATGTAAGTCCCATGAACCGTAAATTGCCAAAACAGTTCCTAACAGTAGACATCTGTGCAATATTAGAATCTCATATTGTGTGAATGAAATCGTATTGCTATGAATTTTTGTATTATATCTTCTAGATTTAAACGATGTGTTGAATTTCATTTATTCATTTACCAAATGGATCAGTATACAGTTGATAATGGATGTGTCATAAAAATTACAGTAATTTAAAATGATTATGTTAAATGACAAATTGATTAAAAGATGTATATAAAATATATGTTAAGTTACAAAAAGAAACTGAATTATAAATAAATAACTCAAGAAATGAATGTAATAATTTTGAACTGGTACAAAAGTATGGTGTGCTTTTTGGAAAAGTGGTGGGGGGATCCAAATTTAGGTGGAGGGTGTTTTGGATAAGTTTGTGGTAAACATTATGACCCAAGGAGTGATAAGGTCTCCTGTAAGTATTGATTCCAGGAATGTCCATCTGCATAGTGAAGTAGATATTCCAACAGGCACTGTGCATGTGGTAAGGGATGTCCTTCAGCTTCATCTGTCAGTGCTGTCAACAAAGGTGTTGTTCATGTACTAGAACTAGTAGATGGGCTTGTGTGTTGCCTGGTCAAGAGCTGTCTTTTCAAACTCCTTCATGTAGAAGGTGGTGACTGTTGATTAGGGTAGTAAAGCCATCGCCACGCCATTTATCTGTTTATAGAACTGACTGCCAGTGCTGAAGAAAGAGACAGTGAGGGCATGGAGAAAGAGCCTCAGAATATCTTCCTCGAAGTGTCGAAGTACGAGGTCCAAGGTTCCCCTGATGGGCCTCTTGGTTAGGAGTGAGAAATTTTAGACTCCGCCTGTTTTAAAATCCAGGCGAATCTTATCCAGAAATTCAAATTACAGTACTTTTCTAATTCTGTTTTTTGTAGCCAATCACAAGTAATTTATAACAAATTCTGTGCACTGTTGATTCGTTGCTTGTCTGTTAGCAGTTAGTAGTATGAAATCCTTCTTATGTGGTACATGCTAGTAGTTCTGTGTGTTAAATAGTGCCATTATACATAATGGAAAACTGGCTTCAATCCAGATCTTTGAAAAGAAAGGAATGTGATGATACACTTCATTTAGGCAGTGCTGATAGTTCAGAAGATGTGTGTGAAGATATTAATATCAGTGATTGTAGTGCCATTAAAGAAATATCTAGTGGTAGCTGTTCAAAGAAAAAATACTTTCGTAAATATGACAAGAGTTATTTGGAACTTTGTTTTACTTGGTGTGGCAATGAGAGTGAACCAAAACCTCGGTGCCTTGTATGTTATGAGTGCTTTCAAATGAGTGCATGAAACTCACGAAATTGAAACAGCACTTAGAGACAAAACACGCAAGTGTACTCGTAAAAAGCAAACCTGTTGAATTTTTTCAATGATGTGTTGAAAAAATGAATAAAGAAATGAACGTTGTTTCTAACATAGGTTCAGCAACTAAGAAGGCCTTAGAAACTTCCTGTATTATAAGTCTTCATATCGCAAAGAGCAGCTCACCTCATTCTCTTTAATACTTCCAGTTGCAAAAGATATAGTTAAAACAGTGTTTAGTGAAAAATTATCTAAGGACATTGATTTAGTACCACTCTCAAACGATACAGTTACACGCCGAATCAATGACATGGCTAATAACGTAGAATCTGAACTTATCAGTAGAATAAAAGAAAGTCTATTTTATTCACTTCAGATAGACGAGACAACAGACGTTTCGAATGATACACTGTTGACTTGTTATATCAGGTACGAGTTTAACAAAGCCATTCATGAAGACATGTTATTTTCAAAGACTTTGCCAACTCGTGCAATTGGAGAACCCATTTTTAAAGTTCTTAATGAGTACATGCAAGAGTATGAATTTGATTGGGAAAAGTTTGTAGGTTTTTGTTTGAATGGGGCTTGTGCGCTCACTGGTAGGCCTAGTGGCATTGTAGCTAAAGTCAGGGATGTGGCTCCTGATGTTACCTGGACCCATTGTTTTATTCACATGGTAGCCTTGGCGGCCAAAGGTGTGTCATCTAAATTGAAAACCCTGTTAGAAGACAGCATTAAGATAATCAACTTTATTAAGGTAAGACCTCTGAATAGCAGAATATTTTCATTACTTGGTGAAGACTTGGGTAGCGAGTGCAAACAGCTTCTTCATTCTGAAGTTCGCTGGCTTTCAAGAGGTTAAGGTACTCACAAGGCTCTTTGAATTAAGACAGGAAGTCCTGTTACTTGTAAAAGAAATTAACGGATATTTTACGTCATTTCTTGCTGATGACTGGGCTAAGTACTTTGGCATATCTTTCAGATGTATTCTCAAAACTAAACGAACTAAATCTCTCTCTACGAGGTAATTCTTTGACTGTTCTCAATGCCCATGATAAACTAAAAGGGTCTGAGAGGAAACTTGGTTTATGGGTCAGTTGTGTAAAACATAGGAATTTTTCACCATTTCCAACCCTAGAGTCTTTTTTAGTTGAAAATGATCTCGTTATAGAAAAAGAAATATGCAATGACATATGTTCGCATCTCGAAACTCTGAGATCACAATTTGAAACTTTTTTTGCAAGTAAATATGACGAATTTTCATGGGTTCGTGATCCTTTCCATTGCAATATTGAAAATAACAAACTTTCGTTGAATGAAAGAGAACAGTTAATTGAACTCTCAAATGACACCGGACTTCAAATGAAACTCCAAGCAGAAGGTATGGTTAATTTCTAGACCTCATCACCAGTGAAAAGAGAATATAGTGAACTGTACAATGGTCCTTTAAAGATTATAATTCAGTTTGCTTCTACGTATCTGTGTGAGAAAGGGTTTTCATCACTAACTCAAATAAAAACAAAGTACCGAAATCGACTCGATGTATGTGACGAGCTCCGACTTAAGCTTACCAGCTACATCTAAATATAGAACAACTGTGCAAGAATCAGCAGGCTCACCCATCTCATTAATGTGAGTACCAACATTTATTTATTTTTTTAGTTAATAAGTTAATAAGATTACCCAAATTCTAATAACCTTGAATTATTAAAAAAATAATATGAATTTTCTTCTATTTACTTAATTAATTCATACTATTACAAAATTAATTTAATCAAATGAATTGTAATTAATTAATTCTATTTTAAAATATAAGTATACTGTTAACTATGTTGTATTTTAGTGTCCTGTTGCACTGATTCATATTTATAATGTGTATGTATTAACAGTCTTCAAGTGCATACAATCCCATTTAACACTTCTACACTACATGTTTCGGCAGTATGCTGCCATCTTCAGGTGTATCAATCCATCAACCATTTCACTGCTTGCCTTTATATGTCCATTTACAAATAATATTAAATTTGTATACGTCCTTATATAATAATAAAGTTTATGTATTTAAAACTTGTTAAAACCTACTGTCTCATGTGTCATATTTTAAATTCGTGTATGTTATTGATCATGTTATTGAATGATAACGCACGCAGTCACAGGAGCAAGACGCAACAAAGAGCACAATACACACATGAATGTAGGAAGAGTGCTCCCACAGAGGAGGATTGGCGTGATTTGCGTGTTGAGATATGACGTAAGGAAGACGAATCCTTAAAAGTTTTAATGTTTAAAATCTATTATTATATATGACAAATATATATTTTAGTCATTTTGATATGAAGACATCAGGGCATGCAATGCAGTAGTTAGACGTGCATAGAGAAAACGCACCTGAAGATGGCACATTAGTGCTGAAACATGTAGTGCAAAAGAGAAGAGTAAGGTGAAAAAGTGTATGCACTGTAAGACGGTTAGCATAAATCATCGACATGAGTCAGTGCAACAGGACGCTAAAATATAACATTATTAATAGGAGATTGTATGCACTTGAAGACTGTTAATACATATACATTATGAATATAAGTATACTGGTATTAACATATGCTTAAAAATGATAAATTTGCTTTTGAAGGGAACAAGAGTAAAGTGGTCCGCAGAACTGTTCTGACTTATAAAAGTGGTCCCCACTTCAAAAAAGTTTGAGAAACAGTGGCCCAGATGATCATACTTTTCCTAGTCACTGTCGTGAGAACCTCAAATCCCACAAAGCTAGTTCTAATTTTTAATTATGTAACTGATATGTACTTGTTTTAGCTGTACCATTTTCTTTTACAATAACATTCCTTCCTGTGTGTACAGGGTTAGTAAATTTAGCAAAACAAAACTTTATCAATTGAAACTGTAGTTTGCTTTAACCCTTTAAAGACCGATTTTTTTCCAAACTAAATATAAAAGTTCAGTTCGTACCTCACAGGAAACACATTGTGTCTCCGATACAAGGACCAACCAGTTAATGCTGTTTTGGGAAATATCGGATGCTTATTGTGAGAACCATATGAAACAAACACACTGTGTGGGCAGAATGCAGAATTCTAGTATGTTAAACCAGGTCGTGCATATAGTAACCATTAGGCTTTAAAAGGTTAAGCTTGCCATGTATGATTATGTGACACTCTTTTTTCTTGGCAGTGTAAATATTCTTCTAGTATACTTTTGAGCACTTTGTCCCCAAATACTGATTCAATATGACAAATGGATAAACTGTTTCATAATTGACTGAATTCAGAACATCAAGTTCTCCAAATAGGATCTCTTAATGTGATATTTGAGGTTCTGATGGGAGTGATTATGAAGAACACTATTGTCTGGGCTGTGGCACTCTTGAGTGTGGTAAAAGTTTACTACCATTGCCTTAGGGGAACATCAGTACACTTCTACCAGACTATAGGGCATCACATCCCAAAAGAGATATATTTGGAAAGTAACCTCTGGTGAGCTGTTAACAAATTAAGCAATTAGAAGAAAAATGTTATGTACAAAATATACATAATACTTAAGCTACTTCTCAACATAGTCACTGCTGGAATTGAGGCACTTGTCATATTGGGGAATAAGTTTTTGAATGCTGATGTCCAGGGGGCATGCGGTAGCGTAGTTGGTTGAGGCACTATGCTACAAGCTGGAAGGATGTGGGATCGAATCCTGATGAGGTGGATTTTTGTCAATTTACCTAATCTTTCCAGCCACACTATGGCCCTGGGGTTGACTCAGCCTCTGACAGAAATGAGTACCAGGAATATTCTTGGAATATTCTACGGGATAAAGGGTGATCGGCGTGTAAGGCTGACAATCTTACCACCATCTATGAGCCAATTGTCTAGAAAAAATGTGGTAACCTCATCTCACAACCCTATGGGCCTCCATGGCCTGTTACAGGGATACCTTTACTTTACTTTTATACCAGTGTCCAAGAAGTCTGCTGCCTGTGAGCTCAGCCACAGTTTGACACCTTTCATCAACTTCGTGTTTTTGTTGATGTGCTGCGGTGTCAACTAATTTTTCAGGTAGGTAAACATGGTAGTTGCTTGTAACAAGATCAGGGCTGTGTGGATGTTGGTCAAACAGCAGAATTTATGCCAGTTTTTATTTCCTGAATTAAAAATCAATTTTCTGCCCAAATGCCTTTGAAAGAGTATCTTATTACTTCTGAACAATGAAAATTACTGTTCTCATAATTGTCATTGGGACAGCTGTGAAGTTAGATTTCCATTTACAAATAATGCATAATACAGAGAACTTTTTTTGAGTGTTGTGCAGTGTACATGTTTATACATACACATTTAAACCAGTTTTGGTTTCTTGTGTCTGTTATACAACTCACATAAGTGAGAATAGTTTGACAAGTGTTGCCATCATGTTAACCTTTGTCATGTGGGAGTTTCCTCAGAGCAGATTTCAGTTTCAGTCCTGAAACCTCTAGTGTGTGATAATATAAATATGTAATTCATTTATTGAGCTAGAAACTTAAGAACAAACTAGAAAAAGAATTAATTTGCTTGTGTAAAACAGTCAGCCTTTATGTGTGCTGCATAGTTTTTGATCTTATACAGTTATTTTCATATGTATCAATTTTTTTCTTGAAAGTGTTTATTCTGTGTGCTGAAGAGTCTTAAGGCCCTAAATAAGCTGATAATGGTCAGACATATAGCTGTCAGTAAAGTTTAGCACATACTATTTATAATTTAATAAAATGTATTTACAACACTTGGTTATGTTGTGTGGTGTTATTGTACTCTGGGGAATACAATTTAATAAATTGGATTCAGTTTATCCTTAGACTGGTGGGGTAGAAATGTTTGCCTATGCCTGTCTACTGTTGGCCACCAAACCATCACTTAGTTACCTGCTGCTTGCTGTCTTATCTCAATAGTGCTGATGTTTAACATGGACAATTATCCTTGAGTTATGTGCAAACACAGTTTGCAGTGCCATGAAATATGGTTTTGAAAAGAAATTGTTCATATACAATGCTTTAATACAGCATGTTTCATGGGGTTTATGCTGTAGGAATTTTAATTTGGAAGTATCCTTTCATTACAGTGTCCTGCAAAACAACAATAAACAGTAATCTCTGGAGTACTGATGGCAGGGACCCTGCTGCTGTTCTGTGTTGTATATGCCAAGGACAACAAAGCCCCCAGCTGGTACCAGATAGACCCATGGTCAAGCAACAGCTGAGACTCCAGCTGCCTGAGAGGGGAACTCTCCCCATTGTGCTTTTTCTGCTGGGCTTTCCAGTTCTTCATGGTGACTGTATTACTCAATCCCATCAAGAGACCTCTTTCAGCCTTCCCATTGTTAGACACAACACCACAGCATGTAAGGGATTTGGTGGTTCCCATAGTAGCAGAAGGCACAAAACTGAGCTCTGATGGAAGAAGATCTATTCTGTAGTCGCAGAGCACAGCTGGGAGCTCCAGTGCTTGGGAATATTTTTCTTATTTCAGAATACTGGCAATGTCAGAACTCGAGCCTATCTCTGTCATTTGCTGACATAGCAGTGGCCTCATCACTTACTTGGACCAAAACCCTAGCTCCAGCCAAGCACCCAGTTCCTTGAGTACAGCCTTCCACATCTTGGCTGCTGCTTCTGCTAGCCAGTCCATTTATCTTTGTCAGTATTTTATTTGTTGGCTTCTTATAACAGAAAGCCTGATCCTCAGTGGACACTTGTCTAGAGCAGTGGTTCTCAGCCTTTGTCAGACTGCTGCCCTATAAATTATTTTATGTATAAGACAAGGGCCCATTACCGGATTGCAGCCTGGCAGTTGAGAAACACTGGTCTAGAGTATCTAAGAGATTTTGATACTGCAAGGAAAAAATTGTCCTCCACAGAGACCTGAATGTGTGGAGAAATCTAGTTTGGAATGGAATGTCGTCTTGTATCCAAAAGAAACCTCAAATACAATATTTTACAGCCCTGCTTATTCCCCATAATAAAAAGTGGTGCCCACCTGTTTTGACCTGTTTTGTTTTGTGCCATGATTTCTTACGCAGTTCGCAGACATATATGAAACGTATCTTCATTTAAATGTATGCAAACAGTCTTGAAGTAATTCATTTGAAATTAAAAAAATAATTAAAATGTATTTACGTATTCCACTGGAACAAATTCATTAGTTTCGAACCTCATGTTAACAAGACTGAAAAAATATGGTCATTGCATTAGAACTTTGGCTCGCCCACTTTCTTAATGCCTATGGATAAAAAAATCCGTTTTCTTTTTCACTCCGATAAACGTTTAACGAGTTTCTTTCGAAACGCGTACTGAAACAAACATAGGTTTACATGTAAAGTTTCCGAGTTATTCAGAATTCTAAATATTTGGTAAAATTGTCCAACATAAAATATCATTAAATTTCGTTGTTTTTCTACGGTTATATTCGCAAAGAAGGAGCGACAGACATGGGCGGAACTAAGGTGCGCATTTTGTAAACTTTTCGCGAAAGCGAAGATCAACATTTATTATGAAGTGTATGTATACATTCTTTGTGCCATTAACCATACTTCATCGGCGTCAGAGCCCTCTGCTGTACAGAGAGTACTAAACGTTCTAGCTTGCCCTACTAACCCGACTGAGTTCGCCGAGATTTTACTCAATGTTAACACTGGGGATAATGCACCCTTTGGAGCTTTGGAGAGAGCGAGGTGGTCATGTGTGAATGTTGCAATATGGTTATGGGCGGATGTCGTTGTCTTTTCCAGCTGTGAAGTAGATAAGCAATATAATGATGGGAGCAAGATAACGTATCTCGAGAAGAAGGTACGATTTTGATCTTTGGAGCTTAATAATTTACATAGTTCCTGAAAAGAGTTTGTTAGTTACAGATCTTAAAAGAAGGGATTTAAATCACTCCCTGTCATGGGAATAATAATGTAATGATCTAATTGAATTGCTTTATAAGGTTATATTATCTAATTATGTGCTTCCACTTATTTCGTCTTGAATACTTAGGACAAAATTATACCTAAACTGCGTTTATGCAGTTCGTTCATTCATTCATTTTCCATATATTTGTTAAATTACATTGTTTTTAAAGAACACTGTTTATTTTCGGATTATAATATTTATTAAAGGTAATTTCTGTAGAGGGGAGAGTTTATTATTTTATTTCCTCTTATCCATATACTTCAGAGGGCTAGGATAGAGGGGTCTGTGGCTGGAAGGGTCAAATATAAAAAGCGTTTTTAAGTATTACACAGTGTACCCCTTATATTTCCATCAGTGCTTCAAATATGTGTTTTGTGGCCTGACTAAAATAGTTGTCAGAAGTAGTGGTGGGTGGCTTTGGGGCAAAATTTTCATGACTGTCATACATTCTAATACAGTTTTGTAAACTTGTTGGGTTTCCACAGGAAATTTAGCTTCCTGTGTTCTTTAATTGCAGAGATACAACATTTTGCAAGTTTTGGTTCTCTGTACATTTCCTCATATCCTGATTTACTAGAATGCTTATAACTCTGGTACTAGTTAAGATAAAGACATCATTCTTGTACCAATTGGAAACCCTTAATTGGAGCTTTCATTTGCTATGCAGTTATATTTTTTTGGTACATTTGTGTTTTGATGTTAAGCTTTGTCCTAATTTATGAACAATGTATATCTATTTTCACGCAAAGTTTTTTTTCCAGAATATTTTGTAATTATTTAAGTACATTTCTGGGAAATTTCATGCTGGGACAACAATTGATTCATGATTTCCTTATAGCTGTAGGTTACATACATATTATTGTTGGTTGCTTGGATTAAAGATTACAGTAAGAAAGGAAAAAGGGAAACTAAGGAGATCTATTCATTAATCTGTTAAAATTAGTTTTTCATTTAAATAAGAAATATTACCTCTGATTGTAGCTATTTACAGTCTGAAAAACTGTGCAACAGGACTTGTTTTCATTGATAACATATGTGTAACCAATTGCAGTGTCTAGACAACTTTTGTGAGCATATTTGAAGCTAGAAGTCCTGAAATGTGGTGGTGGTGGTGGTGGAGGAGGAGGAGGAGGAGGAGGATACATGAGATAATTACTGGGATAAGAGAGATTAAAAATATTAGTTGAATTTTAATGTCATTCACTTGTAATATACTTACAAGGTACAAATCTTTTAATCTTTTCTACTTGATACTTTACATCTTGTGAGACTACTGTATATGTGGTGTTGAATACATTCAGTTCTGAAAACAAGTTTGTCTGAACTTGGTTTTTTGGGCAGGAATGACATAACATATTTTTTGAGTGAAGTGTTTGTACTTTCCTGAACCTCATTTTGAGCATTATCATTTCTTTGCTCTGGTCTTCAACAGTAGGATACTCAAAGGTAACTGAGGGAATCTTTACTAGAATCTACTTGTAAAGTTGTCTTGGCATCAAGCTGTGCTCCTCATAAGGGTTTTGCAGGCTTGCATTTCTTGCTGCCCCGGCAATTGCTCCCTCAATCCCATCGCATGCATCCTTGCCATGTGAATTTGTAAGATGTGCCATTCAGCATCCAAAGTCATTTATGTTGTACCAGAGATAGATGAAATTTTGAATATGAGGGACACCTGCCTGGCTAGGGAGAGCTGAGGAACACAACATGGACCCCATAATAGTGAAGATAGCGTGAGTGAAGCATGGACATACATTCTCAAATAATGATGACAATCAGTAGTAGCATGTAATAGTATATTGACATACGAGCTGATACTGTGTGGTAGTTCCACTCAATTAGCAGTTGCCTGCGGATGGCCTTATAGGACTGAAACATGTTGTAAGAGTGAAATAAAATGTGATTTTAATGACATTTTATGAATTTAAATGTGATTATAGTGACATTTTAAAATAAAAATTTATGTTGCATTAGAGATGGAAACAGGTGAGCAAGTGAAACTTCATGCAGAACTATTAGGCTTGTTTTGGACTCTATCCATCGTCTGGTATATATAGGACAAAAATCCACAATGTTTTGGACACTGGATCTGTCTCCATCCTCAGGTGGACCTACACAGTTGGGCCCGTTAGAAAGAGCTAGTCTCAATCAGAGACTAGCTCTTTCTAACGGGCCCAATTGAGTAGGTTATCCTGCCCCATCAACCTGAGGACGGAGACAGATCCATTCTCTAAAATGTTGTGGTTTTTTGTCTTATATACACCATTGTCAGAATCCTTTCAAGTCTAAAGAGAAATTTTTCCTGTTTCTATGCTGTGAGGCACCAACATAAAAAAAATAGTAATCCTTAGTCAGATGTTTTGATTTGCTGGGAGGAAAGCTGTATAATTTGGTGCGACATCATGTTTTAAACATAACCAAACTGATTTGCTGTGATTTTATTTTTTAAATAAGAAGTCAAAGCTGGATGAAGAGTTGCCCGAACATTGTTCCAAAGAAAACCTTGTCTTTGACCTTGACCTTGTGTGATGAACTAGTTCTCAGAAAAATCACAACCCATTTCTCCAGTTTTATGTTTAAACTTCAGTTCTTCATGGAAGTATGATGGTTGCTATACTTTAAAAGATTGGTGAAGCAGGATGCTTAGCTTTTCAACAGATAACTGTTAAAATTCAGTTCAAGACTGCACAGTTTTTTGCAGTGTTGATCTATCAATAGTCATCCACTGCTTATAGGTTATATTGTCTATGTTTTTTCAGATCTGTGTTCAGTGTTTCTGATTAGGTTCTCAGATCCTGCACACATCTCATGGCTTTCACTTGGCATATTATGAATAATTCTGGAAAAACATCCATCACAAGTTTTTACTTGCTTTTCAGTCAAACAATGCAATTTTGACCTGAAATCACATTGCACATTCTTTTGCATGGTTCACACACAAATGCACATGTACCACTTGCTCCACAGCCAACCCACAGTTTCATGGCCATAACACTGTAAACTGTGAAAAGCCTAGCTACTTGCGCTTAGGATTCTATTCCTTAAAACTTAAGTAGGCTTCTTGTAAGTTTCACAATATCTGTCATTTCTGAGGATGAACCTTCTTACCTTCTGCTTGTGTTGATTTCATCGAATACGCAGAACTGCTTCGCCATTTCATCTGTTGCAAGAAGCAGCGATTTTCCTGGTTTTACAGTTTGGCTTAATGAAATTCCTTTCTCTGGAACAGTGTGATTTGAGGCATTGAACTCTTGTTGGATGTTCCTAATTTACCAGCTCTGTGGAAAAATGTTAAAATTTGAACCCCTTCACACTTTTTTCCTCTTATGTGAAATTTTTTCTTCAACTGTGCTATCATTTCATCTTGTTTCTGTTAGTTCATGAAATTGAATGTTTTTCTTTTTATGGCTCCTAGGATGCTTGACTTGTAACAGCTTTATAGTATAAAGTGGTGACTCTTAATGAATGCACAGCCTTGTTCAAGGAAGAAACAACATTGGTCTGCTGAATTTTAAAACTGTTTCTCTTATGTTATATTCAGAGCTTGAAGATTCAGATGCTTCATTTCCAAAACTTTTGAGCAAATAATAGTTTTTGCACATTTTTTCATGGATTCTATGTTTCTGACTACTAGGAATTTGTTTTGTCATCCAGTCCAATACAAGATTTTCTTGGAACATGCTCTGTGACTGATATTCAGGGGATTACAATATAGTTTTAAAACATTAAGATCTTTGACACTTGTAGCCATGTTAAACTTGATAAAATAAATAAAAATTAGTTTTTCACTCGTATAAGGTGTGGGCCTTCTTGGCCCTTGCACCGCGACCACAGTGATCTATTGTACCTACAGTCAATTTTTTTCTCTTGGTCCAACCACTACAGAATTATGGAATAAGGAAATAAAGGTACTGTGATGGTGTAAAAAAATCCATCTCAAGATTTTGACAGATTTACAGCACCCCTAAATATGAAAATACTGTTTTGGGACTGTCGTCTGTTCATATGAGTGCTTGGATGTGCATTTTGCTAGCACCAGAGTGACTGGATTGAAGATTTTTCCCACCATAGGTCTGCCTGGTGAATACAAAGCTCCTAGTTCATAAAAGAGAGTGGAGGGGAGTGTCCTTCAAATGAGTCACAAGAAACTAAATGTAAATTTTCTCAAAAGTGGTTCTCATGATTTTTATTAAATGTCAGTAATTTATGGAGGCCATTGTCCAAAATAGGTGGTATCTTAAGGAAGATAGCAGTGTGTGAACCTGGGGACCAAACATGAAATGTTAATTTTCTCATAAATTACTTGACTGATACTCATTTCATGTTAATCGCCTATAAAAGTAGTCTACATAAATAATAAGGTTGTGTTTCTCATGTAACATTTAGAAGTTAATAGAAAATATTTATTTCACAGTTGTAGATGGCTCAAGATCCTTGGGAATATATGAAATAATTAAAGAAGGAGTGTTAAGCAGTGTGTACATGTCCTAATTGTAATCGGTGACCACCCAAGACTCCCTTTTGTATTCATTTAGGTGTCAAGTAGTTCATGCTGTCTAGCACTTCAGCAAGTGACTTATATGAACTGCTTGTCTTCTATTAGATAAGCATGACTTGCCAGTATTGTCTTTTATTCAAAATGGGTGCTTAGTTTGTAACTGAAAGTAATATATCCTAGTTTGGATTGTGGAGATAAGTGAGTTATGTGGTATGAAACAGATTTATGCAGACACAGCAATGTTTGTTTTTTAACGTCCTGCCTCAGATCTCTGTTTCTAAATTTTCTGATATTTGTGTATATTCCATTCATGAAGCAGAGGAAAAACCGTGTTCCTGTACTATACCAGACATGTGGGCTTGGCTTCTCTTATCTTATCTGCTGATTCATCAGCCAACCAGAGGCTGACATTGACTAAACTGTTATCATTTGCAGCTAGGTGATAAGTGTTACAAAATTGGAACTTGTCACATACTGCTTGTAGAAATACTTCTGTGAAGTTAACACCTGTGTGAGTGTTAAAAACACTTCTTTTGGTTTAAGTTTAGTTTATACATGCAGTATTGTGTTTCACTTTAAATATGAAAATAGAGTTCGTGAGAAGAATTGTTTGTTCTTCGTGTGACTGTTGAGAAACGATCTGTGTTGCAGAGGATTCTAATATTCTAATGCTTATTTGAACAGTTACTGACTGATTGTGTGACTGATTGATTATAATATAATGAATCTGATATTTTCTGATCATTTCACTTTAATCTCTTTAATAATAACAGGTTTTCAATGGTAACCTTGGATTTCAAAGTAAAGGAGCAGCTGAAATGTTATGTTATAAAAATTGGCAGCAACATAAAATGAAAATTATCATGTGTAGTTTTCTTATCAGTTGTCTAACATTTTCGAAAGTGTAGCAGATATGACATTATGACTGACTTTTCTCAGAAAATGTGTTCTTATAGTTCTGTGGTAGCATAACATCTTTGAAATTATAACTGTACTTTAAAATGCAAGTTTTAACAACTATGACCTGACATTCTTAAGAGAACATTGAACAACATTGTGTTTTTTAATCAGTTTTCCTTTGCTGCGTGTTGAAACAGTATTTGAGATTCATACGAGTGTTTGAACTATTCTGATGTCAGCCTCTGCATTGTTGAATGTGACAGGGATAATGCATGTTTGTATACAGTTTGAATTGTAACAATGTTGATTAAGACACACAGGAAAGTTATTAATTTGTGATAAAAGTATGAAGCTAAAGAGCTAGAATGTGTTGCATCGATATGAAGCATTGGTGTTCTACCTTGACAGCCTTGTGTGAGCCAGTGTTATTTGGACTAGGAGGTGAGAAGGGTGAGCACCCAGGTGCTGTCATGACAACAGTGAGTGTGGAGAACACAGAGACGTGGGAGCATCACAAGAAATTCACGGTGAGAGGCTGTATTGGTGATTAATTCGTTTTTAGGTTATTTAACATTAATTGCACAGGTTTATTAGTGTCAGATGAAATGAAATGTCCGTGAATGGTGTGTATATGAGGGGTTGGAAACAAGCGATCGTGATCTATTTCAGGGTACTGTACTTTGCATGCATTTGGCAAGAGACATAAACAAGCAATAATGGCCCATTTCAAGGTGTTGTCTACTGCAGCATTCACCAAAACATGGAAACAGACAGTCATGGTATTTTCAGGGTACTGTACTGCCCCCTCCTTGCCTCTCCCATGGGACTTCATTCTACATAGTTTGATGAAATTACTGCTCTTAAGCATTAGACAGCGGAAGTGTATGAGAAATGTGGAAGTGAAGCTCCATGTATTCTGAGCTTTATTTCTAAATGAATGTGAGGTGCTATATTTCATAACTTTAATAAATATTAATGTCAGTAATCACTACTTGTGTGAAGTATGCATTTCAGAGCTTAGTGTCAGCTTCAGGTAGTCCATTGTCAGCTGCACATGTTAATGGAGTCAAGTCCTCATGTTTGCTGCTGAGCTGACAGCATTAAATGTCCACTTGTACAGTGTCAGTACATGTGATATATAGTAAGGTTACAGACACAGATTAATGTTGTAATTGTTAAGTAGATTGCAAACACACCATTTGTACTGGTGTTGATGTAGAGAAATATAATTGTTTTAGTTTATGGTTATAAAATTTTGGCATGAAAGTTCTACGTTACAAACTGCTTATGAAATTACAGTGACTGCTGCCTGTTGTAATCATGGATAATGTTATTACTTTTACAAAGTCCTGATCAGACATATACTAATACATAGAAAGTATGATGTTTATTATAATTAGTGCTTTGGTTTTTGTTATAAATTTTTTTGCCATATTGTGCCCTTGATATGAGCAATGGAAGTGATTATGTAACATCTCTTTGTTCTTGAGGTGTGATAAGGCTATGAATGTTTTATTAATGGTCTTCTCAGAACAGACAATAGACAGTCAACTTTAAAAGAATTTTCCAAATTCTTGATTTTAGTACTTTCTTTATTTGTTTTTAATGGTGTGTATGGATTTCCACAAACATTATGGCAATTTCATTTTTGTTGAAGATTTTCTCAAAGAAATACTGGGCAGTCCACTTAGGTACTTTTCATTCTTTCTGTTTATCTAGCTTTATTCATGTTGCTCCTGCTTGGAGCATAGGTCATCTGTGAAATGCTTCATTTCACTTCTGTTTGTTAATCTTAAACAGCTGGTATGATGAGCTTTGCTGCAGTAGAATTGTATCTGCAGTAACAGATTTACATATGTGACATCAAGGCCAAGGAAGTACATGAAACTGCAAAGTACACTTTTGGAATGTATATATATTCATGACTGGAATTTGTAAGGTATTGTCATGCGATTGAGTGACTATAAACGGGGTTTGGATTGGCAATCGGATTTATTGGACACTTTAACGCACAACTCATGGCTACACCTTACAGATCACTTTCACACAAAGATTATTGTTCTCAGTCAGTCTTCACTGCATTGCTTGGTAATGTCTTCCAACAGTGGACATTCCTCTGCTTCTGGGCTCACGTCCTTGCAGGCTGGCAGCCATCTCACACCAAACTCCTACTCCTTTAACTGCCATCTCAGGACTATCTCATAATGGCAGCTGGTACTCATTATATAGTCCTGTCACGGACTGCACAGAAAACACCACTTCCCACAGTGTTGTGTTACACAGCCGGTACTTAGCAGTGGTTGTTCTTTTTGGCTACACAGTTCTTGCTTTGAGCAAATATGCCACATTATCCTTCCATTCTTGTTTGCAGTTGATGTCTTTTGTTGGCTTTGTATTCTTCATATTATTCATAGAGACATTTGAGAGATATTGAGTGGTCCTCTCACTTTGTTGATTAGGTTGGAAAACATTGCCATTGTAAATTCATTATGTATACATATACCATATATATACGAGGGTGAGTCAAATGAAAAACTTAAATTTGTAATAAAAAATCGAAATTTTGCACTATTATCCTGTAAGTTGGTAAGCATGCTACAAACAGCATGCAGAATGGCCTGTAGGTTGCAGCACAGTGCAGATGCACGAACACCGTCACAGCACCAGTATAAGATGGCTGCCCCACTTGAGACTTGCACCAGGGAAGAACAGCGTTATGTTATTCGGTTTTTGTGTAGTGAAGGTGTAAAACCTACTAAAATTTATCGAAGAATGCAGTTTCAGTATGGTGATGCATGTTTGTCACAGCAGCAAGTGTATGAATGGAGTAGGAAGTTTGCAAATGGTGTGACTTCAGTGAAAGATGCTCCTTGTCCGGGTCAGGCACATCGAGTTGTGACTCCAGAGAACACTGCAGCAGTTGAAGCCATAGTGAGGGAAAACCGCCGAGTGACACTGAATGAAATTGAAGCAAGTTTAAACATTAGTCATGGTTCAGCACACCACATTGTGCATGATGTGCTCCCATTTCACAAAGTGTCTGCAAGATGGGTGCCGTGGCAGCTGACTCCTGAATTGAAAGACCGACGTATTGATGCTTGTGAAGAACTTCTGCGGTGCTCTGAACAAGAAAGTGATGACTTCCTTGCAAAAACCATTACTGGGGACAAAACCTGGGTTCACTTCCACCAACTGGAAAAGAAGAGAGCGAGCAAGGAATGGCGCCATTCCTCATCTCCAAAACCGAAGAAGGTTCGAACACAACCATCAGCAGGAACTGACTCTCTTTTGGGATGAAAAAGGCGTCATCTTGGAGCACTACATGCCTAGAGGGACCACTGTCACCAGTGCATCATACTCAGATCTAAAAAATCATTGGCCTGCAATCAAATCAAAGCGACGTGGATTGCTGTCCACAGGTATCCTTTTGCAACATGACAATGCAAGGCCCCATGCTGCCCATACAACAATTGCGACAATCAGTGGCCTGCATTTTGAGTGTCTTCCTCATCTGGCATACTCACCAGACCTTGCCCCAAGTGATTTCCATATGTTTGGACCACTCAAAGAAGCAATGGGAGGAACGACGTTCCATTCTGATGAAGAGGTACGCCACGTGCTGCATGAGTGGTTGTGCGGACTACCAAAAGAATTTTTTTCTGAAGGAATTCATGTACTTTGTAAGCGCTGGAGGACTTGCATTGAGCGTGGGGGAGATTATGTTGAAAAGTGATACAGCTTTGTACCACTTGTGCACAATAAATAATACTAAAAAAAAAATATTTAAGGTTTTCATTTGACTCACCTATGTATATATTCTTCCCTTACAGTGAAGATCTTTAAAAATCATTGCAGGAGCAGTCAGATGTACTGATGTACTGTGGTGTGAAATGGGGGGAAGGTGAATATTTTCTGAACCTAATGGCACAGATAATAATGGATTCAAATGAAAATGTGCCATGAGAATTCCTTGAAATAGGTTACATGTATTTTCTACCCTGTGTATAACTGCACTGCCAGGGTCCCTATATGTGTAACTCATTGACTGACTGACTACAGATGAGGGACATCCTAAGTGGATTATAGTTGCATGACTAAGACTTTCAAGTAACTATCTAATCCCATGTGATATATAAATGAAATAAATAATTTGTGTCATTTTGATGGAGTTTCATGTAATAACTTTGAGGTGCAGTATTAATAATCATGGTAGTGAAATTATGTTTGTATTGGTTTATCCTGCTGCAGGTGTACAAAGTGATGGTGACAAGTGACAACCATAGTTGGTTTGTATTCCGGCGGTACAATGAATTCTACAAACTCTATGAAATGCTCAAGAAACAGGTAAATTTTATATTCTTAACAGTAATACTGGAAGTAATAACTCTGATCTTATAGCTAGTAAAACAATAAAAAAGTAAAAAAGTAAAGTTATCCCTGTAAGAGGTCATGAAGGCCCATAGGGTTGTGAGATGTTGAGGGTCCCAAATTATCTAGACAATCAGCTCATAGATGGTGATAAGGTTGTCAGCCTTGTGCGCCGGCCGTGCTTTACTCCCCAGGAAAATTATTTGATTAATTCCTGGTACTCATTTCTGTTAGAGGCTGAGTCAACCCCAGGGCCATAGTGTGGCTGGAAGGATTAGGTCAATTGGAAAAATCCGAAAACATCATCGGGACTTGAACCCGCGACCTTCTGACTTGTAGCATAGCCCCTCAACCAACTATGCTGCCGCGTGCCCCTAAGAAAACAACAATTTTCTTATTATTTTGTGTGGATGTAAAATGTGGTTTCTTTGATCTGAGGTAGCCCTGAAGTGAAAGTCTGTTATGGCCTAATGAAGGGCAGGATTATTGGTCCATTTTCTCCACAGAGGGTGCAGTAATGGGTAACATGTCCGTTGACATGTTAGAACAGTTTGTATACCCCTAAGTAGCAAATTTGCAAGATATTTATGAATGTTCCCTGCTCTTTTCTCCTCAGATGTTAGGAACTTGATGACAGCTCACCTCTTGTGGTGTCTTATTATCAAATGCAATTTGAAACACTGATTACTTCCGTGACATGTGGTGGAATGTCCTGAAATTGTATTATCAAAGGGTAGTAAGTTAACAATTCACATCAAATTTCACTTGTTTTAATAGTTTTTGGCCAAGAAGAAAAAAAATGGGGGAAAAACTCATTGAGTAGCTAGCTTATTTATGTACTGTTATTGGAAGCAAGGTAGGTGTGTAAAGTGTAGTCGCAAACAGTATGAGTGTCCAATAAATCTGATCATCATTCCAAATCATGTCTATAGTCACTCCCATCATGTGACAGCATTGTGCATGTGAGAATTACCACTGTTGTTTCTTAACTTAGATGTTACTTCATGCAGCCACATGGCTGCTCATGGCTTCTGACCTTGAAACACACTTCTGCCTCTCCCTTCTTGGTACTCTTATAACATGATAGTGCAGACTTTCTAGTAAACACACTAAAAGCTTAAAACAGGCAACATGATGATAGCTTGTGTCTTCAGACCTCCAAGCATACTTCTTTGTCTTGCTTTTCTCTTGCTACTCTTATAGCATGAAAGTGTGAAATGCCCACCTGAGACCGATTAAAAACATCTTATACATATAGCGTTCAGACTCATGACTATGACCTGTAGTTCTGTAAATCTTAAAAGAAAGGGAAGGGGAACTTATGTGACTCCCATTGAGAATATATTCAAAAGATTTATTGCTTCTTATAAAATTTTTTACTTTCAACTTCTTATGCTTTCTCCCAAAGTGACTTCCTGTTCTTCATATTATTGAATGACATATTGAGGCCAAGTTTAATGCCATCTCCCATGAATAACATGCACAAGTAGTAAACTGTAAACTGTCTCTTTTATATTGTCATGTGTATGAGTGACCCTTGACAGGGTTTCGGATTGAAGATCCGATTTATAAAGGTAAAAATATGTAAAGCTATTCCTGTTAACAGGCTGTGAAGGCCCATAGGGTTGTGAGATGTCGAGGCTCCCACATTTTCTAGACAGTCGGCTCACAGATGGCAGTGAGATTGTCAGCCTTACATGCTGGTTGCCCTTTACCCCCCCCCCCCCAGGAAGATTCCTGGTACTCATTTATGTTCGAGGCTGAATCAACCCCAGGGCCATAGTATGGCTGGAAGGGTTAGGTAAATTTAAAAAAAAAATCCCCTTCATTGAGAATCGAACCTTCGACCTTCCAGCTTGTAGTATAGTGCCTCAACCAACTACACTACTGCATGCCCTAGATTGGATTTATTGACTATATTAACACACAGTTCATAATTACAGTTAATTATAGTGCCATTGCTAATTTCCACACTGTGCTGTTCACTAGAGCTCTTGTTAAGTCTTTTCCAGCCCGCAATGTCTTCACTAGTAGTTGCCTGGTAATGGCTCCAACAATGGCTATTCCTCTGCTTCTGGGCTCATGTCCTCTCTGAATGGCAGCTCCCCTCCAACTGTCTTAGTGCTTCAGCTGACTAACTCCCAGGCTGGTGGCCATTTGTCACCAACTTCCTTGTCTTCTCTTCACAGCCTGACTTTCAACTGACAACTGCTTGGCTGGTGCCCTTGTTATAACCCTTCAGCACGGACCACTACAGAAGTCTCTGTTTCCAGCAGTACTTTTATTGTTGCATGCGTATCTGTTGCTGTGGGAACCTGCTTATCAAGCTGTTTCCTAGTAGTGAATGTTGTTTCACAGTCACTGCCTAGAAAGGGGTCTATATGCCACAAAATANATAAAGGATAACATTTTTAATGAAATAGAGGGAAACATGAGTAAGATTTGAGATTCTCACACAGGTGGTTATGAAGAGTTCTGTCTTCTGGGATATAACACCTTATAGTTCATTGAAAGTCAACTGATGTTTTTGAGGAACATGTCACCTCCATCTTCGTGGTTGGAGAGGAAGGTAAGCATGAAACCATTGTGAAGCAGGTAGCAGGCAGAGCCATTGTTTGACCCTGAAGATGGAGATGACATGTTCCTCTGAAATGTTCCTCAAGTGTTGTCGCTTGTGGCCGTTATTTGTATTGCTTTTATGAGCCGTGCGCAGTTAAATTTTGGAACGCGGCACACAGGTGGCAGAGCTGTCGCACGCCTAATATGTACAACTAACGGATGCGCACGAAAAAGAGTGGCTAGCTGTTCGCGACTAGTCGCGTCAGTGGGTTTTTAGTCTAAGTGACAGAATTTGTTCAGTTCAGGGGATGAGTCAGTTGTCAGCAGGAGATAGCCATGGGAAGTTCGCAGTTGAAGAAGAGTGCAAAAAGTCAGCCTGGCAAGATTTGATGTGTAAATTTAAGACTTTACGTGTGCTGTAGCACAGTATTATTAGGACACAGAGATATTGGGTTTTCGGACTTTATCCATCATCCTGGTTTTAAGATAACTAAGAAAAACATGACATTTCGGAAACTGGATCTGTTTCTGTCCTCAGGTGAGGGAACACACCTCTTCTGTTGGGTCCCTTAGAAAGAGCTAGCCTCAATCACTGGAGGCCCTCACCTGAGGACGGAAACAGATCCAGTTTCCGAAACGTCGTGTTTTTCTTAGTTATCTTAAAACCAGGATGATGGATAAAGTTCGAAAACCCAATATCTCTGTGAGTTATACACCATCGTCAGGATCCTATAGTAACTACTAGTATTATTAGGAATTTATGATTTAGTGAGACTTTTGTAGTTCCTGTATTGTAAATCCTTGAGGACTAGTGTAGATAGACTGAGAAAGAGTAGTGTGGAGTACTTTGTAATGTGAAAATCAGGAACAGTGTTATAATTGCAATTATGACCTGTAAGTATCCAATAAATCCAATTACCAATCCAAACCCACGTCTTAGTCAGTGTGGCACGTGCCAGTATCCTTTGAAGTATTCTAATCTGAACATTGGAAGCCTGTCCCACTACAGAATGTCTACAGATCCCATCGGGAACCTGCTGCATGTTCTGTCTTCGTTTTGGATGCTCTCAGGCTGATCCAGGTGATGTCTTAAATAGTCTATGAGTGCTTCAGCATCAATTCATGCTTAATGGCTGAGTTTAATATTAGCTTTGAAGTGAAAGATTATAGTATTCAGCCAAAATAATTTAAATTTGTGTTTATGTGAGTAAAGTGACATGAAGCGAACAACATTGTGATTGGTTCAGAATTGTGATGTTTCATAATTTATTTAGCAACCCTTTGCCAGATGCATAGGTTACATATCATAGAATGGGGGAATGATTGTGAATAATGAGTTTGGCAGGATATAGACAGAATCAATTATTACATGTTTGAAGATGCTGTCTCAGCATTTTCTAGAGGAACTGATGAAGATCACAAGAAACTGTAGGATAGCCAGCCTCTTGTCTGAACAAGGCCTCTCATATACAAACAGGACTGGTAACAGTCATCTGCAACATTTATAGGAATTGTGAGACAGACAAAGATAAATTGAGACCCTTTGTTTTTCTTGAGTTTAGATCTCAGATAAATGATCGTAACTTCGGTTTAGATGCTTTTTTAATAATGTAGTGGCATAGAGTCCTTTTTGTGGGATGTAACACTGTGTAGTCCTTTGAACGTCAACTGATGCCCTGGAGGAACAATTCACCTCTATCTTCAGGGTTTGAAGAATAAGCCAAGCAAGAAACCAGCAAAGGGTTCTGTGTTCAACCTGCTTTCATGCTAGTTTCTTTCTTGACTTATTCTTTGACACTGAAGATGGAGGCAGCATGTTCCTCTGATATGTTCGTTGACTTTCAACAGACTACATGGTGTTCTATGCCAGAAGATAGAACTGTTCATAATCACTGCTGTTAGAACTTCAAATCCTACATTATAAAAGTAATAATAACTTCTACAGACTGATAAGTGGCCACTTTAATCCGATTTTGTAGCTATGTAGTCTCCATCAGATCTCACTGAACATATTGGCACAGAGTTTATATTTCTGGTTTGTAACAAGGAAGTACCCGGTTTGTTTGGACCCCAAGTGGTGACTGGTTATCCTGGCTTACGGTTTTTAGGTCTCGTTTAATCTCTTTTGTCCAGGACTGTTTTCACCTACATACCTTCCAATTCATCATAACATAATCATCTTACCATATCTCTTTCTCAAGCATTATCAGCCTCAGAAGTAGCTACAGCCTGATATGACAACTGAACAAGCCAACGTATCCTCTCAGACCTTAAGCTGTTCGTAGGTGTGTCATAAGTAAACGTTTAAAAGGTTTCTTGATCTGGTGTTCGGTATTTTCCTATCTTGTTTCCATTTGTTCTTAGAACAGTTATATCAGCTGATTGTATTGTTTATTAATTATTCCTTGTTGACTAATCTGTTGCTTTTAATTAACTTTTTTTGTTATGTGCACATTCCTGGGTCAGATGGTCACCAGTACATTAGCAATTGTAAGTGCATGCTGGGAAAACACATGTTATATAATGTCAACAAGATATTCCATCAAATATAATCTGTTGGCTATTTACGAGGCACATATTAGGGATGATGATGATGATGACGACAACAATAACAGCAACATCATCAAGTTTATTTAGATATTCATCATCATCATTATCATCATCATCAATCACCACCATCATCATCATCATCAATCACCACCACCACCACCACCACCATCATCATCATCACCATCATCATCATCATCATCATCATCATCATCAAAACTCTGTGGCTTTAGTGCGGAAGCAAACTATACTGACTGAGCGACTGCTGCTTGTCTGTGAAGTTAGTGCAAATTTTAGTGGATGAGGGTGTCGCGTGGTCAGCGCAACGAATCCTCACCGCTGTTAATTTTGGTTTTCTAGACTGGAGCCACTACTTTTCCATTCAAGTCGCTTCTCAATTATCCTCACAAGGCTATCATCGTCATTGTATGTCTGTAATGTGTTCCAGGTTCCCAGTGTGCAGCTTAAACTTCCAGGCAAAAAACTGTTCGGGAACAATCTGGATCCCCAGTTTGTGCAGTCTCGACGGGAGGGCCTGAATTCATTTATCCAGCAGATCATGACAGATGCAAGATTCCGGCAGTTGTAAGTTCATTAGCACATATATGTGTGAACAGGAACATTATAGTTTACTTTCGTCACCATCTATTAACTATGTACTGACAATTACAAGGTGTTCTTGAACTTCTTTATGAACCAGAGTTTGTCATTGCCAGTTACTGCCGCACACCATTACATCATCATTAGAAAGTTATGAGATTTGTTTTCAACATACTTCCTGTCTTCTGGTGCTGGTGGGAAATTCCAGCATACTGGGTTAATAACCTCATCATATAGTAATAAATAGTTGGTATATGTGGATTATTGTAAGGCACTATATGTGTACAGTAATATGAATTTATGTTAATATGTTGTAATACTTTTATTTGGAATTAATCATTATTTTAGATTAGAGATAATACTTTTCTTATATGTTTAACTGCATTTGCAGTACCGAGCTATGCTTGCTAAAGTTAGACAAATTTCTGCCTATAAATTTTCCACTAAGTTCTTTTTATCGGTAATGTAAATTCCGCAAGTCCTTAATTTTTCAGCTACTCCAGATGATATGTGATTTCTTTATCTCCTAAAAATGCCATCATTACTGGCACTTATTCACCAATTGCAGAAGCTCTTTTTAATTGCTGTGAGCTACATGGAGCGCATGTGCCCTTCTGCTCAGCCATGACTGTCTGAAAATAATGATACCCAGACACATCAGATATCAAATCTCTGTCTCCTTCCTCATTCCAAAACGTGTCATTTTTGTTCACAGTGTTGTTCTCTGTTAATCAACTGCTCATCATTCTCTTTATTGCGCTTGAAGACGAATGAACCCAACAAACATGAGCAGAGTACATAAAAAAAACAAAAAACAAACTCTGTTACCTGTAGTCTGCAAGTGAACTATACTGACCGAGCAACCGCTGCTTGTCGGCAAAGTTAGTGCCAACTTTTGCAGAAAGAGGGTGTTACGTGGTCAGTGAAATGGATTCTCATCGTCGTTAATCTCGGTCTTCTAGACCGGAGCCCCTATTTCCTTAAAATAGCTCCTTAGTTATCCTCACGCGGCTGAGTGGGCTCTGTTCCAGACCCACTACTCATAAAATCTGGTAGCACCGGGAATCGAACCTGGGAACTCTGGATGTGTAGCCAGGAATTCTGACCACTAGACCACAGAGGTGGAGCAGAGTAAATGCATGCTAAATAATAAACATAAAAGATTTTAACAGGTAGTGCCATTACTAAAAGAGGCTTCAGATGACACTAATGCTGTTGACAGTGAACTAATCATAGAGAGTTTCACTGCTGCTGCTTTCATCTTGCCAGAATGTTTACTGTTAATAGGAGAGAGGTTTGGAATGGTTCTGTACGTGTACCATATTACAGTATGTAGAAGGACATACGATAATGAATTTAAACCAGATATGCAATCCTCCTCCTAGTTTTTCAACATATGTTGGTGCCTGAAGAATGTTTAACAAAGAACAATCTATTATTCTTTCTTTGTATAAGGAAAGATGGGCTTAATGATATCACCATGTTCATGTATCCATCTGTCCATGTGGCTGTCCCACAATAAATTTTAAACCCATTAATGCATTTTGGGTCCAGTATAGGCCATTGCACCTTTTCACATACGAATTCTCTGTCATCACTAAGACCCATATGGTGATCATGGAAACCCTAGTACCATGTAATGTATGGTTTTGAAGTGTTGAACTTTGAAAGCTATGGTTACAGTTTTATAGAACAGTTTTATTTGTTGAGGAGTCATCACTGTTTGCTTAATGTTGAGCTTCCTCTTGTACAGGCCAGAGGTTTGTGAATTCTTCCAGTTGGACCGACGTAAATTGAGTTCAGAAGAAGGAAGTGTAGAAGATGGTGAAGAAGAGGTTGGAGGCAGTGATGTCACTAACAGCAATGATAAGCTGAACCTTGGACCCTCAGAAAGATCACAGTAAGTATTTTACGTAGTATTTTACCTGTAATTATCTGCTGACATAACTCATTAACTGTAATTTTACTCTCACAAAAACATATGCATGTAATTGTTATCGAAAGCACAAGTTTTTGGCTTTTGTTGTCATGTAAGTCTGTAGGTTTCCATGGTTAATGTGATATTTGTTTTGCCAAATTAATAAATTGGCAGGAAAAAATTACAAAATTTCAAATAACTTGTTCCCTTTCAGGCATTTTTAAAAGCTGTTTAACAGAAATTGATGGCAAAGTATTATTAACCCTGTGCCCTTAGGACAGAGAACCATGCATTGTTGGTTGTGTACAGTTTAATATTCAATGGATTCACAACTGTTCTCCATGTCTGGAGGCACTGAGTAGTTTCGTTCAAATAGTAATGTTTCTGAGTTGTATGTGAGAGGTGCTGAGTTCAAATCTTGGCCAGGAACCAACTATGCTAATTGAAGTTTTTAGGCTGTGGTCACTTCCTTCCACATCCTTTGCAATTTATTATTCTCTATCATCCAATCATTCGACACTATATAAGCAGAGATACTGAGAGCATCATTAAATAAACTACAAAGAAATAAATGAATATATGGAGGTTCCTTCATTGATGACCACTTAATAATGTTTTAGATTTTTTTGTGCAGAATTTACTCCTAATAATGCCATCATTTTTCCACAGTGCAAAGCCAATCGATTTTGAATTCCTGCATGTAATTGGAAAGGGCAGCTTCGGTAAGGTGTTGTTAGCAAGGCACAAAGTTGAACGGAGGCATTATGCGGTGAAGGTGCTCAGCAAACGTCTTGTTGTGAAGAGGAATGAAGCGAAACACATCATGTCTGAAAGAAATGTCCTCCTTAAGAATCTGAACCACCCATTCCTGGTTGGTTTGCATTACAGTTTCCAGACTCCAGACAAGTTGTACTTCGTGCTGGATTACATCAATGGTGGAGAGGTGAAGTTTGCTTGTACATATGACTCTATTAATCCTTTCACTCTAATGGAGGAAACATTTCTTCCAGACATAAAAGGATGCTGATCAGTATGGATGGAAGTTTTTGCCAAATATATGCAGCCCTAAAATGTCAATTTTTTGTTCTGAAAATTTCTGCACCAAAAGAAATGGACGTAAGAAATTAATTTGTTTCATACAAGTTTAAGAGTTGGGGTAGTTCAGTCAGCAAAGTGACTGTCTTGAAACTGGGCAGTTGGGATTCATTTGCTAGAAAATGTTACAGGCTCAACGCCTCATAACCGTATGGGCCTCCACAGCCTGTTAACAGAGATAGCTTTACCTGTGTCAGGATTATATTGGACTCACTTGACCTTGTGTTCACTGGGCACTAGGGACTAAAGCTAACCACTCATCTTCATACGATGCTGAGGTCTGGCACAGTATTTCTCAACATGTGTTGCTGGTCCCCCTACAGGTACTACCAAAGAGGCTTGTCACAAGTTACTTGTTCTTGGCATTAATGGTGAATTTTGAACGGTTATTGTTCTAAGTAATATCCTAATCCATTTTATAAGATACGGCATAATGTAGAAGCAACCTATAGTGATGCAAGATACTTTTGTAATGCCCTATTTCTTTACTGTAGGTCCATGTCTGATCAGTGGCTGTATAAGTAAAAGTGACAGAAATTGTTCAAGGTGGTTACCAGTTAGTTGTAAACTGGAGGAGTGAATCCAAAAGAATTTTTAGTTCTGAGGTTCCTGAGTGATTGAAGACTAAATAGCAAGAAGGCTGCATAGTGATATGAAGCGCTAGTTTCTGTGTAGAAATCTGTTGCTAGGAGACGACTAGTGGAAACTGAGAAACCTAGGGCATGTGCAACGGTGGACTGGAAAGTGTGTAAATAGCGATAGCATTATAATTACATGTAATTACCAGTGGTATTTTATTAGGAGTAAATAAATCTGTTCATCCAATCCAGAACCTGCATTATTAGTCACTAATTCATTAACAATATAAATGAACTGTCATTATTATTTTTTGACCACGACTGTTTACAAGGAGACAGAATAATCGTTGGTGAAACGAAAATAGGGTCAAGCAAATATGCTGGGTGGAACAGTGAGAGGCTGAACAGCAGTGATGTACCAGAAACTATGGGAAGCTAGATAAGGATGGACTGAATATCATGATTGAGTAGTTTCTGTCACTTTCTCATGTTCAGGTGGTTCCATATTCAGTTCTCAGCTTTCCTTACTAACGTTTTCACAGTTTTACTGAGTTCCATATTACAGATGTTCAAATACGGGGAGATTGAGAAGTTGTGCACATCACACTAAACACTTATGTTTTGCTGGTTTAATGCACAAACTACAAGACATACAGCACTTACTATTAATGTTTATAACCTTACATCTTAGAAATGCAAAATCAAATCATGTCTTCACAACAAATGCTCGAAATGCCTTCCCTGTTCAGCAGTGAGCTCTTTTTACCATGTTTGAGGTCACTTTGTGGAGCACCTGTAAACTGATGCTGTTAATTGCCATTGGTCATCCAGTGTATGCAGATTGTTTTTATAGACAATTCCTTTGAGGTACCCCCCAAAGGAAAAAATCTGCGGGTGACAAATTGGGCGAACGCGGGTGCCAAAATCCTTTCGAAATGAGACGGTCACTGAAAAACTCGCGCAAGAACTGCATTGTTTCATTAGATGTGTGACATGTGGCACTGTCTTGCTGAAACCAACACTCATGTTCATCAACTTTAAGAAGCGCAGTAAACTGTGTAATGATGTCTTGGTACACTGGACTGTTCACTGTTGTTTCGAAGAAAATTGAGCCCACTATTCGACAATATGATACAGCACACCATACTTCAATTTTCTGACAGTGCAAGGGCTTTTCATGTAACATGTGGATTTTCAGATGACCAAATCCTATTGTTTTGACTGTTCATGTAGCCACTAAGGTGAAACCATGCTTCGTTAGTGCACATGCATAAGAACAACTGGCGAAATAATGTACCACAATGAAAACTCGTTCTTGGGAAAACGACATGTCTGTCACACAATAAATGAAGCTATACTGCAGACGTCATATGACCAATACATGACAGATGGCGTTTCTACTTGTTGTTAGTACTCCTACAGTACCATCTAGCAGTAGGAGATATAATTATATTAACTGCAATACAATTTATAACAACTTTTATTTTGATGTGCGTGACTTTTTGATCTCCCTGTAGTACCTTAAAATAGGCTTCAGCTACAACAAATTTATCCTATGTCCGTCATAGTCCATCATTAATGATCATTTGCTATATATCAATGAATGCACCCTTCGGAGCAGGGAGTTATCTAAAAATTTACTTTCCATCTTGCAGAAAACACGATATGACCATTATAAACATAATCTAGTTAATGCTGTTTAAGGAAGTAATTTTTGTTTGAAGAGTGCTGTCTTCTGGGGTATATGCTGTGTGGTCCATCGAAAGTCAGTTGACATTTTGGAGGAACATAGCACCTTCATCTTTAGGGTTGAAGGATAAGCTGAGCAAGAAGCCAACATGGAAGCAGGTGGCAAGCAGAGCCTCTGTGACGAAGATGGAGGTGATGTGTTCCTCTGAAACTTTGGTTGATTTCAACAGACTACATGGTGTTCTAGTCCAGAAGATAGTACTGCTCATAACCATCACTGTGAGAACCTAAAATCCTTATTTATGTTTATTCTGAGAATCATACAAAACACATGAATACACTCTGTGGATAAACTGCAGAGTTATTAAGTGTTAATGTAGGTGCTACATTAAGTAAACACTGTGCTTTAAGTGACTAAGAAACAGCCATGTAGGTAGACATGGGTGGGAACTTTTATGTCATAATATCCTCAAAGGAGCACATTGTGAGAGGGATAGAAAAAAAAAAAAGAAAAGCAAAAATGCAAATCCTTTTTTATCTATAGCTGTATGTTATAGATTCATAATTATACAATATTGTTCTTAAAAAGACATTAAATGCTACACAGTGCTGAAGTAAATATTGGGACCAAGCACATAATTTCAGTATATGCTCAGGTTGACATTGGAAATATTAAGAATGCCAAAATTTTGATGTTAGTAATTTGTTCTGCAGCTATTCTTCCACCTGCAGCGAGAACGAATGTTTACAGAACCAAGAGCTCGATTCTACAGTGCAGAGATGGCAGCTGCATTGGGTTATCTGCATGCACATGGTATCATATATAGGGACTTGAAACCTGAAAATATTCTGCTAGACTCCCAGGGACATGTTGTGCTTACAGATTTTGGTCTTTCAAAGGAAGGACTGTTTCCAACTGATACGACCAACACATTTTGTGGTACTCCCGAGTACTTGGCACCCGAAGTTCTCAAAAAAGAGGTATTTAACCACTGATGTATAATTTGAAAATAGTCTTTTACTTTTGCAGTTGAGAAGTGAGAAATTTTAATTGTGTGTACCTGGTGTCAATGTGTTTCCATGTAATTCTTTTGCCATGTTATCATGTACAATTGAACATCTGTCGGTTTAGCATTCCAAATGGAGAAATTCAGTGAAATGTTTCAGTTATTTTCATATGCCTAGTACTATCTGACTAAATCCATGGATCCTTGCAAAACCGATGGTCCTATAATTAGTGAAAAAATTTCCTTTTTTATGGTGCCTGAAGGTTCATTTGAATCTGAGGACCTGCATAACTTTTTGTAACGTGCTGGAGTGTTTTGTCCCCACTCTTTCCAAGGTGGGGAACATCTTGTTAGCTGCCCATAACTGCTTATTCATTACATTTGCAGTCACCATCCTGTTGTTCTGGGACATTGTACGTGGTGCAATCCAAAAGTTCCCGAAATATATTAATAAAAACTATTACATCTTACCTAGATTTTATTCTGCACCATCACCTTCAAAGTAGTCCCCTTGGGAGCGCATACACCGATCCCAGCATTTCTGCCACTTTTCAAATGCATCCTGGAAGTCTTTCTTTGTTAGTGTGTTTAGTACCGTCTGTGTTTCCGCTTGAATTTCCTCAACTGTATCAAATCTTCGTCCCTTCAACTTGATTTTCATCTTGGGGAAGAGAAAGAAGTCGCATGGAGCTAAGTCTGGTGAGTACGGTGGGTGGGGAACAACTGCCATCTTGTTTGTAGCCAAAAATTCCTGCACAATGTAAGCCGTATGCGGTCGTGCGTTGTCATGGTGGAGTACCCAGTCGTTCGTGTGCCACTTCTCTGGATGTTTTCTCCTCATGTCCTCCCTCAAACGCCTTAGAACATCGCGATAGAACTCTTTATTGACTAATTTAACTTGTCTCATTTTGGTCCATCACACTATTAATTACAGAGTAGATAATGAAAATTTCAGTCCAATGTGACATACGAGTTTACAGCACTTCAGTCCTCATTCACCTTACATGTTTCGATTCAAAAGAATCATCTTTAGAGGCGCACCACTACGATAAGGAAACACTGTCACATAAGATATTTTAACAATATGCACTTTCGATATGACTAATGCTCTTTATATAAATTTTGTTATCACGGTTGGTTTTGATGTTTGTCTTAGGCACTCACAATGGCGCTTCTTGAAGTGTAGATTTACTGGTTATTCTGACTGGGGTTTTCCACTGCACACAATATTGTGTTCACTTTTCCATACAGTAGACTCCCAATATATTTGAATTTGTATTAAAATTTCCACGTAAAAAATTAGTTATTATATTAAAATATCTTGAGCCGACATTGGGTCATGTTGTTTTCCTCCTGATGGTGGGAGATGTTGTTTATTTCTCTTGATTTCATGTTCTTATTATTAGTAGTGTAGTTTACGTGTGTGCTGCACGTGCTGGATGGTCAGTCTATGATCTTGCAGAATCAGATCCCTAACTTTCGCGACATTTTCTGGTGTTTTGCCCGTTGACGGCCGTCCCGAACGATCGTCATCATCAGTCAATGTTCGGCCGTTTTTAAAACCCTTATACCAGTTGTAAGTTCGTGTCTGGCCTAAACGGTTTTCACCAAAAGCTTGCTTCAACATTTGGTGCGTTTCTGCAGCGGTTTTCCCAAGTTTGAAACAAAACTTTATACAGACACGCTGCTCTCTCAGGTCAGCCATCGCAAAACCGCAAACTCACGGAAACACAACAATGGAAATACGTTCACCAACAATAAACCCAACCACTCAACTCGACGCCGCTTGCCACACTGATTCAAGAAGGATGTGTGAGGAGACACCTAGCGGTATTTCGATGTACTCATAACCATTCGTGCGCAAAATTCAAATTTCAGAAACTTTTGGATTGCCCCATGTATGTTCCATCCACAGCCTGAGGGTGCATCATGCTATAATTTTAGAATACCCACTTAACATGGCTGTGTGGGAACATCCCACATACTTGCATGCTGTTTCGCCAGTCTAAGAGAGAACACTCACTCCTAGGTCAGTATCTCATTGCCGCACATTGCTGGCGACGCTCATATTTATACAGCACTCAATGTCCCACCTGTAGATCATCACATGTGCTAACCAATCACATTGCTGCCAGCACTCATATTTATACAGCACTCGGTGTCCAGCCCACCTGTAGATCACGTGCGCTAGCCAATCAGCGCTCACAATCGCAACTGCAAGTTTTGCTCTGCCCATCAAGCATGGTATAAAAGGCAGAGCCCAAAGCTCACAATCGTCAGTGATCACATTCAGTCCAGAGCGATCAGTCATCAGAGTCATCAGCTCATTGCTGTGCCAAGACAGCTGCCGCAACTCTCAAGCAACCACGCTCTGTGACCAGGCAGCTAACGTATTTGCCGCAACTCTCCAGCACACGCACGGTGGAACAAATGGCCCTTTTCAAGGCCCGCAAACTGTTCGAAGTGGTTGTCTATTAGAACATCGACAATCCCACAGCTGTTATCCAGTTTCTTCCTGTTGTGCTGTAGGGGGTGGGGTAATGTATGGTATTTTGTCTCATAAAGTGATGTATATCTTTTCAGAACATTAATGTTAAATAAGAATTATTTGGTGTAAATAATATAAAAGTTGTGTGATGTCACATCCTCTCATTTTCTGAATTTGGCTTAATGTAAGTAATGATAAGTAAGAATGATTCAGTGTGTGTTTGTGCAGCACATTAACTGTTATGTGCAGCTTGTTAGGTTAAACTCCAAAGAAGTGTTACAGATAATTAATTTTTTTTTTTGGTCAGTTAGGATATATATTAGATATATGCAGGTCTTTAATTTTTTTAGATTGAATTGAGAAAGGAAGCATCTCAGTCATTATTTGAATGTTGATTTTAAATCTCGAACTTCAAAAATATTTTGATGATTGCTTCTCTCTGTGCAGTGGCATGCAGACTCCCTGATTCATTATAATGATTACCAATGCCAGCATGAATTAACTGGTCAACAAAATCTACCTGCCCCTCCTTTTTTATGTCTCTAGTGAAAAGGGATGGGTTTCAAAAGTGATACCTACTGTACTTCATTTCGTGCACTGTGGAAAGTGGGTGGTACTGTAAATTGTGATTATAATGAGAAAATTGTCTAGTAGAGAAAATTCTTGCGTTCATTCACAATTTTTTATTTCAGATTCTCATCTTACACTGAACAAAAATAATTCTTGTGTATGTCTGATATGTATTTGTGGGACTGTTAAAGTAAGACTGTGGGAACACCCATTGAGAATTAATGGGAAATCTCTTCATTTGTATTATAGGCTTTCATACAAGCAACATCTCATGCTTTCTTCCATCTTCCTTTCCAGTCCCATATGTTATCAAAGAGTACATCAGGGCCCATTTTTAATATTATCTCCTATGAATAACATGCACAAATTTACAATCGTAAATCATTTCTTTATGTAGTATACGAGGTGTGACAATTTAATTCCTGGAGTGGCCCCCTGTGAAAGCAAAATTTGCTTGTAAATCTTTTATATATAGAGAGAGAGGTGAGCAGTTTCATTATTTCAGTACACTTTATGTGAAGAAAAATCTGAGCGAAGAACAGGTATTATGGTGGCTTTTTTGTCTGCTGGAATATGTAAGACTGTCATAATTTATGAGTGGTTTTACTTATTAGCTCAATACAGTTGATCAGCAAATTGTACATGGATCAGAAAGTTAGAGTACGACTGGACAGAGGGGAGACAGGAAGTGTGCAGATTGGAAGAGGAGTTCGACAAGGATGCTGTTTATCACCAATTCTGTTCAACTCGTACAGCGAATGCCTTACCAAGGAAGCTATGGATGGGCTCGGAGACTTCAAAGTAGGAGGACAAATTATTCAGACTGTGAAATATGCAGATGACCTTGTGTTAATGGCTAAGGAAGAAACTGTGCTACAGGGCATGATTGATAGACTAATTGAAATTGGAAGGTGCTATGGGATGGAAATGAATGTGGAAAAAACAAAAGTAATGAAAATTTCGAGACAACCAACCCCAGTCACAATAAAGATAGACCAAAAACAACTGGAGAATGTGAAATGTTTTAAATATTTGGGTAGCTTGTTAACAGATGATGGAAGGTGTACTAGTGAAATTAAATCCAGGATTGCCATGGCAAAAGCTGCATTTAGCAAGAAGAAGAATCTTTTTACCAGCAAATTGGACTTAAATTTGAGGAAGAAACTAGTGAAATGCTACATTTGGAGCATAGCTCTGTATGGGGCTGAAACATGGACACTTAGGGCAGTAGATCAGAAACATCTGGAAAGTTTCGAAATGTGGTGTTGGAGAAGAATGGAGAAGATCAGTTGGACCGATTATGTGAGAAATGAAGAAGTGTTAATTAGAGTCAGTGAGCAGAGGAATATCCTACATGAAATAAGAAAACGGAAGGCTAATTGGATTGGTCATGTTTTACGCAGAAACTGCCTTCTAAAAGAAGTTATTGAAGGAAAGATAGAGGGGCGGATAGAAGTGACAAGAAGACGAGGAAGAAGACGTAAGAAGGTGCTGGATGACCTTGGGGACAGAAGAGGATGCTGTCATTTGAAGGAGAAAGCTCTAGATCGCATTAAGTGGAGGAATTGTTTTGGAAGAGACTGTGGACCTGTCATCTGACAGATTACTGATGATGATGACAGTTTGTTTTAAGAAGCATTCAGGCAAAGATAGACACTTTTTATAGTCTTGTAATTAAAGAAAGGGAGTCATGTGAGCATAAGTACACCCCAGGCAGTGAAAAGTGAGTACATAGCATAGCTGGAGTGATGACTGATGGGGCAAAACTGAAGTGCTTATCTAGAAACCTTCCCCTGTGCCACCTTGTTTTCCACAAATCCCATATGAACTTCTGTGAGGTTGAACTCAGTTGTTATGTGCTATAATGTTAAAACTACTCTGCCCACAGTAAAGGGTTCCATAATGGTCCTAGCCTATTTCATTTTAAATGCTATGAAACCATGTGTTCTTTTGTACAGTTCTGTTGTCCTGTGTAATTTCATCAAGGAAGTCAGTGTGGCAGTAACATTGAGATCTGTATTTGGGGGTAACTGTTACAAATCTCAGCTGTTTTGACAGGTGTTTATCGTTTTCTGCAGTCCTTCCACCACAGTCTAATCCTTGTGGTAATGTTCTAGGCTCATGTTTTGGAGGTAAAGTAACTGATTTGAATCTCAGCCGGATTGGTGTCTGTTCTGACCAAGATTTTCATGATATTCCTCAGTTGCTTGAGGTGATTGAATATCTGGATTTTTTCCTGAGATAGGCCAAGGGTGCCTCTTTTCAAATATTTACCAACTTACCTTCCATGATTATCTTCCCAAGTTATTTGACACTGTGTAACTTAATTGAAATGGCATCACTAAGTAACCCAGGAATTAATCGGTGAGAACCCCTGTATCCTAACCAGTCATGATCACCGTCTCACATTTTGCAGGTAAAAGAGTGTTGTTAAGTAATCTGTGAATCAGTCAGTCATATTTCCTTTCAGGGATATGATAGATCTGTGGACTGGTGGTGTCTGGGAGCTGTCTTATATGAGATGTTATATGGTCTGCCCCCTTTTTACTCACGTAATACAGCTGAGATGTATGATCGTATTGTCAACAAGCCCTTACGATTACGACCCACAATCTCTGAAAGTGCCCGTGACATCCTAGCCAAGGTGAGTATTGTGCCGATGCAGATTGCTGTGCGTGTTACGATCAGCATTAATAAGAATGGAAGTTTTACTCCAGGGCTATTTTATTAGAGACCTGCTCACTGTGTATGACCTCTGTGAGTCTGACCACTGACCCATGAATGGACACAAATTTTGAAAAATCATGAACTTTCATTACATTATATTTGATTTTATAAAATATTTAATGTTCCTCTGTGTGAATGTCATAACCTGATATTAATTCTAGTTTTACATTCTGAGTTCTGAAATATTTAGCATGTGCTAACTCTCTTGCATCAGCAACAGACTGTGTCAGGATGTTGACCTTGAGTCTGTCATGTGACTTAGGAGAAAATTTGGATGTGAGATTTGTGCATGGAGGGGAGAAAGATGAAAAAAAGACAGGCAGAGTAAGCTGCCACCATTCTGCCATCTCTTGTTAGTCATAATACTTGTTTTGTTAGTGTGTTTGATTATCCTTTGATGTTTACATTATCAGCCCTGAGGGCAGTGTGTTGGTATGCTGTTTTAGCTGCTTCAGAAGGACCGTCATAAACGACTGGGGTCGGGTTATAGAGGATTTGATGAAGTAAAGCGCCATGACTTTTTCAAACTCATCATCTGGGAGGATCTGCTGGCCAAGCGCATTCCTGCACCATTTAATCCGAATGTGGTAAGTGTGTGGTTGTCATTTTATGCCATTATTTTGAACAGAAACAGATTCTAAATTCTGCTTCAGTTTCAGTTAGGCCTAAATGGTTTTCTGTGATTACATTTTTAAATGGCATATCTGATGCTGCAGTGAAGCAGTAATCTAATTATTCATTTCGGGCACAGTCTGATTGAAGCACGCTGTATCATGTTTGAAGGGTGCAAGTGTATATCTCCTTTGCCATGGCATGGTTTTATAAAACTGGAATTTTAGGTAGATTCCAATAGAGAATGCTACAGGAATAACCATGAACTATGGCCAGAAACATCCAAGCCATTCCAAGATAGTTCTCAGGGATGTTAGTTGCAACTGCAGGTTCTACAGTACCTGGGTGTATTGGAAGATGATGGACAAGGTTATGATCATTTTCTTTGGCCTGTCTAGCTTTCTGCTGTTTTTTACGGTGTGATATGCCTTGCATCTGCACATACTGTCACTGCTTCTGCTTCCTTCCCCTCCCCTCCCCTATTCCTCCCCTCCCTCCTTCATGTTTACCAGAATTTCGAATACAGTCTAAGAGTAATTTAATAATTTTAAATAATCCGTTAGCCATGCTCTGTCTCCCACAAAGAGAGAATTGAAACTAACCTGTCTCTCTCCTGGAGATGTAAAAGCAGGTCTTTGCAAACCTTGGAATCAGAATGACCAGCCTTTGGGACATTACTTCAGACATTCTCATGCCAGGCAAAAGAGAAAGAAAGAGAAGGAAGAAAACTAATCCTAGAGTGGGAGAAAGAGTAACATGTTTGTTGCCAAGGCACCAAGGAAAGTCTGAGCCAGTGTAGAGCTCAGTGAGTCAGTAAAATTCTCCATTTCTGAAGGAGGCCTTTTGTTGGTCCAGAATGAACTGCTTTTGTGGAAATATTTGTAACTACCAGAAAACTTTAGAAGTTGATCCCGACTTCAGAAGCATTATGAAACAGTGACCTATGTGGGAAAGAATAACGTTTGTATTTGTATGTGGCTATTCTTGTGAATACAATCAAGCAAGCAGTTTCATTTATAATGAAACATGCAGGTAGCATGTTGAAGTTAGGTTGTCAGGAGGAAACAACCATCTCTTTCATAAGATTTGAGGTTTTCACAGCAGTGACTATGAAGAATTCTGTCTACTTGGATGTGGTGTCATGTAGATCCTGCACGAACCGATGTTTTGGAGGAACGTCAGTTCACACAAAGATCTACATGGCACCACATCCCAGAAGACGACATTCTTCAACCATCTGTTTTGTCTGATGCATACCTTTGGAAGAAACATTAGTGTGATTCTGAAGAGAGTTCAGCAGATTTAGGCTTTTGGCAGTGACATGAAGTCAATGACCATTCTGTTCATGTTGCTATTGTAAATGATATTGATCAAGGTAATGATAATAGGGCTTCACGTAGGAAGATGACGTAGAATTACAGTAATGAAGAAGAAAAATCCACGGTCAATTTCAGTCCCTAGCAGCAAAACATTCGTGTGAAATTGTGGTCATACTTTGAGATACATTTCAACAAATGTGTTATTGAAATAATTGTTGAAACAAATGAGTTGAATTGTTTTGGCAGGGCTTAACTTTTAGAAAGGAAGCTGTTATGTCATTTAAACCAATGACAGGAAAGAAACACTGTATTGGGCTTCCACCTTATCGTGGTGAGGGGGTTTGAGTATGCCAAGGACCCTGAGAGCTATACCAGCGGTAGCGTAGCTACTGGCAGGGCCTCCCTTGCTGGACAGGTCAAAGGGTAGGCATCAGACGAAGAGAGAGACCAAAAACTGATGCCGGAAGCAGCGTCATCAGCAGCGACTTGAAGCACAGAGCAAATGATGCTCGAGATGGTTCAAGTTCGTATAGCAACAGGCGTGACCAGAGTGGTTTGAACGGCTGCTGTACTGCGATGTGGAAAGCAAATGGAAAAACTACCACATTATCACTTTTCCTGGATAGTCTCCTTCCAAAAACAGAAGATCGCATTAAGTGGAGGAACTGTTTTGGAAGAGACTGTGGACCTGTCGTCTGACAGATTACTGATGAATGAATGAATGAAGGTAACAAAAATTATGTGAAATCACCAGAATGTTCCAGATTGTTGATCTTACTTCATAAATCCGAAATTCACAAAGAACAGATTACTGAATGCTGCGTGTGTGTGTGTGTGTGTGTGTGTGTAAGTTAGTGCGTATGGGAGGGGAGACAAAAAATTCTGAGAGTGCTGGTTATTAATCACTTCAGAAATGGAGCGGGCTCAGGATTGTTTTCATTGTTAGTGGTGTTGAACCTTCAAATTACAGTGTTGAAGAGTTGGTCTAGTTGCTTATATTTGGTATGCTCTTACAGACTTTTTTAATGTTTTATATAATATCCACTTAAAAAGAATATGCTTTCTCCTCACAGCAAAGTGTGATGGATCTGCAACACATAGATCCTGAATTCACCAGAGAACCAGTGACAGCATCAGTAGGATGTTCACATTCTACCTGTGCATTATCTGCCAGCGTGCGAGAGGCTGATGATGCATTTGTTGGATTTTCATATGCTCCTCCTATTGACTTAGAGTAATGGTTTCTTTCTCTTAAATGACCATGGTCTCTTTTAAAACAACAGCTTCTGTATCATTTATATGCCAGATTCGTAAGTGGTGGTGTGCAGAGTCAGTTTACCTGAAGTTTGCTGTTGTTTTACGTTCATAACTGTTCTGGGTCTCTTAATTTGTAATCACATTCCATCTTTTTATGTGGATCATAATAACCGAATACAGTGCCTTTATACTGCCCATCAGGTTTGTAAGTTGTACATATTGTCCCTGAACAAAATTAATATTGGCTTGCTGTATGGTTCTCCAAGGATGTACCATGAGTCTGACAGATGTGTATTATAAGAATAATTAAAAATTTATGCTAATATTATACTTTGTAAAAGTATTTTTTCATCTGGATTATAATAACTGGATACTGTGCCTTTATACTGCCCATCAGGTTCATAAGTTGTACATATTATCCCTGGACAAAATTAGAATTGGCTTGCTGTATGGTTCTTCAAGAATGTACCATGAGTTTGACAGATGTGTATTATAAGAATAATTAAAAATGTATGCTAATTTGATACTTTGTAAAAGTATTTTTCATCTGGATTATAATAACCGGATACTGTGCCTTTATACTGCCCATCAGGTTCATAAGCTGTACATATTATCCCTGGACAAAATTAGTATTGGCTTGCTGTATGGTTCTCCAAGAATGTGCCATGAGTTTGACAGATGTGTAATATAAGAATAATTAAAAATTTATGCTAATTTGATACTTTGTAAAAATCATATTGTTTATATGAAGAAAGTCTCATATTTTAAAGCACAATGGGTAATTATTCACAAAAATAGGGACTACATGTCAGCCATTGTCTCATTTGTAGCGTTACTACATGAATTATAAATGTTTAATTTTCCAAGAAATCAGGGAAGTCCCACTGTAGATATTTACATTTATCAGCAAATAAACTACTTGATAAAAAGTTTTATGTTAATTTTGTTAGTAATTTCCCACAAATTTATCACTCATTGCTTGCTTGCCATAGATTACACAACATATTTCGAAGTTACTTTTATACATAAATGAAACACTTTAAAATAAATTTGTCATGGGTTTGTTTAATAAGTTTTGAATAATTAAAAATAAGGAAATATATGTCTTGACAGAAAACTTACACTTAAGTTGGAATGACAAGTTATGTTTGCAGTTTGGTTGGGAAGGTGAAAACGATTAGCATCAGTTCTTGTGTGTGGCCTTCTCCATTCTATTTCTGCTTGTATAATTAGTACAAGAGAGTCACAACAGATACATGCTGCACATCTGTTATTAATGTTCCATGTCCCATTAGGAAAAGATTTAAGAACCACTGTGCTGGCTCACAGACTTGTGTAAATTTTGTGACATTTCTGTCGAACATCTGTGATAAAATACCTCCCAGTCTTGGCATTGGTCTAGTACCAGTGTAATTGACATGTGGAGTATATAGTCTGAAACACTATTGTATATGCATGTATGTATACTCTTGTCTGAGATTTGCCACTATTTTGTAGATTCAGTTGATGACATGGCTGTGTACAGAAGGGTGCTTGAAACTACTTGAAACTGGGTACAAATTATCTTGAATTTTCCCAAAATTAAGTTCTAGTTCATATTGTGTCCTTCTGTGATTTATTGTATCTCTTGAAGTATTTAGTAAAAATCTTAGAAGTCATTTGTGAGACAAATCTCTTCTTGGCATGCTTTTGGCATTATTTTGACCATGTTTTAATTCCATTCCACATAGTAACACCAACTTCATTACATCACCTCAGTATACTCGTGCCATATTTCTTTTAAATATACTTTTCTACCTATTCACACATGGGTTTGAATTAAGTCAGTCACATTTAATACTTCTGATCTTGCAGATATGAGTGAAGTTGAAGGTGTTAGTATTTATTAAATATTTACTGCTTTCCAGTGACTTCCATATTTGGATTTAGGGAGGTCCTTGACCTGGGAAGAAAGTGCATTTATTAGTCGTTAACCTGTCAAAAACATTGTTATAAATTTCTTAACAGCATGGTACATTGAGGTTTTCTCCTCAAAGGTCCATTCTGTATAACTTGGAACTGAAGATGTCTGTTTCTGAGGTGGATTATTATTGAGAATATGGAATGAATTTCACTGTTCAATAAACTTTAATGTATTGCAGTTATTTTAGCACTGTGGAATAACCTGGAGACAATATACACCATCTTCAGCTGTTGTACATTTTAGTCCTCACACCCACCATTGTTCGCTGTATATTCTATGAATTTGGTGATATGTAATTGAAGAATGTACAACAGTGCAGTAAGCAAATTAACACTGAAGAAATTAAACCAAAGAAAATGAAGTATGTTGATCAATGGCAGACATATGTGTTTCATTAGAACTGAAGTTCTTGTGACACTTATATCCTTATAGACAGTGAAATGGGGGAGGGGAAAAAAAAGAAGAAAAAAACACTATCAGATCGCTGTCCCCCACATAAATTGAACTTCTTAGTTGAGTTTTATTCCAGTTTCATGAAAGATTAGTCTCCAACTAACTTTGATGCAAAGAATGGTGAGATGGTACTCCACTTGCCCATATATGATATGTTCATTTGTAGAAATTATAGGTCTGTTTCAGAAGCACTAGCATCCAGGAGAGATCTGTTATACCATTAAACATTTTGTCAGTTGATAAGGAAAAATATTTTGTTCCTTACATATTTTTTATTTTTGGTTGTAAATTATATTGTGTTCAAGTTGTATTATTGCAAGGAATTTTAGTTTGTAAAGTGTATCTGATAAACAAGTTGGAAAATATTTCCAAGAATTTTGTATGTAAATAATAAAGATTACATGGCACTTTCTTTTGCTGTCCAACTTCAGGTGGTGGTTGAGGTATGCTAGATTAATTTTGATACATAAGGTGCCTGAACAGGATCAGATTGTACTAGATGTGGTGATTGCCATAAAGTTCTGGAGTGTACATTGTAACGTTGTTATATTAACTTGTAACTTGTTTACTTCAGTAGTAAGTGTCACAATATATATTACAGGGAAATGTATTTGTATGCTTCAAGGTAACTTTAAAATATTTGTGACAAGTCAGCTTTCCCATTCTGCACTAATACTGTTAAATTTTTTTATTTTATGATCAGATGACTGTCTTTCACTGTCAGTCACATTTATTATTAGTAACCCTTAACTGGTATAGGTTGTAAAATGAATCAGCATTACATTAGTTTGTCTTTATTCAGACAGGAACATTCTCTTCCATCTTTTTAAGTTTTTGCTGAACTGTGTGTTGAGATCACAGGACTTGCAGTAGATGGCCATTTGATTACTGATTTATGAGCCAGTTGCAGAAACTAACTCAGCTTAGTAGTGTAGACATGTTGTTTGATATGTTGCAGTCCAAGCTTCTGAGGAGTTTTCACTTTCATAAACCTAACCCTTTTAGAAATACGAAGTGCGTTCCATAAATAATGCGTCCTATTTTTGTGTTAATATGTAACGTCTGAGATGGATATTGGTGGTGGTGTAGTAAAGGTTGAACCTTTCCGCCAATGTACTGTTAATTTGGTTGTTGTGCAACAGATAGCGACAGCAGAGCAGTCTACCAAAATGGTGTCTGACATAGAAGTGCATATGAAACAGAGATGTGTTACTGAATTTCTCAATGCCGAATAAATTGTACCCATTGACATCCATCGACACTTGCTAAAGGTGTACAGAGACAATACAATGGGTGTCAGCACAGTGAGGTGGTGGGTAGTGTTTTTCAACAATGGTGAAAGTGAAGTGGACGACAAGCCATGCCCTGGGCGTCCCTGCTCAGATACCACTCCTCACAATGAACAGCGTCTCATCCGTGCAGATCGGCAGATATCGACCAGGGAACTGTGTGCACGGATTAATATCGGCTGTAATGCATTGGAAATGATGTTGGAGAAGCTGGATTATTGTAAAGTTTGTTCCAGGTGGTTCCTGCAGATGCTTACACAGGACCACAAAACTCGTTGAATTGAAGTTTGTCAGGACCTGTTGCACCAGTTTGAGGCTGAAGGTGACAAGTTTCTGGACAGCATTGTCATTGGAGATGAGACGTGGTATCACCATTATGAGCCAGAATCCAAAAGACAGTGCATGGAGTGGCGACATCCAGATTCCCCAAGAAAAAAGAAGTTCAAGACACAGCCATCGACAAGGAAAGTGATGTGCACGGTCTTTTGGGATAGGCGGGGTGTGATTTTCTTGGATTTCCTGGAGCCTGGTGAGACTGTCAATTCTGAACACTACAAGACGACACTGACTAAGCTGAAAGCCTGCATTTCCTGAGTCAGGCCAGAGAAGCAGACAACTTTTCGCTTGCAACAAGATAACGCCAGACCCCATACAAGTTTGGCGACCACCACGCACATTGCAAAGTTTGGCTGGACTGTCCTACCACATCCACCTTATAGCCCCGGTTTAGCACCTTCAGACTTCCATCTCTTTGGACCTGTGAAATATAGACTACGTGGACAACATTTTCCAGACAATGATGCTGTCATTGCAGCTGCAAGAAAGTGGCTAGCCTCTGCTGGTGCACACTTTTACAGGCGCGGCATACAGGCTCTTGTTAATCGCTGGCAAAAGTGAATAACGAATTGTGGTGATTATGTGGAAAAATAACTGTAAGTAGCTGAAATCTTGCTCTATTTAACTGCGTTATTATGCTTTTGGTATCTATTGTAGTTTTTTTGAAAGAATAGAGGTATTATATATGGAACGCTCTTCGTAGTTTCTTCTGATTTTGGTATATTGCTAAACCACTGTGAATGCATTATGCACCCTTAAACAAGTTTTCTTCAATCAAAATGCAGTTATCAGATATCCTAGAAATCATGGTTCCACTGAATATGCATATTATGGAATTTGAAAAGTTCTGGAAAGACAACTTGATAGAATGATGATGATGATGATGATGATGATGATGATGAAAAAGAAATGGTTGTAAGAAATTGATTTGTGACATACAAGTTCATGCACTGGAATAGCTCAGTCAGTAAAGCAGCTGCCTTTGGGCTGGACAGTTTGGTTATTAGCAGCATTGAGATGCCTCTTTTTTTTGGGGGGGGTGGGGGCAAAGGCCAATGCTGTAATACTGGCAAACATTGCTATTTATTGCTGTCATTTGTTGATGTTATCTGCTGGTTCTGTTGTAACTAACAGATTAATTTTGGATTTAGTTTCCATGGATGTGACATAACAACAAACTGACAAACATTATGACAAATACTGTCACGCTTAGACTAATTATATATAGATATGAACATATCATTTATATCTGAACCAAGAAAAAGTGGATTCTGAATGCTGCCAAATTGCAAGGAACCTTTGAGAGTGACCAATTTGTTAAATGAATATGTGCATATTATTTGATATCTAAACTGAGAAAAAGTAGATGCTGGATGTTTTCAATTTGTAAACTACTTTTGAAAGAATCCATGTGATTGACATATTGCCAGTTATGGCTACCACAGTCAGCTGGACTTGCATTAAAAACAAAGCAGTGAAACAAAGTGAGGAACAGAAAAAGGTGATAAAACAGAAAATATGGAAAGTGGAATGTAACATTTATTCTAACCTTTTGAACACTGTGGCTAGATCATTTTGAGATCCTTAAATTAAAACTGACAAAGTTGAAGAGGTGGGCTCAATGCTGTCCATTTAGTATAGCATTTCTGTCAGTAGACAGCACCAGAATATTGTCATGTATTAGTGACTAAAGTTGGGGTTCGGATTGGTAATTGGATTTATAGGATACTTACAGGTTGTAGCTACAGTTAATTATTACACTATTCCTGATTTACACACTACAGAGCACTCAATGCTAATATCTTCAATCTATATGCACTAGTCTTCATGGATTTATAACACAGGAACTATAACAGTCACACTAAATCACACACTCCCAATACCACTGCACTATGGCACACACAAGTCTTCAAATCACACATTAAATCTTCTCAGGCTGACTTCTTGTACACTTCTATACTCCTTGATCTTACTGCTTGCCTGCTTGTTTGCATATTTTTGCCTCTGCTACTAGTTGTACCTGCCCTGAACCCTCCTCATCTCTTAACATATATAGCCACGGAATAGACCTGCATCGCAGGAAACACCTATCATGTGATCACTATCCAGCAAATCCATTGGTGCAAGCTGTATAGACATACAGCAAACATATGTCACATGACCGCTACCTGCTGTTGTGTGACACCACTGCGGACACGGAAAACATAGCTTCTACTGTTGTTGCATGTTTGACTGTGTTTACATAGCTGTTTGCCTGGCAACATGATGAAATCTGTTACAGTATAATATACTGATGCTCAGAGGAGAGAGTTACACAGTCCAAATATCACTGCAACTACAAAACACACAAAGTTTTCTCCATCTTTACTGGACATTTCCTGGTAACAGATTTTAACAATGTCCACTTACGTCCTTACCATCTGGCACAGATCCCAGAACTCCAACAATAACTGACTAACTCCCAGGCTTGTACATTTCTATTGAAGTGCGCTTCGGCATGATTGTCTCCAAACTACTTGCAAGATGGAACCATTAGCACTTTCATGCACTGATGATCCCATCTGTACTGTTTCTTCGGCTTTTCTGATGAAATCGCCGATTCTTTCAAAAAGTCCTTTGTTCATCTGAAATTGAGGATTGAAATTCCCAAGTCAGCTTCTGTGACTCCTGCTCCTTCCAGGGTGGACCTTTGTTCTATGATAAAGTTACTGATCTTCCCCATCCTAATAAATTCTTGGTGGGTAACGCACATTCTCTCTCCAGTGGTCTCAAATGTTCAGGGAGATCCCAAACTGGATTGGCGCCGGGATGAATGGTATATGCAAGATCGTGACGGGTTCTTTCAGAGCATGTGAGTGGCGCGGGTTAAGACTTGTAGCTTATATGAGAGATATCATTTACTGGTCCAAAATCTCCTTGAAGATCGGGCCAGATCAGAAAGCCTATTTTGTATTCCATGCTAGCATAATATTTTACATTCCCTAGAGGTCTCAACTACTCTTCAAGGGATGCTGGTATTGGATAATTGTTGCTCCTTAAATAGTCCAAGAACCTATTTTCTTCATAGGTGTTAGGTCTTCATGGTTTCTAATGGCTAGCAATCTAGCATATAAGTGCATTGTTGCATACCATACCAACATACTCTTGGACACAAACTTCACAAAGTTCCTATCAGCTGAAGCATTAAGTCGTATTCTCTTTCAGCTATTGCAACAAAACCTTCTGTTGATATGGCAAACTCGTTTCTTGCAAAGTAGGATGATAATCCGTTGAACCCATCGTCATGAAAGTCCTGCCACATTGGATCTTTCCTTAAAGCCGACTCCGTTGTGGATAAGGCCAATGCTGTAATACTGCAAACATTGCTATTTATTGCTGGCATTTGTTGATGTTATTGACTGGTTCTATTGTAAATAATAGATTAATTTTGGATTTAGTTTCCATGGATGTGACATAAGCATTAAGTCATATTCTTTTTCCGCTATTGCAACAACACCTTCCGTTGATACGGCAAACTCGTTTCTTGCAAAGTAGGGTGATAATCCGTTGAACCCATCGTCATGAAAGTCCTGCCACATTGGATCATTCCTTAAAGCTGACTCTGTTGTGGATAACGCTTTTGGCTTCAAGTCAATTGTTGGATCTACAATGGGCTTAGGAGAAACTGTAGGTGGGTTCTCATCCACCTTTTGTGGTCTCTGTGCTGATTTGTCCAGCCCTCTGGATTGGTTACAGTCCCTGCTTTTGCCTCTCCACTTTGGCTGCCCTCTAAAATGCTGCAGTCTCCTACCACCTCCACCTGCAGTGTCAGACGTCAAGTAATCATAAAATCTACTTCTTGCCATCTTCTCTCACAAGCGCTGCTCACACCAACCTCCTGGTCTTCTCTTCACGCACTGACTGTCAACTGGATTAAGCCTTCACTTCATCCCACTTATAAGTACTTGGCACAGACCACAGTAGTAAATGCAGTTTCCCATAGTTCCTCTATTGTTTTGTGTTGATTCCATTATATTACACATTACAGATACATCAAATATGTGTGCACAACAGAAGTAACCATGGCATGACACTTTAAAAATTAACTTAAATATTTTATAAGCCTTTTACGTTACTCATAAGATGCAGAATACAACAGTGTAACAACTGAGCTGCCGCTTCCATCTACCATCTTTTATGCCTGATGATGGCCAGTTAGGCCGAAAGATGTAGTGCTAAAAAATATCAAGAAGAGACAAAGAGCCTTCAAAGTGTGAATTTTAATATATGGATGAAGTTACACAGGATCTTGGAGTGAGAGTGCTAAAATTGGAATACACAGTGTAACAGGTTGCTGCAATACAGTATTATTCAATTACCATATTGTTTCACTTAATTTATACCTTACATAATTTACAAACCTGGTGCGTAAGGCTGACAACCTTACCGCCATCTATGAACCAATTATCTAGAAAATGGTGGATCCTCGATGTCTTTCAACCCTATGGTCCTCCATGGCCTGTTACAGGGATACCTTCCTTACTTACTTATAATTTACAAACAACGCTACTTTATCAGAAGGAATTGACTAGCATATTTTTACCTCCAGCTTTTAGCCACTACTTCTTTATTAACCATTTGCATGGCATGTGCCAACCAGATCGGTTTGGCATGCTGGGATGAGAACTGCCACAGGCAAAAAGATCAGTTCGATGTTAATCGCATAGTAGAGCAGTTCTTTCAATAATGGTATCATGTGTTATATAATATGTTTTGAGGAAAGAAACAGGCTTTCACACTGTGTACATCTGTGCTCAATCAGAAGTAATCTAAATAAGTACTGCGGGTTTTTGTATGCAGCAGCATTTGCCATTAAGCAGCCAGAAGTTTCTAGTAGGTAGTTTTATAGTGGAACTTGGCAGTTAGGGGTGTTAAATAGATTATAATTATAAGCATGGCCCGAATTTTGATGACATGTCATCTTTTTTTTCCTTGTGTCCTATGCGATGCTCTTAAATATATAAATCTCGGATATGAGCTGTTGGTTACAGAAATGTAAATTTTATTGGTAAATTTTTATCAATTTTTGGCAAATTTTTGAACTTTTAAGGGTATTTCTTGTCATTTTTGGCCATTTTAGGGAATTTTTCTTCATATGTTTTCTGAAATGTGAATAATATGGAAGCGAACTGTTCTTTCTTTTTCTCCTTTAGGTAATTGTTCTGGATTTTTTTGGTCATTTAGAGGTCATTTTTTAAATATTTTCAGGTCCTCAAAATACGGGCCCTGCATATTACATTTTTGGGTCATATTTTAGGTCATTTTTCTGGATTTTTTCGGTTATTTTAGAGGTCATTTTTTAAATATTTTCAGGTCATCAAAATCCGGGCCCTGATTATACGTAATTAAGCAAGTATTTTGTTGACTCAGTGTACTACCAGCCAGCAGACCCCCTTCTGGCTACCATGTATATATTTTCAGTTCGAACAAACTTGTTGAAGGCTTCTGAAAGTAATACACACTAACACTTGCACTTGTCAGCTCACAAAATGGGGGTATGAGAACTCACCATTGTTGAGCAGATAGCTGATATATGCAGTTTGGACAAAAGGGGAAAAGAGAGGGTAAGAGGCAGTGAGTGTGGAACTTAAACTCAGTGATGTGCATATGTTTTTGCTGCTGGTGTTTGCGTTGATGTTACCAGTATAAGGTGCTATCACATTCATTACAGCCACAGTAAACAGTGCAATGTCAGTCACCTTTCAGATGTCAGGTTTGTTGGCAGCTTGGTGCTTTGTCTGAAACATTCCTATTCGTATTCGTATTGAGAGTGGGTGGGTTTCCCCATGCACTTAGACCAGTTATTGGTCCATTATGCGTCCCCCTTTTAATTTCTACTGTCGCCATACCCTACTGGTAATGGTGCGTGCCATCAGCCCCCGGTACCTTGATGCTTCCCCCATCCACCAGAGGCATTGGAGACTATTTGGGCAGGAAAGGGCCTGTAATTTAGCTCAGAGGTCTCCTAGAGGCATGAGGTTCTTTTATGTGCTGTAAATCTACGACACGGGACACACAGCTTAAAGTCCCTCCCTGAGGACTTGTTCCCTGAATTTTTCCGCCTTTAAAAATTCCACAACTTCCACCAGGTTTGAACCTGCGTACCTTGAGTCATGAGGTGGGAATGTTACCCCTAGACTATGGAGGTCACTTTGTCTTAAACATACAAAATGAAATATATTTGTAGATGAATACATTCAACTGTTCTCTTATTACTACTAACAAATCACTGAGAACTGAAGCTGCAAGTTGGAGTATACAGCATGTCCATAAATTCATACCCACAAACTGTGCCATGAAATTCCTTGATCATTATGGCAAGATGTCCCTTGATAAAATTTCAACTAACATAATTTTCACAGAAAATATACGAGTATTAAAGCTGAATGCAGTATGGCAGCATGATATGGGGAACATTAATTACATTTCCTGTGAAAATAATCTCCTGATATAAATTTTTTCAAGGGGAATTTTTGTGTTGGAATTGTATGCTGAAGCCCCTAGATGCAAATTTTCATACCATGTTGCTACATCACATTTTCCACAAAAAATGGTGCCAAGGTTGACATTTTATCCAGGTACATTTTCATCTCACTGTTCATCAAGTCCACATGTGTGAATTTCGTACCTTCTTTATTTATGTCAAATTTTTATATAAGCATGAAGCCATTATTTTCCTTCATCTGCCACAAGATTTTTATGCATATCTGTAGTCCTCCAATAATTATATAAGATGCTGCCATGCAATGCTTGTAATATGCCATTATCCATGTGTTCCACCCTCCCATATTCAATCTGTACCTCTTACTATTGCTGTCTGTGCTATTCCTAGTTTTATGGATCCTGCTAGCCAAACTAGGCGTGTATTGACTTATGAGCTGTAACAGTGTAGTTTTGTAGGTAGATACTAGTGTTTGAGGAAACTTGTGCATCCGTCCATATTCAGGGTAGAAAAGTCTTTGCTCCTGAAGATGGAGGTATCTCATCCCTCAAAAACATTGGTACCTATGTACCAGACTAAATGGTGTCACACCACAGAAGATTTATTAACTACCATGAGTCACAGTCTTAGGAGTTGCTTTTACCTGCTACTGTTGGACAGTATCAGCATTATTTATATTTCATTATTTTGCTTCTCCACGTTCATATTTTCTGACTGGCTGGTCCCTACTCAGTAAATGCAGTCAGCACTTCCTGAGAAATTGAAAGCAGACAGAGGATGGAGAGCTAACATAAAAACAATCTGCTACTGTCAGTAGGACTCCTTATGTTGAGTGTCTTATTGTATTCAGTACAGTGTAGGAGCCTGTATCATTTTTATTATCTTAAGTCAGCATTAATAGGAAGCATTTGAAAATGTCAGACATGAGGAAATAAAACAGTTACACATAGCCAGTTTCTAAATGGTAGTTATAAATTATTAAAAAAAAGTGGAAGTTGTGCTTTTCTCACCATTTTGCAGCCTTAATTTTCCTAACCCTATTTTAACTCGTAAGATTATACTCTGAAGACTATTTACATGTTGCATGCACCACAACTTTCAGACTTTTTTTGGGTGGGCGGCTAAAGGTGTATGTAAATTTTGTGAAAAAATATTGTACTTTTTTTTTATTGCTAGTGGGGTGGGACTAAGTCCCTTGTACTGCGGCCACTTCTGGCCTATTGTACCAGCCCCTTATGATAGGTGAGGGTGATTGTGGAGCAATTGGTGGAATGAAGATTGGCAGGGGAAATCGAAGTACTCGTAGAAAACCTGTCCCAGCACCACTTTGTCCACCACAAAATCCCACTTGACCAGACCCGGGATCGAACCCGGGCCGCCGCGGTGGGAAGCCAGCGACTAACCGCTTGAGCTGTGGCGCAACCAATTATTGTACATGGTTTCTCCTTGAAATTTTTGAGTGCAGTAATGAAAGGAGGACAGATGATGCACTTTGAAAGAGTCTGAAGAAAGACAGACCAGTTTTTTGAGTGAAATCAGAACATTTCATGAATCATCTCATAAACTTGTATGTGAATTCAATTATGTTTAATTATAACTCTGTAATATAACCAATGCGTAGATATGTACATTATGTCCCATTCATGCCTTGAATGCACAGTAGTCCTATATTTATTTGAACTTCCGTATGACGCCTATGCACTTGAATCTCGTATGACACAAATGTTCTGGTGTCTATCTGCATTTGCAGAAGAAAGAAAACATTTGCTGCCATAAAGGTTTCCATTCCTGATTGATTGGGTCTGAATAGTTCTTTTGATGATGCAAATTTACATCTTTGTGTGTGTATGTGTGTGTGCATTTGGTGTACCTAGGTTAGAATGAAAACTTTACAACAGAAAAATCCTTCCTTACTAATAAGAAAAGTTTTAGCAATATGTCTTAATTCATGTACAGGGTATTATGGCCTAGATAAAATAGGTAACCAATTATATTTTTGTAAATTGCAGTTACATTTTTTGCTACTGTGAATATAGCCTCTTTCTAATTGAAATATGAATGAGAAGAAGAGGGAGAAGAGCTATTCAGTTTTACCATGTGTAATTTAGTTCCATACTGTTTTTATAATGATTACAGTTGGTATTTAGATTGTAACAGTTGACTCACAGATACACAGGAGTCAATGTTGCCTTAACCATGACTGCTGCATACATTGATACAAAGGCTGTGTTCCTTTAATTACATTTTCATATATTATGAACGTGCCAAATATAATAGAAAGTAATTAAGTTATATATTAGTTCTTATGAGAATTCAGAATGAAAGTAGTATAAATTTGGAAAGAAAGAAAGTCATTTAGCATTGTGTTCTTGTTCTACCACATGCAGGAGCTGTGAATAATTTCAGGGTTCAATTGTCATGGGGTTATATATCAATATTGTAAGTAATATGTACATTAAACTCTATTTAATATTGAGTACATAAAGTAGTCAAAATTAATATTTTGTTATGTATGAATTATGTATTGTAAATGCTGTTCAAATATAGTGAAACATATGGAAACTCTTGTATCTTAATCCCATCTCATTTGATGCTACATAACCTTTGCAGTTGAAGCCATGTCAGTAAATGACTTAAGAGTATGTTGTTCAAGAACCTCAGTATATTTTTCTTTTCATATGAATAAAAGTTCTTGACCCTATTAAATATATATTTAAAATAATGCAAGAAAAATACATTTTGAAACAAATAAGAGTAAATATGGCTTTCCAGCCATTCCTGTGTTGAATGATAGGATGTATAGTGAATGTGAATGGATGTGGAAAAGAATGGCTGTGGTCTAATTTGAAGTACTATCCTGGCAACTTCCTTAAAGGACAGAAAAATCATGGAAAAGCAGGTCTCCAGCCCAAGCTCTAAACTTTGGGTCTTCCAAATATAAAACTGGGTGACACCACTGCAAAACTGTTTTGTAATACCTTCATCATCTCAGTACTGTAAGAAATCTAATGCTATTTAAATTTTCCTCATGGATTAGAACAAAACAAAGGAAAAGAATAGATGGTGCAGATATCAAGTTATTTAACTCTTAAATGGTATATTACTAGCAGGTAACATATATGTAGTATTCTGAACGCTGGGATTGGTATCTGAAGAAGGCTTGGAATGTTGTTTCCCATGGACTAGCAGTTGTGGGAAAGTGGATTCTGTTCTTGAGCTAATATTGGTTAGAGTGCATAATGCACAGACAGTCTCAGATGTTGTGAATGTCTTGTACAAAAATTAGCACAAATTCACATAGTATTAGTTATATTTCATAGATGACACTTTGAGCAAAACATAACATTATTTATGGTTCATAGATGGCAGACAAAACTGGAGTCTTGATACGGATGAGTGATTTCTTTTTCCCTTATTACCTTATATAATTATGAACTTAAGAAAATGGCTGTCTTGACAGAAAAGAAGTTGTTATATACTGTTGCATTCCTGGTAAGTATGAACAATTATTTTGGTCCAGCAGTCTTCTGACTAAAGAATTTTTATATGTGAAGCAGCAGAAGCAAATATTATAAGCTTACACTAAATAAAAATATTGTCACACAATCAGAACATGGAACATGGAGTGCCACTTGCACTGTGAGGACCTATTCCATTCATCTCAATAAGAAAGGTCACAATATGAAAGTTAGTTTGTATTTGTGTCTCCTTTCTTTCCCACTCTGTGAATTACATGCTAGATATCTGTTACATTAAACACTTTCCTGATGGAGGTTAGAAGTAAATACTAAGTGTCATGAATCACAAAGAGTAATATGTTAACAAATTATCAGTAACTTTGTTCTTTTTGAATATTCTGTTGAACTTATTTGTACTTCTGATTTAATTGATGTAAGTAGTTGTGAGCAACAACAACAGAATTCTTTCAATGCATTTTTTGTGATTTTGCATATGTCAGTGGCATTGATGTTAGTTTATTGGAGTTCTGGTGTAATGTTACAAATCTCTGTACATTATGTAGTCAAAAATATTTTCATTTATACTTCATTCAGTATTTCTTGTGCAGAAAAAGTGTTTCAAATATAAGTGTAGATCTTAATAAGGTGTGTATTTAATATACAAATTTTTTACCTAATGAGCCATTTTTCAGAAGATTGTTGAAAGTTTTATTTGCCCTTTATGTATACTAGGTGTTATACCAGTGCATACACCATTGAAATTTGTCATACAACTTACAGTGTTAATTTCTAATAAGAAATGTTATCAAAATTGTCTCAGAAATTTCAGGTATGATTCATGCCAATAGACATGGCTTCTCCATAATACATTCATTTTATTCACTTCATGCAAAGTACACAACAATCATTTCAGTTAAATATGAACTTGGTAGTGAAAGAGAAACATCTTGGCATTTGAACTGTGGCCACCTAAAGATGGTCTATGGGATTAAATCATGTCATGGTACAATGACAATAAATAACTGTTAGTATAATGTTATATATTATCATATGTAGGAGGGTATGTGTGATGAAATTAACAAGTTGTAGTTCAGATGATTGAATTTATTAGCAGTTTAGTTACAAGTTCTCTTAATTACAATCAATACAGCACTGTCACTGATTTACACACTTTACAGTTCACTGTTGCACACGCACTAGGATTCTCAGTTTTCACTAGTTGTCTCCTAGCAACGGATCTTAACACAGAAACTAGCATGTCAAATCACTATGAAGTCTTCTTGCCATTTCTTGTTCAGTCACCATGGAACCTTGGAACTCACTAGGAACTCTTCTGGACTCATAACTACACTGTACTGCTCTGCACTAATCTAAGCTACAACAGTTCTTCGTTATATAGGCTCTGCATGGACAACACAGAAAAGACAAGTCACGTGATTCATAGCCAGCAAGTTCATTGACGTGCTGACTGTTGTCTAGCAATGAGCTAAAAGATTTGTCCACTGAGACACATCTTCCATTGTTGTACACTGGAACTTGTTTACTGAGCCTTTGCCTAGAAACGCTTTGAGAAAATCCGTTACAGTACGATACAAGAGATTTGTTGTGTTGATGGATATAAAGACAATAATAATCATTTGAAACTGTGCTTTCAGGATTTATTTGCATGCAGTCTGATTGTGCCTGTTTTGGCTCCATATCTGAGATCTCTAGGAGCCTCCCACTTCACCATTGGAAGTTTGATGTCTCTGTATTTTGGACTGCAGCTGATTTCCAGTCCAGTTATAGTATGTGTATTTATGTGATAAAGTTGAAAACTCTTTTGTGAAAACTGTGGACTCACGGGAAGAATCAGTGAGGCTGCACAGATGATGATGAAATTTGTAAAATTATCAATCAATTTATCTTACCCTTTTCATTCATTAGCTGTATTTCACATCTCTGTAAGCAGTAGACATTTTATTTAAGAAGTTCTTTGCAGAACTAATGATTTTTCTCTTTTAAATGATTAGATACATATAGAGAGGCTAGAAGGAATTGAAAAATAACAATTCTACAGCTTACAATACTAGGTTTCCAAGCACTAGACATTACCCCGTAAGTTTGAACTCTCTTCATATCTGTTATTTTTAAAGTGCAGAAAAACTGCATAGTAAAATTTGTTGATGTATGTGTAATCTATCTTGATACTAAATATCACATGCAACCTTCAGTAATTCATTAGGCATCACTGCAATGGTAAGCAAATGTATGTTTTGTATGGCTGTCATGTTCTTATTTTATATTTTACAAAGAAGTAACCCAAAATAGAAGTTGTATATTCTGTGGATATCTGTCATCATGCACAGTATTGAGTGGTATTTGTGTTGTGCAGACTTCAGAAGTTAGTGTGACCTCCTTGTTGGTATTGTGACATGTATTAGTGACTTGTAGATGGGGTTTGGATTGATGAATCAATTTATTGGACACTCACATTTAATAACTACAGTTAATTACACTATTGCTGATTTACACACTCCAGATCACTCCACACTAATCCCCTCAGTCTATTTCCACTGGTCTTCACTATCCTTTTCCTGGCAACAGATTTATAACACGGGAACTATAAAAGTCTCACTAAATTACACACTCCAAATATCACTGTTCTACAGCACATGTAAAGTCACACACTAAGTCTTCTCAGGCTGACTTATAACTCTTCAACTATTAACTTCCCATGGCTATATCATACCTACAACTCCTGAACTCATCTATGCTGAATCTTGTATCCTCTCGGCATGGACAATGCACAGAAAACAGCCTCTGTATTGTTGTGTGATGTCGCAGCCTATATAGAAATGTGTTTACCGAGCTGTTGCATAGAAATTTGTTGCATAACCCCGTTGTTCTATTGTTTTGTGTGTGTGTTACTTAACAATGGCTGTTTCTGTAGCTCACCTGTTCTTGCATGGAGCAAATATGCCACATTATTATCAACGGCGCGGAATTACCAGAGAATTGAGAGCAAAATGCTTAAAGCCTATAATGTTGTATTTTAGCATCCTGCTGCACTGATTCGTATCCATAATGTGTATATATTAACCGTCTTTTAGTGCATACAATTTCACTTGTCACTTCACATTACATGTTTCGGCATCATTCCGCCATCCTCAGGTGTATTAATCACGTTAAACCATTGCATTGCCTGCCATCATGTGTCCATTTATAAAATTATATAAAATGTGTGTTCATCGTTGTTCAATAACACGTTTATATATTAAAACTTGTTAAGATCTCTCATCTTACATGTCGTATATCAAACTCGTGTGTAATGTCATTCATCTGCTATGGGAGTTGTTCTTATGTTTTAATTGTGTGTATACTGTGTCTTATGATGTGTCTTTCTTATGTGGCTGCATGTGTTGTATTGCTTTACATATGTGTGTGTGTTTAAAGCCTATTTTCGTAATGTATAGCTCCAGTTATGCTGAGCTATTATGACTAGTATGGTTTTTATTTTATGTTTGTGAAGAACTTTGTTTTTGAATACAAATTATATGTTAGATTTATAGTATACAACCTCAAATGTTTTACTGTCACTCTGTATCTAGTTAGTTAGTTATTTGGAGAGGGTGGGTTTCCCCATGCACTTAGACCTGTATTGGTCCATTGTGCTTCCCCCTATGATTTCTACCAGTCTCTATATCCTACCGGTATTGGTACTTACCATCAGTCCTGCCCAGCCAGCGAGACCGGCTCTACTGGCTGAGAAGTATCTATAGTGCTTCCCCCGTCTACCAGAGGTATTAGAGACTGCTGCTGGGCGGGAAACGTCCGCAATTTTGGCTCAGTGACCTCCTTAGGAGATATGAGGTCCTTTTACGTGCCGTAAAGCTATGACACGGGACCCACGGCTTAAAGTCCCTCCCGGAGGACTTGTTCCCTGAATTTTTCTGCCCTTAAAAATTCGACGACCTCTGCCGGGTATTTGAACCCGCGCACTATGAGTCATGAGGTGGGAACGTTACCTCTAGACTACGGAGCACTCTGTATCTAACTCTTGATGTTCAAATAATATTTTCTATAAAATATGTAGGTATGCTCATAATCTGTCTCTGTACCAAGTTTTACATGTTAGTTTCAGTGGGTCATTAGTCGTCCCCAATAAATTGAAAGCTAAGGGAAATCTCCCCCAGCTACCATGCTGTTATTTTACATTCTAAAAAAAGTTATCTTCACACAAAATATACATATTTCAAATACCTGTGATGTTTAATATCAGGACCTAATCTGTATTAAGTGACATTAATGTCAGTCCCACCTCTCATTTTTTTTGTTCATCATGTTTGTTTTACTGATGGTAGGAAACTGAAAATCAAGGCAATGGATGGCAAAATATCTGTACAAAGTTTTGTGAAAATTAGTCCAGTTGAAAGGAAAAATACATTAACACATGCAAAAAGCATGGTAATGACCATGCAGGCAAAAAATATATATGTACTTATGAGAAGTTGAACTGAACATGATAATATGATAGTTAGCTTTCCTCCTACTATTTCTGGTTTAAATCACAGTTTGATGATCAGCAAGCCTGGCTGAGGTTTTCCTAAGCCTGAAGAAATGCTTTGATAGGCAATGATTAAGTTTTTCACATCATTTCTGTTTTATAACTCACAATTAACATGCAATTTTTTAGTGCATAATTTAAGCAGCTGATAAAGCATCATTAAATATACAAATAATAAATTACAAGACGTTACCTGGCAAACTAATTTGGGTTACTGTGTTACAGAAGAATTGCAGTGGTGCTAAGAGTCGGCTCTTCATATTGCAGACTACACTCCTTGCCTGCTCTGTCTTTTATTTTATTTTGGGCACAACAAGTGTTCTTCCAGTTGTTTTCCTCTGCAGGGCTCTATTAGGTAAAGACAGAGGGTACAATGAGTTTGGAGATTCTGTTTTAAATTTTTGTAATTAAGAGGCTAATTATATAAGATATACATTTTTGAATAAAAATATTTAGTCCAAGAAGTTTCTAGCTCCAAAATATGTGAGAATGATTTTATGTTAAAATTTGATTTAGAGAAATACACCTGATGTCTTGGCGAAAAAGTAATATAGATCCAGTCACAGCATGTATGAATTGGGCTTCAGTATATAACCACTTTGAATTCTATGTAAAAGTAGGTGTGAAGTTCATAGAAGTGGATTTACATATGTTTTACACTAACAGTTTGATTTGTATTTACTTTATGTTTCCTCAGAGTTTAGATTAAACATCACATTTTTCCTGATCAAGGATAGCTACAGACTGGATGGCCAGGAATTTTTCTCTTTTCTCTCATGCCTAAACAAGTTCCGAGACCACTCATCCTCCTTTCCAGTGGGTAATGGGACCTTGTCTTGGGAATCAAGTGGCCAGAGCATGGAAACAACCACTCACCTCTGTCTCATGCTGAAGTCATAAGTGCTTGGAACTACAGCCGCCAGGTCCCCATAAACATGCCTAGTAGGTGGTGGTATTAATGATGGTGGCGGTGATGGTGGCGGAAGCTTCATGCTTTGGACTGTCCACGTAATATTTTAGGGTGATTAATGTAAGCACCATGAGCTCAATCAAACATAATATGTATCACCTGAAAGTAGAAATCTGTACAGAATTTTAGATGGTGACAATGAAAGGAGTTCACTTTTTAGGTGTAGACCTAGATTGGATATCCCAGATGATCCATGATCTCTGTGACACACTCTGAGGAATGATAAATCTCCCAGGGAGGTTCATTTTTTTGTCAAGCAACCTGTATCTTCTGATGCTTTGTTTAGGAGTTAGGCACACCTGTTTACAGCATATCATGCAGTTACATGTAGACAGTCAGTACACTTCAAATCTGTTTATGTTTACAATGTTGAACCAAGTGATGATACCTTTTGCTCACCCCTACCTTTTGTCTCTGTAGGTAGTCGATTACCTCAACCATTGCCTGCAATGATCCACCTAGAATGGACCCCTTTGATTTGTGTGGCCAGCACGATCACCAGACTTAACGCCCCTAGATTTTTTCTTGGGGGAAATGTGAAGAGTGTCACGTGTATGCCACCCCAGTTCACACTGGGAGGCACTGATTTTGCGAATACATGCTGCTTTTGAACACATTCAACGCTGATCTCAAATGTTCAACAGAGTCTGACAACCACTGCTCTGACGGTTCCATGAATGTCATCATGTTCAGGGTAGATGCATTGCCCACCTTCTGCACACTGTCCACAAAGATACTTGAAGAAATAAATGAATAATTCATTTCATAATTGTACATATCACCTAAGACCTGTTTTCTCTTCGATATTGCATAGCTCATAAATGTTGCATCAGAGAACGTGGGTTGCTAAGAAAACTATCCTCTCTGCAAGCCCTCTTGCTCCTCAGAATTTGTCGCAGAGGTCCTGGTTCACCTTATAGTATTAGAAGGGATAATAGAGTAATGGTTTATGAAGATGCAGCTGGCTCAGGCAGGATCCAGTTAAGGGGTTTTGTGAACACGGTGAAGAATGGTCAGGTTCCATAACAACAGGAGATTTCTTGGTCAGGCGAATAATGACTTAACTGCAAAAGGAAGAAACTGCTCTGTGGATTTTAACCCTTTGCATGCCAAGAGTGTATTCAACTGGCTTGTTGTACTTGTGTTCAAATGCCACAGCCAAAGAAATTAGCTTGTTAATCAATTCGTACATTACTGCTTTCAATAGCTGGCCCAAGTGTGATATACCAATATTTAAGGACAGAACTGGCTTTTGATTGATTTATACCTGTGGTCATTTGAAGGTCATATGAGGAAGTGTTGTGGGTTTTGGGGTGCAATTTCTAGCAGTTAGGTCCATGGTGGGGACTTAGCAGTCAAAGAGTCAGTTTTGCCTCATATTACAAAAGTAATTCCATTGAAACCAAGAGTTTTAAATCATTTTTATTTGTGCAGCACATAAGATAATTCTTTTGTACTGTACATTGCCATTTAATAATGTTGGGTGAAATGTATATCAATAATTTTTCCATGCTTATGAATCCCTTCTTCCAGTACTATATAGTCTTGATACTGACATTGTTGTTAAATAACCAACTAAGCAACCAAGGCTTCTTCTTGTTGTTAAGTTACTAGCCCCTTATTTCTAGAATGAAAGTTGCTGCACCTTGTATGCCTTCTCCCATGACTTCTCCCTTTGAGAAAAGTGTTTCTCCATATTCTGTTTTGTGTGATGATGTTCATGGTGTCAGGTATTTCTGTTAATTGAATTGAATTGAATTGAATTTATTTACATTCCGTAAATCCAGTACAGGTGAGACACCATAGGATATGGAACAAGTCATTCTGGAGGAGTTGCCAATTCTGCAGCTACTCAAGAATTTCCCAGCATTTTATTCAACCCTAAGGTTTATTACTGTTTTCACAAGAGCCCTCCAGTGGTCTGTATCCTCAGACAGATGAATCCAATCAATACCATCCCATCCTATCTCTCTAAGATCCATTTTAATATTGTCCACCCACCTACGCATTGGTCTTCCTAGTGGTCTCCATCTTTCTGGCTTTCCCACCAATATCCTATACACATTGCTCATCTCCCCCATTCGTGCTACATGCCCTGCCCACCTCATCCTCCTTTACTTGATCATTCTAATTATACTTGGAGAAGAGTACAAACTATGAAGCTCCTCATTATGCAGTTTTCTCCAACCTCCTGTCACTTCATCTTTCTTTGGTCCAAATATTGGTCTTCCCAGTGGTCTCCATCTTTCTGGCTTTCCCACCAATATCCTATACACATTGCTCATCTCCCCCATTCGTGCTACATGCCCTGCCCACCTCATCCTCCTTTACTTGATCATTCTAATTATACTTGGAGAAGAGTACAAACTATGAAGCTCCTCATTATGCAGTTTTCTCCAACCTCCTGTCACTTCATCTTTCTTTGGTCCAAATATTCTCCTCAACACCCTGTTCTCAAACACCCTCAGTATATATCTTCATTTATTCATCCATTCTGCTACTTGTTGATATAATATTGTTGCTGATGTTTTGGCTTCTCATGTTGTTAATCCTCGCTTTCCCTGCAAAATAAGTCATTAACTCCATGGTGCTGGATGTTGAAATAATGTTCATCAGTTAACAGATTCATGCTCATATGGAACTTCAAGACTCATCTCATCACTGTGTTCTCCAAAGCATATGACTCTCTTTTGAGCCAGTTGAGAATTGTTCCATGCCTTGACACCCAGTTTCTTTAAGATCAATTTTAATACATGTAATTCTTTATCTGTGCCTAAGTCTTCCATTCCCTGACATTGTTTAAAAAAAATATTGTGTACATTGCTTATTTATTCACATGTGCTATGTCACACCCTTTTTATTCTACTTGATTTGGTTGCATAACAATATTAGGTGAATAGTATACATTATGAAGTTTCTCTTATGTAATTTTCTCTGTACTCCTGTACCTTCCTCTTTTATATGTTCACATATTTTCCATAACAGTTTGTCCTCCAGCACTACTGGAACGAATGACATGTTGTTAATTTGAAATAGCTCCCAGAAACAGATATTGAATCTGTCCTTTTATTGATAGGAATGTTTAAACATACTCAGACCTTATGTGGAAGCATGCTTGCTGAAGTTTTGCCTCCTGCAGAACAGTTGGAAATGCAGAAGACGTTGACCTCCTTTGGAACCTTTGGCTTTGTAGCAGGACCAGCCATTGCTGGTAACATGCTGGAACTTCATCGTGGATATCAACGTGTGTGTTACATTATCACCGTCATCTTCTTAATCAATTTTGGTTTGTACAACGATAAATAATATTTATATATAACTAAAACATCTTAAAAGAATTCAAAGTTATCACAGGAAACTCCAGAAATGTTTGGTCAAGTATCTGAAATTACTTTTAATATTTTTCTCCCATTCATGTTCTCTTTTTCAGCAATTGTGTATATTTTCCTTCAAAATTCCGCACATGAACGTAGAAATGAAGAAGGTGACAATGCTATGAAGTTAAAGACATCAAGTCCAAATGTGAAAAGTAAGAAGAACATGGAGTCCATGTCATCTATAAGGAAGGCTAAAGAACATGACATTAGAAGAAAGAGAGTGTCAGAAGAGATTTTGCAGTCGGTGACAGATCTGTTATGTATCAATTGGACGTTTTACTGGGATGTATTTGCCCTTAAATTTCTGTTTGACTTCACACAAACTGTACATCTAATGAATTTTGCACCTGTTCTGAGAGATGTGTACAACACTGCTCCGAGATGGATTGGCTACACAGTAGCATTGCAAGGCATGGTTGGAACTATGTCTAGCTTTCTGATTGAATGGATTAGTATATTCTATAAATACGACACAAACTACACTCAGAGGGGATTACATGGTTTTGGCCTTTTTGCACTTTCATTTTTATGCCTTAGTCTTGCTCCCAATTGGACTTACATGTTTATTTTTCTTTTACCTCTAAGCATGTCCATGTCTTTGCTTAAATCAGCAACAGCAGAAATGATGAGGCAGAGGACTGTACTTGACAAGAAAATGCCGATAACAGGATTGGGACAAAGCGTGTTCTCTGCAGCACGTCTGTTTGCCCCAGTTTGTACAGGCCTGATATATGACATGTATGGCTTCCAAGGGACATCAGTACTAAAGATAGTGGCAGCAGGAATAGCAACAGCACTTTCCTATTTCATTTTCCTACGCCAGGTGCAGGATAAGAAGAAAATGTGATGTGTTACATAGTTGACAATGACTACACCTATGAGTAAGGCTACAACGATGATGATAGTGACAACAACAATAATAATAACTTTCTGAAATATTTACTGCTGGAAGCAGTATCAAATTCTGGCTCAGATCAGATTCAGTTCTATGACCACATACACATGGGTCCAGCATGCCCTTATTTTTGGACTATAAACTTATATTTCTTAAGTATAACATTACCAGTGCAGAATTTGTAGTACTGGATGCCTATCCAATAGGGAATTAAGCAGGATGAATTTTATCAGAACTTCATGTTATGCTATTTTAAGCTTACAGTAAATGACTGTCCATCTACTAAGATGGAAATTCATCCACCTTCTGAATTTTATGCATATTTTGTGCACACAGTAGTCAGCATATTCATGTTGTACTACTTGACCTTTTTAGATGATTTTTAACTTCTGCACTGATCAGATGATCAAACAAGAGAGTCTAGTTAACAATGACAAGCATCTGATGTCGTATAACCCAGTAGTAAAGAGACAGACTCCTGGTAGTCGCTATGCAAGGGTAGAATGCTTGGGTTTTGCACTTTACTAATAACATGTTTCATCACCAGTGATGACAAGATCCAAAAAATTATCTTCTTGAAACTGTTCCACAAGGTCCGTACACACAGTGAGATGTTTATCATTTTGTTCCTCCTCCAAGTTTTGCGGCATGAGCTTCAGTGCTAACTTTCTCATGCGAAGATCATGTACTGAAATTTTTCTAACAGTCTCTTCGCTCATATAAAGCTCATCAGCTATCATCCTGCAAGTTAACTGGCAGTCGTATCACACAAGTGCCCTGATTTTTGTGACTTTTTCATCTTCTTATGGGAGTACCTTGTTCACATTTTCTCTGCCTCTTCTGAAATGTTTATGCCATTTAAAAACGTTATTCTCGCTTATAGTAGATTCACAATAAACTATCTTTAACATGGCTAAATTATCACTAGGAAATTTCTGCAGTTTAACACAGAATTTAACTTTCACTCTCTGTTCCATAATACACTGCATTTTCACGTCTGGACAAAGTCTACACACAGTGATCTTATAAGCTACCGTTCAGTGCATACTGAGTTCAGTTTATCCAGATGATCCAAACCTTTTATTTGAACTCTATTTTCTTGGATCACCTAACATTCCAAGTAAGAGTGTTGCCAGATCACCCAATGCAAAATTAAAAATGAGCCTTGAAACTTAATGCCCGACCTTGTATACATATCTAAAATTAAGAAATATTTCAACAAAGTTCCTTCTTACTGCCATACAATACAGCTAACAATGTATAAAAATAAACGAACCCAATAATCATATTCTGTCAATTAACATATCATATATTCAGCTCTCTTTTAAATTGCCCTATTTTTTTCCACTTCCCTAATGTTATTTGATATTTTATTAAAATAAAATAGTTTAAAATATATTAGGTTAAATTTAATTTTGATTTTAAATTAAGTTAAAGAGAATAAAGTAGAATAAAATTGATTAATTATTATTGATATCAATTAAATTTTATCTTGTAGCTTTTAAATACTGTATGGCGAATATGGCCTTCCCTTAAAACTTATAAACATTAACCAATGTAGGGGAATAACAACAGAAAAAGCAGAGTGTTAATGTACAGTGATTTACAATTATAAAAGACAAGTCCGTCCAGTGTGACTATTTCATTTTCTCACTTTATGATTCACTAGCCTTACATGTTTCGATCTATTTGGATCATCTTCAGAGGCACCAAACATTTTTAGAAACCACTATCACAACAGTTGTCATATGAAATACACATGTATTGCCAAGTACACAATGTTCCATCTATCAGTCACAGCAGCCTTTCTGGTTGTAGAAATATTTAAAGTTGTTTTAAAGTTTTAAAAACTTTGTTCAAATTTAAAATTCATAAAACTTACAGTTCATGTCAATGACCCCTGTTGTCTCTCTTCAACGTGGCCGATGTTGTGCCGCCTATGTAACTTGAGTAAGGAGATTCTTAATATAGTCCGTTATGATTTCTTGGCCCGCTGTGCTGTTTATACTGTACTGAAACATGTAAGGCTACTGAATCATAAAGTGAGAAAACTGAAATAGTCACACTGGACGGACTTGTCTTTTATAATTGTAACTGTTAGTGTGATGGACCAAAAATGAAACAAATCAAATACAGTGATTTACTTGATGGCCGAAACATGCCTTAAAGTGAAAACAGTATACATTTGTTCAATCTATACAGGAATTGTGTCGATGGAACATCTAATAAGTAGAACAAACTGTTGATGGTTTATTTCCTTTTTGTGTCATTACATATGATGTGAATTGGTCTTTATGTGTAGTGTCTCCCACAGACTGAAGAATTATATCTTTGATTTTTGCACTTTTTTCACATTGTTTTCCATGTATCAAAAGGATAAATATGTTATTTAGTTATGCTATAATTTCAATACAGCATTACTCATATGAAGAATGTCGTATTGATACTTTCACCTTTTGAATTTGTGTATTGTGAAATGCTTTTTTAAAGAGAATCACGTGAATTAAAGCAAAATTTTGAATGGAAATTGTTTTTTTTTGTCATATCCACCTGATAGGGTTTCGGCAAAAATAATTCTGTATTTCCTGATATTTTTTATTGTAGACAAGCTGGCAGAACTGTATTAAATGAAGAGCAGACTTGATTTAATGAATTATTTACTTATGATATTTTACTCGTTACAGTACTTGCATTATTACTTACTTACTTATGGAGCTGAGCCTTTCTGGAGGAGCCACCAATTCTGCAGCTACTCAAGAATTGCCCAGCATTTTATGGAACCGAAAGGTTCATTACCGTGTTCACAAGAGGCCTCCACTGGTCCCTATCCTGAACCAGATCTATCCAATCCATACCATCCCATCCTATCTCTCTAAGATACTTGCATTATTGCTGTATTAAAAGTTTGCTTTGAAAATAACCGCCATTATCACGTGACAAGTACTTCCAATAGGTGGCAGTTACGTGCTATATTCAGCTTGTTTTAGCTTCCGATGTGGAATAAGGAGTGAATTGTGAAATACTGGGATTTTGATTATTTTGCGTTCTGGTAATTATTTAAAAAATAGGTGTTGGGAGAGAATAATCACTTTATGTGATCTATGGTGATAGTAATTTGTTTATCGTGTTGGAGTTACGTGAAGTGTTCGAAGGCACCGTATTCACCCTGAAGAGATTATTGTAGGGGTTGTGTGCGACGGAGGTTTAAAATATTTATAAAATTTAAGGTAACGTTTTAAATTACTATACTTATGTACACAAAGTATCATATCAATGTTTAGAAACTATGCAGAAGTAGTTCTGAAGTCTTTGGGAAGGTAAAGAATTAGGTTATGCTGTAGGATATTGCTCCTCCGACTGGTGCCAATATTCTCACTAATTTTCGGGGCAAAGCAGAAGTTTGGTGCCGACGTCATGTCAGTACGATCATATCGAGCCCCGATGTAAGCTTATGACGGTATTTTTATTCCTTTGCACATGCATTCAGTTGTTTTATTCGTCAGTGGGCCTTCACTTTGATGAGAGAAGGAGGTTTTGGTCGCGTCGATAGTGAACATATTGTGCCACACGTTAACACAGAAACACTTTCCATTGGACTCTTAGAGTGTCCTAACAGTTATAGTCATTTTTTTTACTATATTTACTTGTGTAATATTTGCTGCGTCCCCCCATGTTGTTTAGAAGGAATATGTAGATCCTTTACTTAATAACGCCCAGCACCCAAACTGTGTTACGCAGATTTTTTCAGTTGTCATCGTCGATGACACTAATTCATTTTAAATCCGCCTCTTCATCTGTAGTACCCACTAATGTCAGCGCTGACATAACTTTTGCATAATCAGTCTGTCACATGATCCACAAGTACTTTTCCAGAATGGGTAGAAGCTGTTTCTTAGGGGGGGGGGGTTAGTAAGACTTTCTTGGTTTTTGTCCAGGGCATGGAAGGGGCAGTCATAAAACACTTGCTGAATATCATTTTCAGTACTTATGTTTGCATGCCCTAGGTGTTTTAGAGTAGGAAAGAGGTGGGTTATCATTATCATTTATTTACATGTCAAAAATCCATTACAAGGTCATAAGACTCGNATAAATTTTGATTCCAAAATACTGTGGACCTTTCTGAAATGCTGTTAGATTTGACAAGGGGAGATGCAAATTTGAACTATTTCTTGTTACAGTTGTATATATATCTGAATTTTCTGCAAATAAATCCATATTATTAACTACAAACATCATCAAAGAATATATATATTGAGAGGGCAGTGGTAATATTTTCAACTGGCTAAAGATTTTTTTACATGAATCTCTGTTTCCAGCTCCCACCATTATTCAAACAGCTCTCTTCTACAATTTAAAAATGCACATACTGAGAGTTCTGTTTCCCCAAAAACTCAAACCGTAAGACATTACTGAGTGGAAAAAGGCGTAATACACCATTTTGAGGGCATCAATATTTAAATACTGTTTGGTTTTCCTAATTATGTAACAGGCTTTATTTAATTTACCTATAATTGAATCTATATGTTGTCATGATAACTAAACAACTGGAGCAATAGCTACAGTAATTCTATAGACGGGGAAGAAGAAAAGCTTATGTGTAATGGAGGAGTGTCCTAGAAGCATGTCAGTTTCTGTCTTTGGCACTGGTAATCTGTTAGAAGAGTGATCTGCGTAATGCCCACCTTAAAATTTGAGCGTTAAAATTAGTGGGAAACAATGAGGTCATTAGGGTAGTAATTACATTATGTACAGATGTGGCAAAGTATTTCAGAGACCATGACAAATACAAACATGGATTGGTCAGCCAGATGAAATATGGGGAAGAGAAGAGTGCCAAGCGACGTTGCATATGAAAAGAAACCAATTTGTCCTTGTATTGCCCCCTTGCCCTTTCTATTGTTTGTTTTTCCTTCCCCTTTTCTTTGAAGTAGCTCAGGCTTGGAGATATTTTGCTTTGAGTGTACACTGTAATGAGTAGGAAGGTTCTTTGTCATTGCAGGGCTCTGCAGCAGTTTATGATTTAATTTGGCCTATTTGGAATGACAGTTTGTTATTGAATATACATATGCTTCACCTCAACTGAGTTGAAATTTTTTATATTTTCTGTGTGTGAACTAACCTTGTCCATTTGGATTCCGATGATTTTGGTTGACTTCTGTGTGTTCACTTCATAATTTAGTTATGTAATCATGAAAGAAATAGGGATTTTGAATGTCAGAGAATAATGGACCATTGTGTGCTTGTCAGAATTAACAATAGCGGGGAGTCTTTCGTTGAGCTGGCACTTCAGTTTCATTATATGAATATTTGCCACAGACTCCTAGACAGGGAAAGCAAAAAATATTGATTTAAATAGTGCCTTGGGAGAGGTGATTTTTATGTTTGGGCTCGTTTGCCCATGTTTGAGTAGGGAATAAATCCTCAGCTACAGTCTATTTGATGTGAATTTAGCATATATGTTTCTATTAAATATTGCATTTATATAATTTACAATATCTGTGAAGAGAATATTTCCAGTCATGTAGTTGAAATTCATCCTTGGGTATGTATCTTCAAGAACAATGGTTCTCAACTGGTTTGCAGCAAGCTTGTGCCAAGTACACTCCGAGGCTCTGAAAAGAAGAATGATTGTATGAAATAAAAAATGCATTTGTATAAACTTTTAAAATTGATATTTATAACAAACATCTTTTCATTTTATGAAAATGTATTTCTATACAATAAATGAAGCAGGAATAGCTCAGTCAGTATAAGAATTGGCTATGGGCTGGATGACCAAGGTTTGGTTCCTGTCAGGGTAAGAGTTTTTTACTTCTCAGTATCCAGACCAGCTCTGGGGTTCATGCAGTCTCCTAGCCAGTGGGTACTAGGAACTCCTTCATGGGGCTGAGGTGGTCAGGCTGTGAAGCTGAACACCCACCTCCATCTAGTGCTGAGGTCAAGAATGGTGAAACTATACTTCCATTGAGATACTGGGTTTTTGGACTTTGTCCATCTTCCAGATTCTAAATAACTAAGAATAACTAGTTATTTAGAATCAGGACGATGGACAAAGTCTGAAAACCCAGTATCTCTGTGTGTTGTACACCATTGTCAGAACCCTATAGTATCTACTTATACTTCTATTCCCCAAATTCATGGCATGATTCTTAATTAATTAAGCACAGGGACATTTGCCATACATATCCTATGTGATTATGAGGCCATAGCTTACCTAAGATTTCATCACCTGGTTCAGTTGTTCATGGATACAAGTGACTTTTATGACACCCCCATAAATAAAGTCCTACATTTCATTTGAAATGTAAGATTAATAAAGGGTTAATCAAAGGGGAAGTACAGTAGATCATTGAAAGTCACAGTGCAATGGCCAAATTTTATACACATACATATGCACACAAGCACAGGGACAACTTTGCCTTTTACCTTTGGTCCCTTGTAGGCCTGTTCTTTTTTTTTGTTGCTGCTGCAATTGGGTTTTGTTTTGTTTTTTTCAAGCGGAACCATGTCTGCAGAACAGCAGCAGTTTTTCCTGAAATGGAACGACTTCCAGTCTAATATGGTTTCATCGTTCAAACATTTACGTGATGAGAAAAGCTTCACGGATGTCACACTGGCATGTGAAGGTCAGACCTGCAAGGCACATAAGATGGTTCTGTCTGCTTGTAGTCCATACTTTAAGTCACTATTAGAGGTATGTTGAAATATTATTAATTTATTGGCCCTCATTTCATATTTTTAGTATTTTAATCATGTTGACAGTCTTATGTGGTTGTCAGATGTGGTCTCTTTGTATTGTTTGAATATAAGGTGGTTTGGAAAATACTGAAACCCAAAAAAGAGTAAAGTAAGTGGGCAATTTCAGATACTATATTATGAAGAACTTTGGGAGTTGTAGAGGTCACCTAGTATTAGAACAGTGAAGTGTGGAATTTTACAATAGGCATGATGTGCAGATAGGAGTGGAACTATAAAAAATACAGTCAGAATTTGATTTGGAGATCTCTTGAAAATGGCCATGTGGAAGATTAAGAATAAGTCATAATTCATATTTTATTTACATCCATAAGCTGTTACACAAGTACAATTGGACACGTCAGTTTAAGCCATCTAAAACACTAAACTCAGCAACTCTTAAAAATGTACAAAATGATACACAAGACTAAGAACAATACAGTCATCTTAGGATCATCGTCCCCCTGCTGAAGCTAGCAACTGAGGATGACATCCCCCAACAGTAAGATTGGAAGAACACATTAAGGTGGATTTTAAGGACAGAACGGGCTTAGGATTGTGTTCAGTGATGGCACTGACATTACTGATGTGAATCTTTGGTTTCTGCCATGAGAGATCTAATTTTGAATAAGTAGTTAGCAAGTTAAATGCAGATTTCTGTGTTTCTGTGTTTTATAATAGCTTGTGAATGGAAGGAGGGTGCTGAGTGTTTGTATGTTGTGTATGATGGAATATCATATGATAAACATAATATGTAGAGGCATATCCATCCTTCCCATGTTTTTCATTTCCCAGGCCACATGATGGATGTGACAAAATTTATTGTGATAGGTCAGAATGAAAAGTTACTTTGTTTATGTAATTTATATTCATACAGGTCCTGTTTCATATGAGCATAATTAATTTTTCCTACATTTTATTAAATATGCAAGAACACAAACCTTATTATCACTTCAGGAGAAAGACTGAACTTCAGAAGCCATAAAACTTATGCAACAGTACTTGGTAGTAATGCTGATAAAGATAAGGCAGTGAAATAAAAAACAAACTCTGTGGCCTGTAGTCCGCAAGTGAACTACACTGACTGAGCGACTGCTGCTTGTTGGCGAAGTTAGTGCCAACTCTAGCAGATAGAGGATGTCGCATGATCAGTGCACAGATCTCCACGGCCGTAACGGAGCCACTATTTCCTTGAAATAGCTCCTCAGTTATCCTCACGAGGCTGAGTGGACCCTGTGCCAGACCCACTACATCTCAGGAAATCTGGTAGCGCCGGGAATCGAACCTGGGGCCTCTGGATCTGTAGCCAGGAGCTCTGACCACTATACCACAGAGATGGTCAAGGCAAGCGAAACACTGAAGGGATTTTACTTTTCTCTGATTGACAGGAAAATCCGTCGAAGCACCCTATCATTATTTTGAAGGATGTCCCGTACAACCACCTGCAGTCAATACTGGAGTTCATGTATGCAGGTGAAGTGAATGTGTCTCAGGAGCAGCTACCAGCATTTCTCAAGACTGCTGACCGCTTGAAAGTGAAGGGTCTGGCTGAGGCTCCACAGTCCATAAAGCGGGAAGGATAGGAAACACTGCCTCTCCTATATTAGGTAGGTGAATTATGTGCACTAATGACGTGAGGCATCATTTGATAGATATGATGGTTCGAATTAAAAGTAAATGTCTTAGGCTGTGTTGTACATATAAGTATTACATCTTGAAGGCATGTACATAGTACCTAGGTAAAGCTAAGTGCATTTTAGATTTGGTGACTAGATGAGATGAGCGGTTAGTTTCACACTCTGGCTGCTTTAGCTCAGTCAAAAAGGAAGTCCATTTACACATTGGTTTGAAGGCCGTGTTGTCCTCAAATATGATTTGAAAACAGAAATGGCCAGAAGGAAAATTCTTGCCTGTGCCGAGAACTAAACCATGTTCATCCAGTCTGTAGTCACTTATTTAATTGACTGGGCTAAATCTTTATAATTATGATATTCACAGCCTGGTGGAAGATGTCCTAATCACCTGTGAAGCTTGACTGAATGTTGAATCATCAGGTGTTGTGATACTTCAGAAGTATTTATGGCCAGTACTTCTAATCCTTTCGATCCTAACATAGTGGAATACAATAAAATTAAAATGGCATTACTACTTGTAGTGTAAAATATAATGAGACCTGATTTGAATTGTAAATGCCCTTAACTGTGCTGCTGGAATTATACATTAGTGTTCTATTTGGAATGGGCAAAGGGTTAAGTGTTTGATAGTGTTGTATTTTAGAATGTGGAATGAAATCACACATTTAGACTTGTTTGAATGTAGGTACTGAATATGTAAAAGAGTTGATATTGCTGCATATATGATTTTGGAATTGTGCTTATAGGTTTAACCGTGGCAATGGCAGCATAGCTACCAGCTGTTTGCGGATGACTGAAAGAGATTTGGAGGTGTGTGCTGTTACTCATATGTGTGAAGATGGTTTACTGTATGAATGGAAGTGCAACAACAAGCAGTTAAAAAGAAAACTGTATTCTGCCTAGAACAGAATGCATTCCATTTTAAAATGTCAAGATGTCCAAATGCAGTTGAAGCGTTTCAGAACAGCAGCAGATACAACAAAACTGTAAAATACTAGACTGATCTTAACCTTTGTACATATTTGTATTAAATCCTGTGAGCAATGTTACCTCATTAAATTATCAGCTTCGCCCAATCATTTGTACAGCCTCTTGCAAACATTGAATCATATTCCAGCAGTGTCATCAGGAGATGATTTGAAGATTATATTTCTTGCCATAGTTATTGCTGTACATTTTTGAATGTCCACCCTCACATTTAATCCTTACCAGTCCAAATTTTTGGATAAGTCTGAGTTAATTTTACAGAAATTCTGATTTGCAGTTATTTTGCCTTATAGAAGTTTATACTGATACAGTGTGAAGATCTGCTTTTGATGAATTTGAGTTGGCCATGAACAAACTCAAGAATATGAAACTCAGGGTTTTCACAGTAGACAGTAGACCATGTCTGCTGTAGCCTTCTGGATATAGCGTCGTGTGAAAATGGTAAAAATTGTTAAAGATGTTACTGCTTCAGAGTCTGAAGAAATTTAGCCCTATAGATGGAGGCATTTGTCTGAAACATGACTTGATTTTACCATTCTGATGTGCCATATCCAAAAGACTGTACAGTGAAAACTCCGGAATATTTGTATGATTGCTTTCAGATGGTAACAGTGTCACATAATAAAAATTGTGGATCAGAATGTCGAGTCCACTTCAACCTTGGACTGGAAGGAGTTAAGTTTAGGGAATATGACTTTAATGTCATCTTTTGACTGCTGCAGGGTACATTGCTGTTCTGTCTTTGATGAAGTTACATGTTGCCAACATACACATTGGCATTGAATTTCTTAATTAGTGAAACTCCTTAATTTTATGATTGGATTAGCTGTAGAGAGGAACTTCTGTGATTGGTAAGTGGTATTGTCAATTCATGTTCCCAAACAGTATCTGGGGTGCTCCCTTGAATTGAGTCAGGGCTTTTATAAAGTTCTTTATGTAGTTATATTTCTGAAGTATCATTTGTGTCATGTTTTATGTAATAAAACCTTGATACTTTGCAGAAGGGGCCCCAAAACTGCGATATCTAGATTACTGATGGTGTCAGTTTACAGTGAAATATATTATTAATGAATGCTAGAGTAATGAAATATTCAGTAAAATTAAATTTTATTTCAGGACCTCACCAATTTACTATATATCTTATGTAAACCTGTTTCATTTCAACGAATATCACTGTAATGGAAACATCAGTTTAATACCATAAAAATCCATCTAGCTGCAAAAAAACCCATATAACAACATTTGCGAAAACAATCATTAAACAATATGATGCATATGTTACAAAATCTGTCATGTGAGAGAGAGTGGGGAGGGTGGGGTGGAGATGGGAGTTGCGGAAAACCATAAGGGTATGCTTATTATGGAGAACTACAAGAATATACAGAATGATCATGGCCAAAGTGTTTCAATGGAGAACCGTTTTGAATAAAATCCAAAGATAAAAAGCTGTTTCCCATCTCAACTGCAGCCAAGAACTCTAGCCAAGCAACACATTCTACTCTCTTACTGTAAAACATTCATCACTTACAGTGTGTTTACATTCGTTGATTGCATGGCTTTAACTGCACAACCAAAACTGAAAAGTGAAGCTGTATTTTGATGTGATCATTCACAGAGAATTTTGATCCAGCTGAAGTAGAAAGACCATTCTTGTTTAATTTAGTCATCACATGACTAAATCTCCTGCATAAACATCTGCATTTTCAGCTGTTTCACATGTGGTGTGGATTATATCCAGTTATGTGTTGCAGTTTCTGCGGAAGTAAGTTGAAAGGACAGTTGGCAGCTTTTGATGTGGCTAATTGTTCAATGGGCATGCAACTCAAATGAATCAGTGTATCTGAGATTTTGTATCTGCTTGTTCAAGAAGGGTGTGTTTACAGTACTGTGGCTGTGTGACATCTGTGGCTGGTAACAAAGTGCGAGGGGTGTGGTGAGGATTTTCGGAGTGTAAAGTCATTGGCATTGTTGCGCTGTGAGCAACACTGGCATCCAGCAGCAAGTTCTTTCAAAGCAGTTTCTATCCATATTGTTCATTCATATACTAGAAGTATTATTTATTATTTCGTTCTTTATTGTTGTTATAATAGTTACAACTTCTTAGTTTTGTTTTTGTGTGCTGGGCATTATGGAGCAGAAAAAAATTATAGAAGTTTTTCATGTACCTAATTATCATTCTGACATTTTTAATGTGTTTTAATTGTAAGGAAATTTTATTATAACAAATACAATTCCATCACTTGCATGAGTTCGTTATACTGACATTTTACTGTTTTGACACGTGAAGGGTGTTTGATTAAACAAATTGCAAATATGTATTCTTAAATATAAATGAAAACTAATGCCTGAATGTATTGTGCATTAAATATATCACAACTGAAAGAAGAATAATTACTTAGTGGTAATTTGCATACAGAGAGGTTCATTCCTTTGTTTGCATTCTTATTGCTGGCTAGTGCATGGCTTCTTTCTGATATGTCTTTTAACGTTCTACCACATGGATATAATTAGAGGTACATGTCTGTTCTCAATGAATATTTTCAATAAAGCCACTTTATGTACCTCATAATAGAGTAGCTGTTGAGCATCCAAGTGCGTTTCACACGGGTGTAAGAAATCTGCAGCACACTGAATATCGCCTTCTGTGAGTTATAGAGTGACATTGTGGAATGTGATCTGTTCCATTTCAAGTTTGCAGATGAAAGTCCAGCGAACATGACAGCCATAGTCAATTGATTACTCTTTCATTGATAACAGGATGTAGAGTAAAGATTGAATATTTTGTGATGCTTGCTGGTCCATGATCCTGCTGAAACTACTCATACCTAATTCTCTTTAATTGTTCTGTAATTTGATAGAGTTAGGCATCACAATTGAAAAACACACTTACAGCTGACTTGTCATGAATGTTTGGACTTTTGAAGAATCTGTCAGTTATATTTGTGATGAGGTTATGCTGTACCCTCTGTTGATGAGGTATGAATATGTACTTATTTTTCTCTATATTTTCTTGTAGACCAGCCTTCTTTTTAGCATATGTTAGAGCTTCTAGTTTTGTTATGGTATTTGTGTTATCTCCAAGTAGATTTACATTTTGCCTCCCCCCCCCCCAAATGGGGTTGGGATAACTCAGTTGTTATAGTAATGAGCTATAGATTCGATGACCGGGATTCAGTTCCCAGAAGGGGAAGAATTTTCTTTTCTCCACAGCTTTCAGACCGGCTCTGGTGCCCACCCAGCCTTTGAATTTGGAATTTAAACATTCAGGAAAATTATTCAAGATTTCCTGTCAACTAGAGCTGCTTGACTGACCCAAATAATTAGGAAGTGATGAAAAGATGTTTACTGGCAGCTCATATTAAAAATTACTCCAGTATTATACCAAAAATATAGACAGCAGTGCCACAGAATTAATCAGAACAGCAGCGCAGGCCAGTGAGATGATAAATCATATGACGTTTGATGTTTCCGTGGCAGTGAAGATTAACATTGGTTTTCTGAGGTATGTGGTAGCGTAGTTGGTTGGGGCACTATGCTACAAGCCAGAAGGTTGTGGGATCGAATCCCGAGGAGGTCATTGGATTTTTTCAGTTTACCTAATCCTTCCAGCTGCACTATGGCCCTCGGGTTGACTCAGCCTCTAACAGGAATGAGTACCAGGAATATTCTCGGAATGTTCTTTGGGGGGGGGAAAGGGAGGCCGGCGCATAAGGCTGACAACCTTACCACCATTTATGAGCTGATTGTCTAGAAAATATGGGAACCCCAACATCTCACAACCCTATGGGCCTCCACGGCCTGGTACGGGGATACCTTTACTTTTTTTTTTTACTTTATGAGACCATGTAACCTGGTTGGTAGGTACCATCGTACTGCTTCCATCATCAACGTACCCTGCAAATGGAGGTAGTGCATTCCTCTGAAACTCTGGTAACCACCTACCTGATTACACAGTGTCATAACGAAGAAAATCACAACAGAACTGACAAACATCTCACTGCTGTTACCGCACTTTATGAACTGTTGTTAAATATGTAGAATGCATTTGAATTCAAAATATGATGAGAACACACCTAGACTCACTTTGTGGTACACCAGTTCAGAAACACAGATTTTGCAAAACAGTTTTTAGCACTGCAGTTGATCATTAGAAGCTTGTTGGTGTACTGAAGTAGTGTCTTATGGTTGTGTATCTAGTACTGAAGTGATTATGAATTATATAGAAGCCACGAGTTTCACAAAAGAAATTCAATGTATAATGTTCTTTGTTCTGTAGGTATTTCAGCATATTTTGCTGAAGTCCTGAATATTCATTGTTGCTACAGTGATGAAACGGATCTTGGTAACATAATTTGTCTCATATGCAGTAAGTAAATATGTAAAATGTTTTGCAGACTTGTGATGCTTACATAATTTTATACTTTCCAGTTGGTGCAATAGTGTTGTACAAGCATTAATTTAAAAAAGAATGTATGTACTTTATGTGTATATTTGTATATATACAGAATGTTTTAGCAGATATGCTGATAACTTGTAGACCTATAGGGGAGGTAATTTGTAGTATAAAATGTACATAAATATTTTTCTGATCTATAATGCTGTTGAGTTCTGTCTTCTAGGATATAACACTGTATACTATTGAAAGTCACCCTTTACCACTGGCTGTCACACACAACCAAGTGAACCAATAAGAGACAAGACCAGGATAACCAGCATGGCCCATAAAAGGGCCGGATATGCTAGTGTAGGGAAAGACAAAGAAGTTGTAAGGGTGTGGTGGGCAGGGATGTGAGGAGTGTGGGAGAGAAGTCGTGTGTGTGTGTGTGTGTGTGTGTGTGTGTGTGGGCAGGCAGTGGAAGGAGCAGGGGTGGCAGAATGAAGCTGGGACTTAAGGGTTAAGGCATAGGGCTGATGAGTGTGCAGAAAGGACAGAAATGGTGCCCTAAGAAGAGCAGTGTGCACGGACCTGTATGGTGCAGCGGAGAACCCAGATCTACAGTCCTGTGATGGGAGGCTTTGTGTGATCATTCAGGGGCAGATGAGAGGTTTCCATGACTTACTTAGACAGAAGCCAACTCCCTGTTCATATTGTTGGAATGGAGCTTAATCTTGATCACCTCCCTGCTGATACTATCCATGTGTCTGGGTTGGTGGAGAGGATAGTGGTGTGTTGTAGCTGGGTGCAGTGCCCCAGATTGATACTGTGCTCCACCATGGCTCAGTTGTCCGGATGTTCTACGCAGTTATGTCGGTGGTCTCATTTGAACAACCTGTATGTCCATTGTAGACCAGATTGCATTCACAAGGGATGGTGTATGCACCCGGTGTCTTTAGTCCCAGCATGTCTTTGACCAACCAAAAGAAGCTAGATATTTTCCTGGGAGGGAGGCCAACAGCCTTGATATTGTGCCTGAACAGCACACTGTGAATGCTGACATATCCCAGAAGGTAGAACTCTTAATAACCACTGCTCTGAGAACCCAGATCCTGCACGGCGCTATATCCCAGAAGGTAGAACTTTTCATAGCCACCACCGTGAGAACCTCAGATCCTACACAGCGCTATATCCCAGAAGGTAGAACTCTTCATAGCCACCACCGTGAGAACCTCACATCATACGCGTAATGCTGTTTTCTTACCCAAATTGAAAGCAAAGCTCCTTGATTAGAATAATAGTGCCTCACTCATTTGAACTTCTCTGAAAGGTGAAGCAGATAATGAGTATTAATAGAGAGCTGAATAATTTAAGTAAGTGTTAAATGTTTTCCAGCAGTTTGATTATGCGTACTGAGTAACACATTGCCTGCATACTGCATTTTCCCGGCAGTGAATAGGACAAGGAGGCCCAGTTGTGTGTCTGCCACACTCTAGACTTATTTCTCTGGGGTTTTATGGAGGAAACAGTGGATGTGGCAAAAGTTAAGAACTGTGAATCCAGGAAGCTGCTGAGAATGTATACCGCAATCTGTGGATGCTCTTACACATTTAGGTTTCTCAAGCTTGTATAAGAGCTCTAGGCCGTTATTCTGAGAAAAAGAAAAATACAAGTGGTCTTGGGAGATCAGAAG